CGAAAACCAAAAAGCACAAAGATCATTCAGAAAATAAAGCTGATTCACACAAATTCAAGAAATTCGATTTCTAAACTATTAACCAAACTCTAAAATCTTTTCTTTAACGTAACATCTTTTAATATTTCAGCTTCTAGAAATCCAACAGTTTCTCGACATTTCTCTTGAATTTTTTTGAAATTTACATAATCCTCTGGCACAGCTCCACCGAAATGATCACTTATAAATATTATTTGCTATACTGGTAACTGTGGTACCTCATCTTATCGTAGTAAATCCAGTTTTAAACTTTCTCGTTCGACATTTGGATAACTTGGGTTTAGAAAAAAAGAAAACCAAAAGAAACGAAAACCAAAAAGAAAGTTTGTTTTCAAAGTTCACTGATTGCTTTGTTCCTTTTGGATTTGAGTCGTCAAAACTCGGCTTAAAATTCAAGAACAACATGTTAACATACGAATAAAAAAAGATTTTAGACACTGGAAAATTCTCAAAGTTCAAAAAGTCCAAAGAAAAACTGGGGTTTTCAAAAAATTAGATGATTTTAGTGTGCTGGAATGGAAAATGGAATAGGTGCATTTGTTTCAACACAAAATAGTTTTAAATTTTAGCAATAGAACCATAAAGTTTGTCCATACAAAATCAACTTTTAAACCAACTCTACAAACAAAAATATTAGTATAGCTTTAAATTTCTTATAGGAATTGCTTAAATTAGTTTTTATTGCTGAATTGCTTTTGAATTGCTTTTGATTTGCTCAACTTTCAGTCACCCTTTAATGGGGATTAAAGGATGACTGAAAGTTGAGCAATTCAAAAGCAATTCAAAGTGTTCCGTTCCGCTTGGTGGGATTTTGATAAGAAAACTATTTGATGGAAAGATTGAAAGAAAAAGATGATAAACAATGGGATAAAGAGAAGAATTGAGGATCAATATCAAGAAAAAGAAGATTGGATGGCGATTGGCAATTATTCCACAAGAGGAAGAGGAGATGGGAAAGAGGAGGAGATGGAAAAGGCCAGTCGAGGCCATCTGCCTCCTTTGGGACACAATCCCGTTAAAGGAGATGGCTTTGTTAAGGAGTGAAAAAAGAATCAAGTATTTAGAAAGCTTCAGACTGAACTCTGGTTAATTACAAAGGTTTTGAAGAATTTTTGGCTTTTTCATAAGTACAAGAAGAGTAAGTGTCAGTAAGAAGAAGAGTAAGAACCAAAAAATTTAGCAAATAATATTTATAAGTGATCATTTCCTTTTTCCTTTTTCAGTTACAGATTAAACGACATTTGATCAGTAAAACTAAACCTTTTAAAGCTTGAATATCTTTAGTTTTAATTGTAAATTGAATTCGAATTGTATGCAATTGTTATGGTAATGAATTGAGTATTAGATCAAAAAAAGAACCGTATTGAAACCGTATTGGAACCGGATTGGAGTAGGATTGGAACCGTATTGGAACCGTATTGGAACCGTATTGGATTAAAAAAAGAACCGTATTGGAACCGTATTGAAGTAGGATTGGAACCGTATTGGAACCGTATTGGCACCGTATTGGATCAAAAAAAGAACCGTATTGGAACCGTATTGGATCAAAAAAAGAACCGTATTGGAACCGTATTGGTACCGTATTTGAACCGTATTAGAACCGTATTGGAACCGTATTGGAACCGTATTGGATCAAAAAAAGAACCGTATTGGAACCGCATTGGAACCGTATTAGATCAAAAAAAGAACCGTATTGGAACCGTATTGGAACACAATTTGTTCTAAAATATCTAAATAAATGATGTTTTTAAGTCAATTTAAGTCAATTTTCAACTCAACTTTTCAACTAGAGCAACTCAAAGAGTTCAATAAGCAGTTTTTTGTAGTAAATGCTAAAGATTTTTACAAGAAAGACTAGAATTTTAGGGAAAAATTTCAAATTTGAACTGTTGTATAGTGATTTTAATGTGTTTTCTCTACGTAAGTAGTCTTTGAGCGCTTTGGGAATTGCAGGGAAGTGTTGGATTTCGGTTTGTCGGCCACAAACAGGCGTCAAAAGGATTAGATGTCAACTCAAACTCTTTCCCTTTTATTTTCCCCCATTTTTTACATCTCAACCAAGGGAAAGACGATGAGAGAAAATTGTGAACAATGGTTTAAAAAAATGTTATACAAAAACAAGTTGAACTCAGTTGAGCTCAGTGTTTGAGAGAAAAAGATTTTATGATTGATGATTAGAAATTAGAAACGATAAAAGGCTAATCAATGAAAGGGAAATATTGAAATAAGCTTCGGAATTTATACAAAGTTCTGCAATAGACCTTTGTAAGGAGAAATGAATCAATTTCCCCCTTTATTCGTTGCCAATTTTTATTATTTATGAATTTTTAGTATATTTAAAGTGTTTATTCATCGATCTTTTTTCATGAATTTTATTTTAAATGCTTTTAGATGGAAGCTGGCTCTGCACCTTCACGGAGTTTTTGATTCGATCATTGCAAAACAACTTAAATCATTGAAGCAAGGTATTTTACAATGTCCAGTGCTTAAGGGAGACTGGTTTGATGAATGATCGTCCCAAAGAGGCCATCCGAAAAGTGCCCCAACTTCTCCGATCGTCTAAAACATCCGAGAGAAAAACATCTCGCGAGATCGATGCGGAAATTGGCCAGAGCTGGAATATCGAAAAGATTTGTCCGAAAGATCTGCAAGATTCTCAAGATTTATCCATAAAAGGTCCAAAAAACTCATGAATTTTATTTCAAATGCTTTTAGATGGAAGCAGGCTCTTCACCTTCACGGAGTTTTTGATTCGATCATTTGGTGAATGGAATATCGAAAATATTTGTCCGAAAGATCTGCAAGATTCTCAAGATTCAAGCCTACAAGGTCCAAAAAACTCAAAAAACTGAACAAATGAAGAAAAATAGGGTCAAGCTAAGCAAAGTCTTGTTGAAGCGTTTTGCGTTGGCATGCAATTTCGATAACCTTTTTACCAATTTCACCTCTTCACAATCTAACAATTTACGAACCACCAAAACGATAGGATATTTTCAAAAGGCATCTAGGAGGCCAACAGAGGTGGTAGAATTGTTGATAGGCTTTCGAAGTCTGATGGTTTTTGGCGGAATCACAACAAACACCAAGACGCCTCTGTTTTTTGTCAAAACTGGAGTGAAAATCAACGCTCAAAATTACTTGAAAGAGGTTTTGATGGAGCGAGCCACTTCAAAAATTGTCACTGAATTTATCAGCAAGATTCAGCATCGCACCTGAATCGTTTCAAGTCTGGTGTGGACAAAAACTTATCGAAGTTTATCAGTGCGCAAGAATGCCCGTATTTGCATATTTGTCCGTTTTGAATCCGCTTTTCCATCTGGTCATTCCTGCAAAGCCACACACAAGTTTAGCATCTCTTTGTGTTGCTTTAAAGAAAGCTTTGACTGAATGAGATGCACTCTACATCAAATTCAGTGCATCTAATTCATGAAATGAAATTCATGCATACGTCGATGGTTTCTCAAAAAGACTCCGAGCTTGCATCAAAGCCAAAAGCAGATAGACAGTGCCAAAGCTCAAAGGTAATGACCCCCTCCTCAAACTTTTCAGGTTTGTCATATAAAACGAATGCACAGAGTAATATGTTTAAAAATAAAAAGTAGATTTTTCATAAACATGCATAAATATTTTGGTTTCAGCTCATTTTGAATGCTTTTTAAAACATGGCATAAAAAAGAAAACTTAAGGTCGCTCAAAAGTAATGGCGCCCCTAAGCGTTTGTGTTGAACAACTTTCATAAATCAATCTTTTGCTAATTTTATAGTTTTTAAAAAGACTCCGAGCTTGCATCAAAGCCAAAAGCAGATGGATATATCGAAAACATTGTTAAACTTTGTTATTTGTTAAGTACTTTTTGCAAGAGTTTTCTTGTTATTAACGAGCTTTTACTGTCTTGCAGAAACAAAAACTTATCGAAGTTTATCAGTGCGCAAGAATGGCCTCATATTTGCCCATTTTGAATCCGCTTTTCCATCTGGCCATTCCTGCAAAGCCACACACAAGTTTAGTATCTCTTTGTGTTGCTTTAAAGAAAGCTTTGACTGAATGAGATGCACTCTACATCTCATTCTTATTACGGATTCTATAGTTTTATCTTTTGATTTTGAAAAGTATTTCTAAATTTTAAAACTTAAAATCAAAAATAATAACTCAGTTGTAAGTTATCTAGAACAAAAGAAATGATTGTTGTTTCATTTATTCAAGACTTACGAGACTTGCAATGTTACAATACTTATAATGTTACAAGACTTCCAATGTTACAATCCTTACAATGTTGCAATACTTATAATGTTATAATACTTCGAATGTTACAATCCTTACAATGTTGCAATACTTATAATGTTACAATACTTACAATGTTACAAGACTTCCAGTGTTACAATACTTATAATGTTATAATACTTATAATGTTACAAGACTTCCAGTGTTACAATACTTACAATGTTGCAATACTTATAATGTTATAATACTTCGAATGTTACAATCCTTACAACGTTACAAGACTTCCAGTGTTACAATACTTACAATGTTACAATACTTACAATGTTTGATTTAATCAAGACTAATTTCAAATCGTTACTTAAACTTTAAACTATATCAACTATCATTTACTTTTCTTTTTTCTTTCAATATTTAGAATAACACTTTACTTCAAAGCAATCAAGAGTCCCATATATAAAGGGTGAAAAGAGTGTGGAAATGTTTATCCATCTTCTTTCTTCTTCTTTCTTCTTCTTTCTTCTTCTCTCTTCCCACGATCTCCTAGCAACCCTTTCCCTTCTCCAATACCAAAGCTACACCATTACACATAAAATCATTAGATTTTTTAAAGAATTTAAGAACTTTTATATTCATTATTGCTTTTAATTTGATGTCAAACAGCTCAAAATCGTTGTTTATCGTGGTAATCAACGGACAATCAAAGAAAAACTAAAAGCTGATTTATTATTGCTTTTAATTTGATGTCAAACGGTTCAAAATCGTCGTTTGTCGTGGTAATCAACGGACAAATCACAACAGCTAATGTGAGTTTGAGAAGAAAAGTCAAAGCTGGTTTATTTTGAATATGATTAATAGTGAAGAGAAACTTCTTATCAATCAAGTTTTACTTAACTGTACAAATTGATTGTTGAAAAAGAATGAAATTCAAAGCTTATACCTTATTAAATCTCTTAGTTTTCAGTTTCCGGAGCAAGAATCTTTGTGGTTGAGGTATGGTTTTGTAGCGGGACCGGATTGGACAGTGGTGGCTGGAGAGACTGAAGGGCTATCAGCTGCTTGTTACAAGTAAGGAAAAGGGATTTCATATCTAATCGAGTTTAATGTATTGATAGAATAACTTTACATTAGTTTCTAGAAATGCACTGAGATTCAATAAAGAACAATAGGCTAGAATTTTCGTCGATTTGCTTTTTAGACTGAAAAATTGATGAGCTGAGGTTATATTTATTAAATAGCTTTCGAAAATTCATATATAAATCTATCAAGGGAAGCTTTTCTACTTAAAAAAGAGAATCTTTTCATTACAGAACTCCATGTCGTCCCTTTGTGATCGATTTGTCTTTTAGTGTCACTTATCGATCGACAAATCCTTTCAGATGTGAGTGAGCTTTGAGATTATTTCATTTACCGTATTCTCTCTAATAGAGGTGCACTCTTTAATAGTATTGCGGTCCAGGAGGGGGTTCAAAAAATAGTAGTGCACCCCCGAAAATTTGAATTTCTGGTGCTTCTTTTTCATCTAAACCTTTATGTTTATGTGACATTCTAAAGCTATTCAAGCAAGCAAAAGTGAGGCTTTTTTTTATTCATTTATTAACTATTCTTCACATGGAAAAGTTAGCAAAAAATTTAAAATTGTTGTGCAAAGTGCAAAAACATCTTTTTGTTGTTTGTCAAGACACAAATTGTCAGCACAAATTGTCAACTCGCCGGCCCACAACTGTAAGTCAAAAGGAGTCAAAGGAGCCAAAGGAGTACGTGAAAGAATTGCAAGAATTTTTGGAACAAATCTTATATCTGTCTTACTTTGGTAAATGGTAAAACTCTTTAATAGTATTGCGGTCCAGGAGGGGATTCAAAAAATAGTAGTGCGCACTCTCTAATAGTATTGCGGTCCAGGAGGGGATTCAAAAAATAGTAGTGCGCACTCTCTAATAGTATTGCGGTCCAGGAGGGGGTTCAAAAAATAATAGTGCGCACTACTATTAGAGAGAATACGGTATTATTTATTTAAGTTCTTAAATATTTGATTTAGGGCCTCGTTTAGTGATTACATGCTATGGAAAAGATTTTTTTGGAAACGATGTCGTGAAGGGTTACGGGATGTTTACTTTACCGACAACACCGGGAAGGTTCAATTGAATGAAACGATTACAATAAACATATTCTATATTCTAGACACAATTTGGAATCAGCTTGTGCAACGCCAGAAGCTTCAACTTCTTTTCAAAATATTTTGGGAATGATTTGGGGAAGACGACCGGAGCTTGTGGATCCGAATATTATGGCGCTTTCAGAAGGGAGAGAGGGTAAGCAATGAAAGTTAAACCTAATCTTGATCAACATACAAAACTAAAGATTATTTTTAGTTCTTCGTATGTCAACTGAAGGCCTTGTTAATGCAACTTTTGAAGTTTTACATAAAGATTTGAAAAAATCGGGTTTCGATTGGGATTTTTCATCGATGAGAACCCCATCAATTGCGCCTCTTCCCGATTTTGAACCGGTAAAATAAGCTAGATTATAAAGAAATATTATATTCTTATTTATATAGTTTTAAAGAGAAAGATTTCTTGTAATTGAATTGTACTAGATTTAAATAAATTTGAGAATTTATAAGCCGATCTTGGATAACTTGGCTCTTGATTTCCTTAGAACTATGTAAACATTTAAAGTACCGTATTTTCTGTAATAGTGTGCATTACTATTTTTTCAATCCCCCTCCAGACTGCACTACTGTTATAGACTGCACTACTATTACAGTCTGCACTACTGTTACAGTCTGCACTATTACAGTCTGCACTATTACAGTCTGCCATACTATTACAGAAAATACGGTATAGGTTATTGAGAGTTTTGCAATGTATCTACAAAAATCTTTATTTTCAGTTCCAAGAATCACGTCTTGAAGCAGCATCTTTGGGTGCTTCTTTGGGTGCCTCGTTGGCTGTGCCGAGTGCTCGATTCACTTCACATTCCGATTTATTATCACCAACAGTTGAAGTGGAAAGGGAAGAGAGTGGAGCAAGTGGAGAAGATGAATGGAGACCCCAAGTACAAGAGACTCAAGAGACAAGAGTTTCAAGACCACTTCCACAGCCATTACCGTAATCCAGTCGAACTTCAATTTAACGAACACTATTTTTGGTCCCAATGAAGACCTTAAAATAACGTTCGATAAAAATAGATTTATTGGAAAGCAATAATGTGATACATAATAAGAAATAAAGGTCTAAACACCCAATTTTTATGGCACTGCGGCCGTTATTTCTATTACCCCTATTATCTAAATGTTCTGAAAGAAAAAAACCAACTTGGTGGGAAAAAGAAACATTTTTTTATCTTGTAAGCGTGTACCCTCGACCTTCCGTTTAAGAGACAAGACTCCTAACCGACTCCTAACTGACTCCTAACCTGACTCTTAAGCTGACTCCTAAGCTGACTCCTAACCTGACTCCTAACCGACTCCTAACCAGCTGCCCAACGATACAACGAACTTTTTCGCCAATTCCTTGTCGTTTTTTATATCGAAGACTGTACTTTTATGTATAGAATTACCGTAGTTTTTGCTTGGTCTCGAATTTTGTAAACAAACTTTATCATTTCCTAATCAATTTCGGGGGTGGGACAAATGCGACCTTTTTTTTGTGCACCTGGACATTTGCGCACCTTTTTTTTGCTGGAAAAGGCCTTAGGAAAAGTCGTAGAGCTTCAAAAACGCTTTCATAGAAGGGAATCGTATGCGTAGATTCCGAATTTCTGACAAATCAGACCTCGCTGACACGTCAAATTTGGGCTAAAAGGCAAAAACTACGCAACTTAACGCTTTTCCGCAGTTTTTACCTTTTAGCCCAAATTTGACGTGTCAGCGAGGTCTGATTTGTCAGAATTCTGAATCTACGTATACGATTCCCTTCTATGAAAGCGTTTTTGAAGCTCTACGACTTTTCCTAAGGCCTTTTCCAGCAAAAAAAAGGTGCGCAAATGTCCAGGTGCGCAAAAAAAAGGTCGCATTTGTCCCACCCCCAACAATTTCCTCAAAATTCTACATTTACATGCAAAACTTCACTTATTTACTTGAGAATCGTCTTTCATTTGTTTTTTAATATCAAAATTTTCACTTGTAAAAACATTTGTATGCTTTATATGTACATAAAAAAATGAAATTTATTCATCTTTCTTATGACTATTTTCATTTGAGCCCGTGAAAAGTAAGATAAGTGAAATAAAAACGACGAAAATCGTTGCCATGATGACAAGTGGAATGAAAGTTGTGTTACCAGTGAGAATCATGATTTTAATTGGCGATCTCCAACCATTTGTTGTCACAAGGGAAAGCCAAGTCGGCGCATCGGTCGCCACTCCAACACCCCTTAATGCACGCAGTTGACCGACACAAGTCTGCAAGTGAAATTATGAGCTACAGCTAATACAGTACACTAGTACAGTACACTAGTACAGTACACTAGTACAGTACACTAGTACAGTACACTAATACAGTACACTACAGCACGCTACTCCAAGTAAAAATCTTCAACAAAAAACTTTCCTTAACATTTTACAGTATCTTTAAGTTGATTCTAATCAAAAACCTCTAATTTCCACACTCGATAATCCTCTGGACAATCGATTAAAAGTTTTGGTGGCGGAAAGGAGACTGTTGCTGATTTTCCATCTTTGTTTGCAGCTTGATATCGAAAATGAAGTGGAAAGGAAAGAGTTTCCTCGAGAATAAACGTCTTTCGGAAGATTTTCTTTCCCACAAGATAGATCTGAAAAACAAGACTTCGATTTTTAAACTATCGAAATTCACACTTTGGATTGTCGACTTATTTGCATATAGATTGTTGGGCTAAAGGTTTAGAGATCAAGTAACCAGAGTTTGAGCTTTTTAAAATGTTATAAAGTGGTTTTTGAAAGATTTAATTGAACAATATCAAATCATTACTCACTTTATGTGCTCGAGATCTCTCAGCGGGCGCCTCAACATTGAAACGATGATTCGAGAAAAGAAAATGACGAGGAAGTGAAGAGTTTATTGTGTCCAAATCAAGGAATGCTCCTTTGGGCACCTTGAAGAAGATTTGTTTTAAAAAAGCATTAAAATAGTATTGATTGAATGATTCTTTAGCCTCTAAGACAATGATTTCAATAATTCTTTAACCTCTAATTCGTAGCCGAGACGACACTCGGTGAAACGATTGAGCGATGCAACTTTTGAGCGAATTTCCCATTGTCTGTGCTGTCCAAGACCGTCGATTGATCCTCGCACCTAGATGAATTAAGTAAAAAATGATCAAGATTACTTCAATACTTTAATCATTATCAGAAGTTAAGTAGCGATTCATCAAGGTTACTTAAATACTTTAATCATCATTAGAAGTTAAGTAAAGAACGATCAGGACTACTTCAATACTTTAATCATCATTAGAAGCTAAGTAGAGAATCATCAAGGTTACTTAAATACTTTAATCATCATTAGAAGCTAAGTAGAGAATCATCAAGCCTACTTCAATACTTTAATCATCATTAGAAGTTAAGTAAAGAATCATTAATACTGATTAGACACGGTTTTAGCCCGCCAATTTTTCAAAAACTGATCAAAAGATGTAAAACGGCAAATTTTCTCACCTCAACATCTCGTATCTGTTCAAGAAATTGACAAGATTCATGTGAGTTCTCAATCCAAAAAAAGATCAAGAAAAGACAACTGATCGAAGGCAGCATATCGGGAAAAATACAATCATGAGGTGCTATACAAATTAAAGATTATGGTAGGGCATTGATTTTTGAATATTCTTCTATTTGAAGTCTGTAGTCGAATCGAATAGAGCCAACAAACGTGACGCGACCGCCTCAACAGCAAAACAATTACTTCTCTCACTATGAAAACTCTGTTCTCTCTTTACGAATTCTCGCCAACGGCATCGAAAATCAATTACAGTCCGTATCTGGCTACAGTTTTTTTTTCTGCTTTTTTCTATAAATAGTTTATTATAATCTGATCTTATCGATTTTTTGCTTATTTTTCTTTCTTTCTTCTTTCTTCTTTCTCTTCTTCTTTCTTTTTAAGTTCATATTTCAGATTTGAGAGCTTTTCAGGAAGATCAAAAGGATAATGATGGATGGATATCAGTAAGTCAAGAATTATTTAAAGAATAAAAAGTTAAACTGAAATAGCTGAAAAGCTAGATAGCTTGTAGTTTAACGATTTAAATTCATTTCAGTGGCTCGTTTCTTGATCAGGACATGCAAGTGCCACCAAACAAGCGCTTCCGACCGGATCCCGCCGTCGATCCCACAAATCCCGACCCGTCCATCGTCGTCCATGTGCGCAACCTATGCAGTCGAGTAAGTTTTTAGCTCTTGTAACCGGGTGTTTTCTTCTTCCTTCCTTCTTCCTCTTGGCAAGTTAAACTAGATAGCTCAGTAGTTAGAGTCTTTTCCCCGGTAAGCAAAAGATCGAGGGTTCAATTCCCTCTCCAGAAGATCGAGGATTGAATCCCCTCTCAAGAAGATCGAGGATTCAATCCCCTCTCCAGAAATCTTGCCAATTCCTTGACTTCTTTATTAAAGCGGCTTTTGAATAAGTTAATTTACGGTCTATAATTTTCTTTTACAATAATATTATTGTGAAATTTTTGTTTTAAAGAAGAAATGTCAGGAATTATAAAATAAAGCTTACTTGAATTATTCTATTCCACGAAAATCAAGAGATCTTTTAGTCAAGTTGGCTTTAATTTCTTAGAGCTGAATAATCGAATGAAGCTCTATTTTCTTTCATTCTCACGTGCGCTCTTCAAAACAATCTAAAAGTTAAGAATAATATTATCTGTAGATAAAGTTATAGGCTTTCAAAGCATGACTTATCATTCAAAAAGTCTCTTAAGCCCTTAAAATCCCCTTTAACCGATTAGAGCCAAAAAAAAAACATATTTGTACTAAAATGAAAACTAAAATGAAATTTTCAGGCTACAGAGGCTGATCTACTTGAGGCACTAAGCGCTTTTGGACAAATTGCTTATGCGACTGTAATGCCAAACAAAAGGATGGCTTTAGTGGAATTTGAGGTAACTTTGAAAGAATTAAAAATAGCCAAATTTCATAAGGATCATTTTAAAACCAATCTGAAGTCGATCTGGCAATTAGGAGTCGAGATATGGAGGAGAAGAGGAGAAGAGGAGTTTGGCGACTTTTCTCTTCTCCATATCTCGACTTCTAATTGTCAGATCGACTTCAGGTTGGTTTTAAAATGATCTGACAATTAGAAGTCGAGATATGGAGGAGGAGGAGAAGAGAAAAGTCGCCAAACTCTGACTCTCTACCCCGCTAGATAAATCGACGCCAAACTCCGACTCTCTACCCCCCTAGATAAATCTCTAGAGCGGGGTAGACAGTTATCTCAACTTTGACACGAATTTTCTCTATAAAAATCATTCAAAAAGTTTAGAGTATCGAGGCAGCCAAACAATGCGTCAATTTTGCAGCCACTAAGCCGATAAATGTCGCCGGAGTTCCAGCACTTTTCAATTACTCGTGAGTTTTATCAAAACTATTAAAAGTCATAAAAGCTTTCCTTTCAATTCAAAAGCTTTCCTTTCAGAACCTCTCCTATGATTCAAAGATTAGGATTGGAAAGTGAGCGACCGAATCACATCTTAATTCTTACTGTGTACAATGCGCAATACCCAATTACTGTTGATGTTATTCATGAGATTTGTGAGCCGCAAGGACCTGTCAAAAGGATAGCGATTATTAGACGCACTATGTTACAGGTATAGCAATAATTTAAGCAATAAGTTAAGCAATAATTAGTCGTTAGGAAATTCGATTTAAAATCATTCATTTAGGCGCTTGTCGAATTCGATAATGTTGAAACAGCGAAAAAGGCTAAATATGCAATGAATGGAGCCGACATTTATTCAGGATGTTGCACTTTAAAAGTCGAATTTGCAAAGGTTTCTTTTACAAAATAAACGTGCAAACAATATGGATCATTTCCCAAAGCACTGGGCTTCCTAGGATCAATCTTTCAGGCTCAAACAAAACTCTGAATTTGAATCCTGTTATGATTAAGGGTTTTTCTTTTGCATTTTTAAATAACACAAAAGAGTTTTTTAAAGCCATTCAAATGCTTATAAACATTTTCAATTAAAATTTCGTTATCGATTTGATCTTTTTGAGTGATTTGTAATTGATTTAAGCGCTTGATTTAAGCTTTCAAAAAGCTTTCAAAATTCGCATATCATCAGCCAAAAAAGTTAGAAATGAGGATTTGAAAATTAGAAGTTTCGGAAACGTTATAAGGTTTCTTTCATCTTCTACAAACTAGAGAAATGGCAAAGTGGATAGTATGTTGTCGCTTGCCTCTATTTTGACTTCTTAGTCTCAAGTTCGAGTCCTCTTTGCGAAAAATCTTTTTGTTAAAGCTCTAAAAACCTTTTTCTGACTAGTTTCATTGAAAAAAATGCCCATTTCTTTAAAAAAGAGTTGGATTTTCGTCAAAAAGGGCAACAAAAAGGCCAAAGCTCTAATCTTGCTTGGCTTAGCTTGGCTTTTTGTTACCCGGAAAAGCCTAAATCAACTTGGTTAGATACTTTAAATCTTAAAGGGATATGGGGATAGCTACGGTCAAGATTCTTGATAAGGTTTAAATCTAATGAGAATCAAATCCTCATTTGAACTTACTAAACTACTTACCGTAAATACTGTAATAGTACCGCACCCCCATAATGACGGTAGTAGTCTAGCTTTGGACGAGTTTTTCTCGACACTGGTTTAAGCTACAATGCGCGCTTGGGTATCAAAAAATAGCCCTGAATTTCAGCTATTTTTTGATACCAAAGACGCATTTTTTGAAAGTACAGGCGCTTTGAAAAAGAATGAAATACTAAAAGACTTTTGCGACTACGCGCGACTGCGACTGTACGAGCCCCTCGTACAGTCGCGTAGTCGCAAACGTTTTTAGTTTTGGGCTACTATTACAGTATTTACGATAGGTATTTATTCGACTTACTAAACTATTTACTTGCTTTTTTCAGCCCGATGTGGTGAAAGTGACGAGAAACGATGAGAATCAACGGGACTACACTCGTCGTGGTATGTTTCAATCGGGTTTCCGTTTTTACAGGTGTTTTCATTTCGAGAATAAACTATTCTTTCTTGAAATCCTTTCTTTTTTTTTCGGTGTACGGCCATGCAAAAAGGCAAAAGTTACAAAGAGAACCACGCCGAAACGCATACCAAGCACATTTCTCTCGTAAATCTCTCCCCTCGAACATTTTCAAAGCAATCACACGTTCTTTTTTTGACAATCTCATTTCAAATTCAAATTCAAATTCAAATTCAAATCTGATACATTCCTAATGTAAATCAATCTCAAACACTCATTTCCACCTTTAATATCACTAATTAAAGCTTAGAGCAACAAAAATGATCAAATGATCAAAACATTTTGACATACAAATTTAGACATTTCATTAATTCTCAAACATTTTCAAGCATTTTGGAACATTTTCAAGCATTTTGGAACATTTTCAAGCATTTTCAAGCATTTTCGAACATTTTGGAACATTTTCAAGCATTTTCAAACATTTTCAAACGTCTTCAAACATTCTTTCAAGTCATTCAAACATTCTTTCAAGTCATTCAAACATTCTTTCAAGTCATTCAAACATTCTTTCAAGTCATTCAAACATTCTTTCAAGTCATTCAAACACTGCAATTGTTTATTCCATCATTTTGTACAGAATTGGCAACAAAAAAATGCCAAAACAAAGAGCTTTTTATCAACCCTGTTCATCTACATCTTTATGTTATATCCGATTTAGACTTTTATCCGATTAAGACTCAACAATAGTTTTAACAATTGCTGCTTTGATAAAACATGCTTTTGTCATGTTTTTGATTCAATTTGAGAACCTCAATGATAAAACTAAAATTTAGTATTCTTCACTTTAAAAAGTGATTAAATTCGGCAAAAGTTACGAGGTTTTGAAGCTATAGCTAAAAGCTATTGCTAAAAGCTATGGCTAAAAGCTATGGCTAAAAGCTATTGCTAAAAGCTATGGCTAAAAGCTATTGCTAAAAGCTATGGCTAAAAGCTATGGCTAAAAGCTATGGCTAAAAGCTACTGCTAAAAGCTATTGTTAAAAGCTATGACTAAAAGCTATGGCTAAAAGCTATTGCTAAAAGCTATGGCTAAAAGCTATTGCTAAAAGCTATTGCTAAAAGCTATTGCTAAAAGCTATGGCTAAAAGCTATGGCTAAAAGCTATGGCTAAAAGCTATGGCTAAAAGCTATGGCTAAAAGCTATGGCTAAAAGCTATGGCTAAAAGCTATTGCTAAAAGCTATTGCTAAAAGCTATGGCTAAAAGCTATTGTTAAAAGCTATTGCTTCTTTTAGATATAAAAAACAATTTAGTACACAAGCAATCAGTAAAAACCATCAAAAACATGATTTACAGCAATTGTTAAAACTATTGTTGAGTCTAAATGGGATAAAAATCGAAATCGAATATAATATTCACATCTCAGCATTATCATCGTTCAAACATTTTTTCAAAAATTATTCTTTTATCAAGTCAAACAATTCGTGAAATGAAAATTAAAGACTTTTGAACGGAAAATGTGAGCGCCTCAACAGCTTTCCCATTTACAAATCTTTATTTATCTGCTACAACTTTGTGGACTTGCTATGCATTCAAAGTTCAAAGATTTACTAAAGTACACGATCAGTAAACTATCTATCGTCACACAGCTTTTTCAATAACAATTCCTAACATCTTTCTCTCTAGATCTTCCCACTGGGCCAGCGGATCCAGCTGTTGGTGGTGGCTTCAGAAAACCGCCTTTGATCGCCGGAGGAGGAAATGCTCCACCACAAGGACAATCCCAACCCTACGATCAATACAATCAAGGGCCACCGAGAAGTAAGTTTTCAGTTAATAGCTTCAACTTTATAGCTGACTTTTTGATAGTTAAAAGTTTCAAGAAATAAGAAAAGGTTTATTTTTTTTTTTCCTAGATGAATATGGAAAAGGAGGCCCAGCAAGAAGGGATCCAGGATATGGGGATAATTACGGTCGAGATCCTGGACAAGGTTTGAACATAATGAGAAAAAAATGCCCATGTCTTTAAAAAAGAGTTGGATTTTCGTCAAAAAGGGCAACAAAAAGGCCAAAGCTCTAATCTTGCTTGGCTTAGCTTGGCTTTTTGTTACCCGGAAAAGCCTAAATCAACTTGGTTAGATACTTTAAATCTTAAAGGGATATGGGGATAGCTACGGTCAAGATCCTGGACAAGGTTTGAACATAAGAATCATAAGAATAGAGAATCAAATACTCATTTCAACTTGCTTTTTAGAGTCATTGATAAACAAATTACAAATTTCAGGATATGGAAACAATGACTACTATGATCACAACTCGAGTTCGAGTCGTGGAGGATACAACAGCGGATACAGCGGTGGACATGGTGGATACGATCAGAACTCGCGCGAGTTTGGCCCTCCAAAATTGCCTGGCGGAAGCCCAGTGATCATGGTCAGTTGATATTGTGATTGTAGTGTTTAAATAGTTAAGATAGTTAAGACTATTTCTAGAAATATTAGGATAACTTTAGATTTATGGAATCACACACGAAGCAGTCAATTGCGATAAGATTTTCAACATTTTATGTCAATATGGAAATGTGGAACGAGTGAAATTCATGAAGAAAAAGACTGATACAGCTATGGTTGAGATGGGACAACCAGCACAGGTACGATTTGTTTAAAAAGGTGAATGAAAACACGAAGATTATAGGTGACTTCTGTGCTACAATTCTTGCAAGGAATGGAGATGTTTGGATGCATTTTGACAATTCGGCCATCAAAGCAAATGGAGGTACGAGAACAGGGAGCTGTCTTCTCGATGCCTGATGGATCACCGTCTTTCCGAGACTACTCAAACTCAAGAAATCAGGTTTGATTGATTTGTTGGCACTTGAAATGATTAGAGGACATGTTTAGAGGATTAGAGCATTGCTCTACCCAATTGATTAGAGGATTAGAGCATTGCTCTACCCAATTAATTGGGTAGAGCAATGCTATTTTGTTCTTCTCCCAATTAATTCTCCTTCAGCGATACTCAACTCCAGAGCTGGCCTTTCGGAATCGCGTCTGTGCACCGACAAACACGATTCATTGGTTCAATGCACCGGTGACAATGACTGAGGACAAGATTGTTGATGTAAGTTAAACAGTAAATTGTATTTCAAAGTAAACTAGTTCTAGCCAATTGTAAGTCTTTAATTTCAGCTATTCGTGGCTTCTGGTGGTCCTCAACCAGCAAAAATCCTTGTCAATCAGGGACGATCCGAGAAAAGCAAAGCCGGCACCGCTGAATTTAATTCGATTCGAGAAGCTAATGAGGTAAAATATTATGTTTTGACTGAAAGATTAGGATTTCACAAGACTTTAACAATTTAATAATAGAGTTTGGCTTTAAATTGACAACAAGCAAAGCAAAATAGCAAAATAGCAAAAAGGAAAATTTAAATAGCAAAAAAAACCAGGCAAAGTCAAGCTTAAAGCCAAGATTTTGACTCAAATCCAGCAAATTTCAGCCCAAGACCAATTGAAAGCCATTCGCTTGGCTTGGTTTCGGTTTTCGGCTGAGTAATAGCAACAAAATTATCTAGACTTATTGATTTGTTCAGGCTTTGGCACTCGCCAATCACACACCGGTTGCTACGACGATTTCCCGAATGCCTTTTATCGTCAAAATGGCTTATTTTGCGCCGGGTCCAAAATTTCATGGAGCTCACGCTCAACAAGATCATTAACCTTTGTTTTTTTTCTTTTACTACTTACACTATCACTGTAAATTTGTGATCACTAAACCCAAAAGGTTTTATTGGATTTGATTATTGGATTAAATTTTACGCTAAATCTGTGACTAATGTTTAGTATTTTGTATCGAATGGATTCTAAATTACAGTACTGGACATATGAAATATGATATTTGAAAAGCGATCGTCACTTTTGCGCGTCTGTAACTTCCTTGTCTTTGAGTTTAAACTATTAGTGTTATACATTTTCTGAAAGCTCTTTTCAAGGCCTACACAATGGTAATATTAATATTTAGAAATACGGTAAAGACAAGGGAGTTACAGACGGGCGAAAGTGATGATCTTTTTTTAAATATCATATTTCATTGTCCAGTAGTGTATATCCATAGTTTAACAGGTTCTGATTTTTTGGTTTTCTTGTTATTTTTTGTGTGTGCAAAAATAAAATATTGTATCTTCTAGATTTACGGATTTCATTACAGCTTTATTTACAGGTTGAAATGAAAGTTCACGGAAAAACTTTGACTGCAATTTCTTTAAAAACGAATCCACCAATTCAAGAACATTTTTTCTATTATTTACAAGTGGACTCCAAGTCTAGATAAACTAATGGGTTGGTGAATTGAAAACTGCGGGCTATTGTCATATGTGACAGTTTGAGCACTTTCTTCAAAAGAAACCCATTTTGGTGTCAATGGAAAAGTTGTAGAGAATCAAAAATCAAGCTTATATCCAAATTTCCAAAAAGATACACTTAGTAGTTCCGCTTAAAATTTGTGTGGTGTGTGTATTCTTTGTCGCGTAATTCTGCGTAATCGCTCGTCGTCTGGCGCAGGCCTTTTACATAACTCCCTTCCCTCTCCCTTTGCCAAACGAATCGGGCCGGGTCCGAATCTTCAAGTTGGACATTGACTTCTCCGCAAATCAAGGCTAATTTCAATCTATTGGGTTGGTGAATTGAAAACTGCAGGCTATTTTCATATGTGACAGTTTGAGGACTTTCTTCAAAAGAAACCCATTTTGGTGTCAATGGAAAAGTTGTAGAGAATCAAAAATCAAGCTTATATCCAAATTTTCAAAATGATTCAAAAACTGGCTTTCAAGAAATGCGAAATTTACGAATTTTCACAAAACTTGCATTTTAAGCGAAACTACTAAGTGTATCTTTTTGGAAATTTGGCCATAAGCTTGATTTTTGATTCTCTACAACTTTTCCATTGGCACCAAAATGGGTTTCTTTTGAAGAAAGTGCTCAAACTGGGACATTGGGACATCTCCAGTCCTCCATTTTTGAGTCTCACACTTGTCTCACACACAAACCAAAACCCTACCACGAAAGAGGAATCCGCAAATTGCCTGTAAAATGGGCAGAAGTCGTCAATAATAATGGAAATTATTTCGAATGAATTCATGGTTTTATGTTGAATGAATTTTAGTTCAAAGCCCCACAGTTTTCAATTGACCAACCTAATAGATAAACTAGATGGATAGCTTTCTAAATGATACGCTTATATTAAATTGGCCTTAAGTCTTTAGACACTTTTTCACAAATATATTTACATTTTGAAGTTCATCAATTAAACTACAGTTTTGCTTCAAATAGAAAACGTTTATTATATATTTGTCTATCTTTATACGCTAATCAGGACCCGTTTTCAAGTCACATCAACTGAAGAAATCTCATATTTTTTTTGTCAAAAACTTTTTGAAATATAGTTAAGTTTATCTGGAAATCTGGAAAGAATTCATGGCTTGGTTTTTGAGAAATCACTGTGCAAACTTTTTCCGTGAAATCTCTTTTCAATCTAATACATTTTTCAATCTTTTTACGCTAATTTGGACCCGTTTCCAAGAAAATTCGATAAAAGATGATATAAAGGAGTTGATTGAACAAATTGTTGTGAAAATTTAGCTATAAACTTAACTTTTTGCGCTCTTTTTTTTCTATTGACACCGAAATTGGTTTCTTTTGACCAAAGTGTCTCAATCTTTTTGATTGGCCCAGTACGCACCACCGAACGGGGCCAATCAAAAATTTTCACCGAACGGGGCAAATCCGAACCACCAAAAAAACGAAAAACAAAATATTTCTTAAGATTTCAATGATCTTTTATAGAAAAATATCAAGCCTTTCTAATGAAAAAAAAACCCGTAAATCAATAGGTGGTTTGATTATTTCTAAATAGCTTTTTAAATGAAACGTCCAAAGATTTATCGGTCAACTTAATAGCTAAGCCTACCATACTCCGGTTGTCTGTCAGTTTATGAGTTTTCTTCTCGGGATTGTAACTAGTAACAAGAGTTAGCGAGTTTTTTAAGGTTAGACTTGTTTTCAGATAAATTCCCGGTGCCTAATAGTTTTTATCAAAGTTTTTATCAAATATTCCAAGCTTCCAATCAAGTCAAGTGGTCTGAAGTGACTTTTGTTTAAAGTTTCAATTGCTCGAAGCTCTCGAAAAGTACGATTACTCAAGGAAAGAAAAAGGGGAGGTATTTTTTGTGTTGTATTGAGGCTAGTGAAGAAGCCGAGGAAATATGAGGAGTTCGAGTGGGGGATGAAGGGGATGGGGAGGCGATCGACGCGGGATGGAAAGAGTGTAATAAGAGCGGGCCGACTTCGACAACCCCTTCCCCTATCCATTGACTATTTCGCCGATCTCTCTTTCACATTCAATTGCTCATCCTTTTGTCTGATCCTTCTATTCCCCATTTCTCTAACTTTTCCCTAAACCCTTAAATCTTTTTATCCGTCTTTTTTACTGTAAAGAGATCACATCAAAATGGATCCTCAACAGGTTGGAATATTGATTTTTAAAGTTTTCTTTCTGAATTTTAAAATCTTTCACTTAATTATTGATTACTTAATTATAAAGATAAAGATTTCTATAGTTTTTGATAAAATTCTGGGATTACAGATGCCAAACGAGCAACAAGCAAGCAATTCAAAGGTCAGTCTATTGTATACATTGTCCTTTGTCATACATAAGAAAGCAATGATCTAGTACAATAGTTAACAATGCATCATCACTCAAATCAAATCAATCAAATGAATTTCAGGACTCGAGCCCAGCTTCGACAAATCCCCCACCGTCTACAGATAATTTAGTGGGTTTAAAATAAAATCATGTTGTTTTGGAAGGAGAATTGAAAATGATTTGAAAAATAACTACCGTATTCTCTCTAATAGTAGTGCACCCTGAGCTTTACCTAAATTGCTTGAAATCTCGAGAACCGCTTATCAGAACCTATCGATGTGGGGTTGGAAAATGTAGCTCACGATGAGATCTAGTGGGGGATTTGAGTGTTGAGCTTCTGCAAAAGCTTGGAAACCGTAAAATCGTCACCAACTCGGCTCGCCAAAGTGCACTACTATTAGAGAAAGTTAAATAGAAATTATATACCGTATTCTCTCTAATAGTAGTGCACCCTGAGCTTTGCCTAAATTCCTCGAAATCTCGAGAACCGCTTATCAGAACCTATCGATGTGGGGTCGGAAAATGTAGCTCACGATGAGATCTAGTGGAGGATTAGAGTGTTGAGCTTCTGCAAAAGCTTGGAAACCGGAGAATGGTGGTCAACTCGACTCGGCGAGGTGCACTACTATTAGAGGAAATGGTAGTGCACCCTGAGTGTTGCCTAAATTCCTCGAAATCTCGAGAACCGCTTATAAAAACCTATCGATGTGGGGTCGGAAAATGTAGCTGACGATGAGGTCTAGTGGGGGATTTGAGTGTTGAGCTTCTGCAAAAGCTTGGAAACCGTAAAATCGTCACCAACTCGGCTCGCCGCGATGCACTACTATTAGAGAAAATACAGTAAATATCAAATCCGGAAAAGAAAACCTTGAAAAATCCAGATAGTTATCAATGTTTGACTAACTTTATGCACTAAAAAATTGTCCTTTGTCTATTTGTCCTTGTTAAGCTTGATCAAAGTTCATTTTTCCAAAGCTGATCTAAGTTTTCCAGTTCCATAGCAACTCTAGGACAAAAAAGTGGAGCTAACTTTGATCAAGCTTCCACCAAAATTCAAACGATTCATTAACCATTAAAGCTTTCACCTATTTCCTCTTAACTATAAAGCTTTCACCCACGAATTTTCAGCCAATCACCGAGATTTCTGTGTGTGTGAGATTGGAGGGACCTGAGAAGAAAGCGGCTGCTTAAAAGAAGAGAGTTTTTCAAGATCTCTCATAAATCATTCACTTTAAATCAAAAAAAAAACTTCGCTCAGAATCTCAGATTGTTACGGTTTACAATGTTCAGTACTAGAAATGTTCCGTGTTTTCTTTTTTTTTTTTCAGTTTATTCTCTGTCAGTTTTGTTGAATAAATGTTGAGTCGTGGTTGTTTGTTGGGGAAATGGCAAATGGAAAACACATGCTTGCTAAAGTAGGGACTTTGGGAAAGTCGGGAAAGTAGGGATTTTGGAAAAATCTTTGAAATAAAGTTACCAGTTAGTCAGTTTAGGAATAACATTTTACTCTTTCATTCATCAACTGTCATTTGCTGAAATTTGCTGAAATTTGTTGAAATTTGTTGAAATTTGTTGAAATCGAGCTAACTCGCCTCTCCGGATAATAAACAGTCCAACCGGAAGCGTCACCCGATCCACAATAAAGCGTCATTCCATAGATGAGAGCGTACATACTAGCAGTAGGATTTTAAATGTGATTTGTTCGATTTATAGGCTTAAACCTGTACTTTTCGTACTTTGTACTCAATGAAACACACCTCTGTCACACTGATATTTTCATTTTCTTTGTACTTGTAAGAATGGAATTGAATTGAAATTGAAAATCGAATGGGCTAGAATGGCTAGAATGGCTGAGAATTGAATGGAATGGCTAGAAGTGGTTTATTTAACTCATAAGTACAACGAGAATAGAGAATATTTTACAAATAATAAGCCCATTAATCTTTTTTTTTCTTTGCAACATCAAATAACAAAGATTTTGAGATAAAGTGAAACGTTACTTAAGCAGAATACCAAGTTACCGTATTTCTTCGAATAGAAGACCGGGTAAAGAGTATGATCGCGTACTCCTGCGTAGCAGCCCTTTTTAAAATTTCTTTTCTGCATAAAAGCTTTCAATCAAGTGCTACAGGGCTGGAAAATGGCTCAAAAATCTGTTAGCTCATGTGGTATTTTTGAGCCATTTTCCAGCTCTATAGCACTTGATTGAAAGCTTTTATGCAGAAAAGAAATTTTAAAAAGGGCTGCTACGCAGGAGTACGCGATCATACTCTTTACCCGGTCTTCTATTCGAAAAAATACGGTAAAAAGCTAAATTTTCAGGATGACATAAATGAATCGATAACGAGAAAAGACGAGAAAAGCTTTCAATATTTCCCGTGTCGCTTTTGTGGTCTAACTTTCAACTATTTGAATACATTGAGAGCACATGAGCGAGTTCACAATGTTGATGAGGTGAGTAAAGAATTTAGTAAAATATTGAAGTTGTATAGAATATTGTATAGATTTTTCTATAATTAGATAAGAATCAATTCTATTATATGTTCCATTTAGCCATTCGTTTGCGGGAAATGCGGTGAATCGTTTCATTTCGCTTGCGAGCTCGAGTATCACAGTATGCAACACTCGGGTGAGTTGAAAGCAATGAGTAAAGCAACTGTTAGTGTTAGTAGTTAGTTAGTTAGTTAGTAGTTAGTAGTAGTAGTTAGTAGTTAGTAGAAGGTTCGACCGGTAAGCGATAGAGCGAGAGGTTACGGGTTCGAATCCCGGCGCTGACCATGACCGAACTCATAAACGGTTGTTTAACTAAATTATAGCCAAAGTAAAGAACAATGAAAGATTTTAGATGCAAACGGTTTCAAATGTGATTGCGGACGAACGTTTTTCTCATACACTGAGTTGCTCTATCATCGACATCCCGACGAAGAGCCGGCACCGAAAAGAGTCGAGTAGGAAACTTTCTAAAGTCTACAAACCGATTTCTATCTTTATTCAGTAACTTGTTAACCTTTTCCGAACACCAATTAACCTAACTGACCTGTTTAGACTACTCTAACCGCACCTTGTCTGACTGTAAGCACTATTATTCAATCAAGAATTTAAGTTTCAATTTAAAAGCCATCTTCAGGGAATCCTTCCGACCAGTCTCAGCAGTGGCCCTCAATTTGCCGTCAACTTCAGCCAACGCATCCACTCCATTCCCATCATCCGAAGTCCCATTTCCCACCTATAAAACAGAGGGATTTGAACCAAAACATCCTTTGAAAGTAAACCTTTAACAATATTAGAATCAATTCAACCAATAACAACAAAGTATTTAGGTCTACAAAGGTGACATTCGCACAAATCCATACATTTGCGAGTACTGTTCGAAGAGTTATCCAGACTCGCGACAGCTCACCTATCACATGTACAGGTGAGTGACATCATATACAATCCAAATCCGGTTCTAAACCAAGAAACTCAATTGCAATTGCAGTTTACAATTGATTTGTCTCTACTTTAGTTGATTTAAATCCTGATCTGAATACAGTCGAGGATGAACAAGCCAAGAATTTGGAAAATGTCTTGATCAATGTTGTCTTGATCTTGAGGATACAACTAGATATCAGTTTAGAAAGATGCTGATGCTTCAGAAAGAGATCAAACTTTTGCTTTATGTAGAATTATTTTCGTTAGTTGGAAGAATGCTTAGAATGTTAATCACAATTTCTGATTTCTTTCAGTCACCGAGGAGAGCGCAATTTCAACCCTCGTTCCTCTCGTTATTTGATGGGTCGAACCGGTGTCGGTTACACTGATCCACCAACGTTTCGCTATTAAACAACGATTTTCTTGTAATTTTATTTAACAATGTTTCTGATATCCTATTCCTTTTCACATCTTTTATTTAAAATTATGATTTTATTTCCCACAAATCAATTCATAAAATAATTGGAAAATAATCAGATTAGCTCACATCAAGTGATCGCTCGTATTCTGGAAGTTTTCGAAAAGTGTAACGTCGATCAGCCAATTCAGCCAAAGAATCATGACCTAGGAGTTGATAATTAATCGCAAATTTTGAGCTAAAGCTATTAAAATATTACAAAACTGTGCTGAAACAAGTAAGTGTTACAAGAACATTAATACTTTTATATTTTCCTTCCTTGCTACAACAATAATCGTTTACTAAAGAAACTCAATCTTTTAAACACTCACTGTATCGTCGTTTTGACGTCAAATCCAATTGAGAATAATCTGCAAAAGATTCAAATGAGTTTCAATGATTAATCTCACCTTCATCATCACTATCGTTAAACACTTGAACATCATTTGTATCGTGACCAATTGGATTAGTTGACCAGTCCAAAGAGGCTTGTCTAGGAGGTTCATTTTAAAGAAATATATTTTAAATTGACTCACTTGACCAATGCCTCAATTGTAGATTCCTTGTCTTCATCTAAAATCGATGGTGGATCAACCTCTAATCCACTGACTTCATCCTCATCATCACTCTCACCCAATATCGATTTTCTCGTCTCTTCTTTCTTCCAATACTAAAATTAAATCTTAAACAATCCGAGTAGAACATAAAGAAATACTAATGGGAAAATGGCTACTTTACAGGACTAGTTGACGAATTTATGACTAGTTTAAGTTTATCTGGACTGTATTTCTAGAATATCTAAGTATAAATTGAAGTTCTAAAACTGGTAAAAGTTCTAGAAGACGTTAAAAAGTTTAAGCTTATAGCTATTCAAGATTGCTATTCAAGATCTGAGAAGAAATCTCGGGGAATCACTTTTTACATCACGAAGATTATCTAATAAGTACAAGTCGATTTCCCAATTCCTTTCTGCAACTCACTGGATGATTCTTGGTGATTGTAGTGTCGGAATATGTTGTGTCCCCGATTGTGAAAAGCGTTTTCTCTCGTGCATCCGATGGAATCCCTTCAGGCAATGGAGGAAGCGGAGGCTCTCGATAACCACCAGAAATCTGAGAAAAGATTGCATTCAAAAATATCCATCATTATGAATATTTGATTTTAGACAGGATTAAACTAATCATCCAAATTTTTTCACTCAAATGATTTCAAAGGATTAGGATTTGATTGCTTTTCATCGCTTTTCATCTATTGGATAATGTGCTGCCAAAAATAAACGCGTACGGCTTCTAGAAAACACTAAGTAGTAAAATTAAAAAGCTAAAGATATTCAATAAATGTTTAAGTTGCAAACCTTCCTCTTTGCGCTTGCGATAATCGACTCGAAAACGTTTTGGGATTCGCGGCGTTTCGTCATATCAAATTCGTCATCGGATCCTAAAACGGCAAAGCTTTAAACAATAGAATTATTCATATAAGAAGAAAAGAAATCAAGAGCAAAACTAACTAATTTTTACTTAAAAAATTATAATATATCAATTCCTGGTACTTTTCCAATATCGGGGGAGCGGAAGGATTATCGGGGGAGCGAAAGGAAAATCGGGGGAGCAAATTTTGCCCCCTCGAAAAATGCATTTCCGGGACTGTATTTTAACTGCAACGTTTTTTTTAAAACTTTAACGACGATGCGCTTCTCCGATATTTGTGCGTTCAAGGAATCGACGGCAATCGATTATTTCGTCACCAAAGGAGTCATCCAGTCGTGGATTTGCAACTGTGGCGAATCGATGAAAGTCCGCTCAAAGGGAAAAGATCTATTTCGCTGGGTATGTGACACTTGCGCACGGCGAAAGGTCCCCAAGCATTCAAGAGGAATTCGAGTCGGTAACTTTTTGCAACAAAGCAAGCTCGCGTTCGTCACAATTTGTAGCGCTGCCAAAATTTGCTCCCCCGATTTTCCCTTCGCTCCCCCAATAATCCTTCCGCTCCCCCGATAATCGAACCGCTCCCCTGATATTGGAAAAGAACCCAATTCCTTACCCATAACAGAGATTCCGCTGCTTGTTGCTTTTGATGAGCATCGCAATTTTGCTAAAAAAAAGAATTGATTCTAATATAAATGTAATCTAAAATATCAAAACTTACTCGTTGCTTCAATAAAATCTTCATGAAAATATCCACAATCACGCTCGCATTCGATCAATTTACAATAAATTGATGACAAGGGTAAACAAGTGCGATACATTTAAGCTGAAAGAAAAAAAAAGAATTAAAGTAAAACAATCATACAAAGTAGAAAAAAAAACAAAAATTCAGTGTTTTGGAAAGGGTTTTTTTCAATTTTAAGCACAGAATGTATGAAGTGTTTCCGAAAAGCGTCAAAAATAGGGGAGTGGGACAAAGGCGACCTTTTTTTTGCGCACCCGGACATTTGCGCACCTTGCCCATTTTTTTCAGCCCAAAAAAGCTCTAAAAAGCTAATATTAACCAATTTCTATTCCAAAAGTTGTTTTTCTAGGTAATTTTAGGGCGTAGAATTGAAATTTTGGTATATCAGAGCTTGTGGAACCAATTTGAAAGACAAAACGGCTAGATCAAATTACAGAAAATTGTCGATCTTTGTATAACTCCGTCCGTTTGTTTCCACAAGCTCTGATATGCCAAAATTTCGATTCTACGCCCTAAAATTACCTAGAAAAACAATTCTTGGAATAGAAATTGGTTAATATTAGCTTTTTAGAGCTTTTTAAAAACGCGAAAAAAGGTGCGTTAGTGGGCAAGGTGCGGAAAAAAAGGTGCGCAAATGTCCGGGTGCGCAAAAAAAAGGTCGCATTTGTCCCACTCCCGTTTTTTTCCAATTTTAAGCACAGAATGTATGAAGAGTTTCAGAAAAGCGTCAAAAATAGCCAAACGATGTGTGGAAATTTGTAGAAATGAGATGAAAAGCCGACTTGTAGTGTTCTCTAGTTTGAAATCGCCGAATTATTATCGGTTCATTTACGCAAAATAGGAATTGTTTTCTTTGAATTCCCTTTTATAAGGGGAAACTCTATCGGGAAAACACCGGAAATGTGATGAGAAGAAACGTCAAATTTTGATGATCATTATAAGCTATTAGTCACTATTAGTCATCTAATCGGTGATCAACTTATAACTTCACTTTTTTTCCTACAACTATGTTACTTATCTAATAATGTAAAGCAAAAAAAGTAAGGATTTTCTTATTTTGGCCGGAAGAAGCAAGTTAAAACAATTTAAAACAATTTTTTTCATTGTTGACGATCACTATGAGTCAACTAACACAAAAATCAATCGGAAATGCTAATTTACAATTAATTTTGAGTTGTTTTAAAGAGCTAGTTCAAAGATTAGAGATAAGTGAAAGACTTAATCAACAGTAATTATCCTTTTGATTCACTATGCAGTAGAAAAACATCTTTCTGGAGCACTGAATCCTTCATTTCTCTACACCAAATCAGTGCTACGAGAGAATTGGATGACTGAGTGCACCAGAAAAGTTGCGAAGAAGAGAAGACCAGAAAGTTCTAATTTTGGAAGAGATTGTTTAGTTGTAACTTATACTTTTGAAAGAAAACGAAAAGAGTATCAAAGCGTGCGTATTTTCTAAAGGATAAGTTTTAAAGTGGAAGTAAAAGAAAGGCATGCGGATTTTTGGAAATAAAAGAAATGCTTTAAAAAGAAGCCACAAATGAGAATTGAAGAAATACGTGTGTGATTTGTGGCGATAAAAATGGGGAAGGTAATTAGAGGATTGAAAGGTGATGAAGCCTTTGAAGGGGAAGAGTTAGAGAATGGCAATAGAATATAAGAATTGAAATAGAAATAGAAGTTGAAGGAATGAAGATAAATGGAATTGTAAGAGACAGAAGATAGGTACAAGAAAGATGAACAAGGGATAGAAGATTTGGGAAAGCTTACAATGAAGGAGATCAGAAAAGAATGGGAGAATTGGAATATGAAGAAGAATGAAATGGAATAAGAAATAGAATTGCAAGAGATCTGAATTGAAATAGAAATAGAAGTTGAAGGAATGAAGATGAATGGAATTGTAAGAGATAGAAGATAGGTACAAGAAAGATGAAAAAGAGGTAGAAGATTTGGGAAATCTTACAATAAAGGAGAATCGGAATACGAATAAGAATGAAAGGAATAAGAAAGAGAATTGCAAGAGATAGTGTCTTCCTACAATTAGACCCCTCAAACCAGGGACAGCCTTGGCAACCATCACCGCCAAACAATCAACGTTTTTCTATCGTTCTCACTGAATCTCAAGATCTTCTTGTTTTCTTATTCTTTTCATTCCATTCTTCAATTCAAATTATCTGTCTAAATCAAATTTCTCTATCGTTTTCCTTTTCTTTTCTTAAATTATCTTGTATGATATCTAAATTATTCACTTTCTCAATTTTCAGCCTTCTTCTCTTCTTAGAAAATCTCTTCCTTTTCACAAATTTCTTTCGTAAATCACCGATTTCCTTTTATTTTCCATTCTTCTACATCTTTTCACTTCTAAATCTAAAAATTTCCCATCTTTATCTCTTCCTTTTTCCAATTTTCTTACATAATCTAGAAATTTCCCTTTCTTCTGTAACATTCATTCTTATTTAAATCTCAAATCTTTTCCGACAATCGTCTTCTTTATTTTACTCCTTCTTCTTCTATTCATCTCTCTCATTTCCTTTATATTTTCTAGAAAATCCCTTGAGAAATCTGTGTGTATTGCTAATTGTGTCTTTTGGATGTCGAAACAAAACCCCCCACTCAAAATGGTTATTTTTTTGGGGATTTTTTTGGTTATTTTTCATCAATAGATTCAAATTTGTTGTGTAAGCTAAAAAAAATTTATCAAATAAACAAAACATAAATCTTTCCCGTTTGATGATCATGGAATCGCCTCCTCTCGTCCACAACAAACATTGTAGATTGACGAGCGGGGGATCGTGTTTGAGCTGTTAAACAAATTTGTTAAACAACCGTTTATGAGTTCGGTCATGGAAAAACTCATTGTCAGATATTCTAGGGTTGTTTTAAAGGAAATTTTGGCTTTTGCGTAATTTCCGGGTATTTTGAACGAGTCGTCATGCTTTGAAGGCCTATAACTTTGTCCAGAGATAATATTTTCGTTAACGTTTTATATCATTGTACAGAGGACATTTCAGGCTTTCAAATGATACCAAATAGAGCTTGATTGGATTTTTCATTCTCAAGCAAACAAGGCGACACGACACTCGAGTTGGATAGACCTCATTTCCTCAGAGTTGGCTCTGATTTTCTTAGACTGGATTATCCAATTAAGCTCTATTTGGTATCATTTGAAAGCCTGAAATTTCCTCTGTACAATGATATAAAAAGTTAACAAAAATATTATCTCTGAACAAAGTTATAGGCCTTCAAAGTGTGACGACTCGTTCAAAATACCCGAAAATTACGCAAGAGCCGAAATTTTTCCGGCCCAGGGCATAGCTAGGTGTTGGCCTGACTTCTTGTATTGACTTGGCTTGCTTAACCTTGCCAAAGCTGTTCCAAACTGACTCAAAAACTTGATTGAAACATTTTTATAATAACAAACGATCATTTGTCTACCGTTGAGTCCAGAAAACATAGCATTTAAGACATCGAGTTGGTGTGGATTCCTCAATGCCGTCCTCAAAATGGAATCGTTTCTCGACACCGATACGGGCCTCACGACGATTTACTGGTCGAAGTCTGCGCACAGGAATGTAGCCGACTGAGCGTTAGTGTTTAAACTTCTTCAACTTCTCCAAACCTTTAACCTGTTGTGTTCTCTTGTTTCTCATGAAATTCCCTCTATTCACTCTCCCATTTCTCCATCCTTCTCCTCGTTTCTTCACAGTGAGAGGTTGTTGTGTGCTTGCACGTGTCTGCAATTCTCCCTCTTCTACAACGCTTCTCCGGCGGCTAATCCCTAAATTGCGATTGACTGAATACAGTGTCATTGTAAACAAACGGCTTTTGCTCCTTTTTCTTTTAGATTTCTTATTTAGCACTAACTGCTATCAAAAAAAAGCCAGTTTATTATTCAATATTCAAATTATTTTGTTACTTAGTTATTTAGCTTAATATCGGAATTATCTAGTTGAATTTTACCATAAATATTTGCTTGTCGTGATCGAATTTGAACCATAGAATGAACTCGTGCAGTGGTGGGGATTTTCGGGGGAGAAGGCTCCTGAAATTAGAGGGATTAGCTTCAGTTTAATATTGTTTGATTCTATAATTCTATTGATTTTATAAATACTTCTATAACTTCTAACATACCCTAGAGAAAAAGTCAACTGGAATCCTCGTTGGCACTCTTCCAGGGATGTACACTCTTTGCTTTAAAGGGACAAGGGACGGGTTTTGAGCCTGAAACTTGGAGATTTTCTATGTCACGGATAATTGTATAGATTCTTGATGTACTACTATACTTGGATTGTACTTGAACTGTACTTGAACTGTACTTGGACTGTACTTAAATTAGATTTTGAAGCCAACCTCCCAAACTACAGGTGATGGTGAGACGAGAACCCCGTGCACGAGTGGGCGATCAACTTCAGCCAACTTTGTAAACCGGGCTCGTACCCGTTCAGTGCCCGGATTTATCGGTAAAGAAATCCTGAAATAAAATGCTCTATATGTAAATTTCACAATAAACTCACTCTTCACGCTTTTGTCGATCATCATAATGAACACGACTGAGCACAAAATATCGCTTTAATCGGATAAACTCTGAAAATTTAATATTTTAACAGATTAATGATCAATAGATCAACAGATTCAACACAATAATTATTACAATATTCATATATTTACCTTTACTCTGCAAAAATGTGTCCAAATTCGTTAGCAAATCGGTTTTCAAGAATGGGATTTTCAAGCTAAAAATGAAGGGATTTAAAAAAGCAAATAATTACATTGATAATCATAACGATAAGAATTGTTGTAGCTGTTTAAAATGTCTAAAATTACCCTGGTTTTATTGGCGATTTTGATGGGCAAACTGGTGGTGTAGGGAAGGAGAGCGAGTTGAATGGCTAGCCAGGTAATGCATGGACTTCTCATAGCATCTTAGCTCTCATTCAAACGGGTCGATGAATGAAAAGGAATGCGCTAAGTTTTGGCTAAATGTTGCAAAGTGATCATATCATTTTTCTCCCATCAAACTTGAGACTCCAAAACGAAAAGACAATTTCTAAGCGAACCGAAAAACCAGGAAGACTTTAGTTTAAACTTTAAAAGTATATATCCAATTGGAATTAGTATAAATATATGTTAGAATTATAATAAATATATGTTAGAATCCAATTAGAATTAGCTAATATATGAAATCAAAAATTTCAAAATTTCAAAAAAAAATTATTAGATCATTTGACTTACACTAGTTTTCATAGCTTCATTTCACCTAAACCCTCGATCGGGTGACAATAAAATGGCTATAAAACTCGCAAATACAAGGCTAACAACTATATGACTATAAAGCGGACAAAAATATTTGCATTTTCCAGTTTTTCATTATCAAATGGAGGATAGAGGGAGTTTTGTTGGGATTCATGTAGTGGGATGAGCTGGGGATAAGTCGGCACTCCATTTTAAGTGTTGGTGAGGTTTTTATCAAAGAGTAATTAACCAAAGAAGTAGGGGCGGTTAAGCGGAGATTTGATGATAAGAATTTTTTGATCAATTACCGTATTTAAATGAGGTATTTCTCGATAAAGGCTGGACCCTTTTTATCGAGCGATTGCGAAGTTTTTAGGCATTAGTAGGCTTTTGAAGTAATCGCCACAAAACACAAATTAATAGAACCAATATTTAGTCTTTTGAAGATAAATAAGCTACCGTATTACAGTACGGCTCAAGATTACGATAGTTTTTACAAGTGTACACGTTTTAGGAAACACAGACGATAGTATTGACTGCTTTTCGATAGTAATGATAGTAATGTTTCATACTGTAGTGAGACAAGAAACCAGAACTAAGTAGAAAAGATAAAGCAATTACATTTCAAAACTCAAACAAAACTCGAGCTCAAGATTTGAAAAGAACAGAACAGAAAAGAACATTCACGAAATGAGGATCCATGTGAATAAGTGTTTTCAAGGTAGACTAAAGTGTTCCCCATTCTCTTTTAAGTATACCTATAAGGAAAAGAAAAAGGAGAATAAGGGGGCATCATCGGCGGGCAGAAGGAGAACTGGTAGTCTCAGAATTGAGCTCTCTGTCCGAAGTCCCTGTATGAGAAATATGGGAAAGAAGTATAAGAAAGGAAAGAGAGACAGGCTGGCTCTCCCCCATCCTTTTTTCAAGTCTTTTCTAAACTCCACCACTCACAAGGGTATTTTCCCCTTTCTTCATTGACCTTAAAGCATTTCCGAAAGCTTTTCGACTTTTATACCAAAAGTTGTTTCCCTGAAAAAAGTTCAATCATGAAAATTTTCTTGTCAACTTTGCAGAAAGTCATTTAATTTCTCACTTTACTAAATAAACTACAAAAATTACTATCACACATCCAAACCAAAGTTTAAATATACCCGTGAGAAAATGGTCAAATCAAAATACTTGATATGAAGTTAGAAAAAAGCAAAAATTGATAAGCACAGAAACAAAAAAGCTAACAATGACATCAAGCTAGTCAAGATTTTCTTGTGCCGGTCGTCGCGTCATGTATAGGAAGAAGATCGAACAGAGAGCCGATATCAAGAAGATCACGTCGAACCTAAAAAGAATAATTTTTCACTCCAGCTGTATAATTTAGATCTAAAACGGGCTTTTTTTTACCTAATGCTACATTATTGCAATTGAACAAAGAAACGAACCATCGATGGTAGAATGAAAATTGTAGATCGCCGAGCACAATGGTGATGATCTCGCGGTATTTCAATGGCACATTCATTCTCATCAACAGCACCGTCGACACAAAGTACATACCCTAAAAATTTGCATAAAAGCTTGGTATCAATGTTTGTACCGCTCAACTTAATCACTCAAAATTTGTACTCACCATAAGTTGCGCAAAGAAGAGCACAAGAATGTTCGAGCTCTTACTCGAGGCGATCGCATGAAACCATTTCGATAGAGTGATCAATAATCCACGCACAGACGTCACCACGATGACACCGACGAGGAAAAATGAGACGTGTTGGGACCAGAATCGAACCTAAAGACAAAAAATATACCAATAAAATTTTGAGATATTAATAAAATATAGTAGATATAGCTGTAATAAAATACTATATCCTTTAATTTACTCGTTTAAAACCGTTGAATATGCTGAACCAACTCACATCAATGTCAAGGCCACACCAATGAACGCCGATTTCGATTCCACGCGTCACCGGATCAACCTAAATATTAAACGTTAAAAATTAGATTGGTTAAATAAGTAGATAATAGTTCTAGAAGCAGAACCCTAACCTTTCCAACGCGGTCGAACACGATATTCACAGTACAGATGAAAATCTTCCAAAGACAGTAAATCGAGAAGAAATATCCAAGGAAGTTGAAATATTTGCCCATCCACGTTTTTGAGTAATCGACTCGATCCTTAATAAAATACTTTGCATTGACAAAGAAGTCAGCTTAAAAACTTGCTTTCATCGCTCGCAAATCAACAAGTTCGAGGAAGAGATGCCGTTGCAGTTCCTCATTTTGTGCTACTTCAGCTTCCAGATCTCTAAAATTATAAACATTAGATTGTCCGCGATATCCGTGATCATGGCAGATAGCACGCGACAAAGTTCTTCGTATCATACTTTTTCTTTTGAGCCATAGATGATGAAGTGGATGAATCGGTCCATCGAGTGAATGCGCGGCGATAAAGTGGTGCCGTTTCATCGCGGCCTCTCACTAAAATATTTAAATATTACATTTATCAAAAATTTTATGCCCCTGTGCACTAAACATTATTCAACAACAAAATCAGCCAACAGAACCTTACCATTTTCAATCTGACTATTGCAGTCATCCACTTGAAAGAGCTTTCGTAAAATCGCTTCGTTTACTTGGTGAATTTTTCGTTCCATCTTGTGCACTTCGTCCATCGTTACCTAAAGATAAGTTTTAAAGTTTTGTAATCAAATTGAAAAGCCAACCGTGCTGACAAAATAATTTAGGCATTGATACGGTGCGTTCACAGCTCCGAACCCTGAAAGAAAGGCCATCACCGTCACTCCAACGACGCCAACGCGTGAAATCGCTTGCTCGATGGTGAAAATGCCTAAAATATTTAATAACAACAGAAATTCATGTTTTAGGGGGTTTATAAAGATAAAAAATTACCATGTTTGGCACTGAGAATTGGAAATGGATCGCCTGTTTTCCAGAAGAAGTAGATAAAAATAGCCCAGATTGTGAACGCCATGAATAAACGACGGCCAGCTTTCACTAAATCAACAATTTGCTAACCTATAAAAACAAAGTTCTTACATTGCGTAAATGAGTTCAAATAACAGTATGGCATGTAAACGGGAATGACCACAATTAGAATGACGAGGATCAGATTGAGATTGAACTGCCAATGGAACATCCGTGAACTAAAAAGAGCGGATTTCACGATCAGTAAAATTAAAGCTTACTCCGATTCAAGTACATCAACAATCTCAAAGATGATCAACTCGAAAAGGGTACATGATAAAGCGAAAGTGGCGGCAAATAACAGTTGCACGTTTCGATTGTGAACTTCATAATTCCGGAATAACTAAATATTAATGCTCAGTCAATTTATGAATTTTAATTTAAAGCTTTACTCAATAAGTAAAATTACAAAACCGACTTGTTTCAAAAAGAAGAGCCACCCGCAAACAAAGTAGGCAAACGTTGATAGACCCATAATGGTCATGTCGCCCAAGTGAATCATCTTGCATCGACTCTAACTGAAAGTATCCAATCAAAACACTAAAAACACTTGTTATAATTACCAACAAAAATTGCAACACCATTACTTGGATAAATTATTATGGTCATTTCAAGTAAAAATTTATTCACAGTGATAATAAACAACATAACAACGTCTAACAAAAAATGAGCTCCGACTAGCAAAGAATACCCGTAAGTATAAAAACATTAATTAACAACAAAATAAAAATTTCCTATTAAAAGTAGTTTACTAATATAAATCAAAAAAGCTGTCCTCCAGATAAGCGCTTTCTCTTCCTCGGTTGATGGTGTCGCTTGAGGTTCCTTGAGGCTGGCAAGTTCTCATTCTTCCTACTATCATCGTCTTTCTTTACCGATTCACATAGCTTGTTCCTGGAAAATACATACCTAGTTATAAATATCGACTTTTACTTACGTCTTTTCGGGTGTTTCCTGTTCAGGGGATATCGCTGCTGTATTGTTCCCTTCTTCATCATTGTTGTCGTAATTCATCGATTGATGCTGATTGTCTCTAAAATACATAGAAAATCCTAAAACCGTCCTAATTTGTCCTAAAAATTTAACACACATCTTTTTGGATGGCTTCTGATTTGGCATTGTTACTGGCGATTCCTCATCCTTATTAATGACATTCTCCATCGATTGACGTTGCTTATTCCTAGAAAGTATATAAACATTTGATAGGGTAAGTTTTTTTTACAAACGTCTTTTCCGGTGTTTTCTGTTCCAGAGTTTTTGTCGATGGTTCCTTGCTAGTGTTAGTCTCGAGTTTTTTGATTCTCCTAAAAGATAAACAGGTTATTGTGTTGAAGATTTCACTAACTTATTTGCCGGTGTATTTGACGTATCTGTCGTTGCTGTTGTTTGCATATCATTATCCTTCCTTGATTTTCTTCGCACGATGTTGCTAAAAGAAATAAAGATAAGCTAGAATATTTTATAAGCTCAAGAAGTAAAAAAACCTAAAAGTTTAAATAAATTTCGAACTAATCCCTTATTCAGCGAGCTTATTATATCGTCAGTAGCCATTTTATTTTCTGTAATTTAAAAACATACGTATACAAAGTAGACAAAGATCCTTTCGTCACTGAACATTTCTCCCAATGTGCTTGCAAGCGGCCAAGTAACGGGAAGCTTTTGGGAACATCTATGCAAGAGGAACAGGTCAATGAACCCTAAACAAAAAGGTTAACACAAATAGATCTGGAACGCACCGCAGAGTTTAAACGAAATGGAAAATATTGTGGTTTCTCGCTCCATCTCAGCACTGACAACGCATACCTAAATGTGCCAAATATCGATCTAAACGTAAAATCACTTACAATTTCTGATTGACTAACTCCTCTCTAATACTTTCGTCAGGATGTTTAATAAACAAATGGGCTAGAAGAGACGTTTCCTTCATGCGATCCGATTGCCAATCCGTACGACTCATGGGGATTGATTTCTAAAACCTTGCAAAATATTTTAAAGCAAGAATAATTTACATTGCAAAGAACACAAAAATGACGATCAAGGAACGCTTGTAGTAAGGTAGTGGCATTATATGAGAGCGGGTCCGGCTGATCACTAAAACTATTTTGCAAAAACATGGCTACCGCAACTCACCCTTCCCAATCATATCCCTCCAGGATTCGAGAAATGGTGGTTTTTTTTATTAAACTTGCCGAATTAGGTGAAAAAACTCTAAAAGATTATATTCAAGAGCGCTCCCGTTCAAAATTTACGACGTAGACTGTGACGTTGTTGCCATAATTTCTTCCCTTTTGTCCGAAACTTCTCTATTTTCATCGAGCTGGCTATCTAAATACATTGTCAGTAGTTAAATAAGGTCAATATACCTTGTAAATCATTTTCCGTCTTCGCTAAAATCTCGTTGTCAGCGGGAGTTCTCTAAAATGCAACTTTTATGATTTTAAGACCAAATTAAGATAATTCAATATTCGAACTCAGTATTCAAAAAAGCGTACCTCAATTGTTAGCTCATCTTGAACATCGTGATCTTCGACTTCATTCCACTGGTTCATATCTTTGATTATCGTCAGAGGTGGCACAATTGAATATTTCTAAAACTTTATACTTATTGAGCATTGAGGTGTGTAACACCTACGAGTCGATCTGCAATTTCTATGAACTGCCGCTTGGTATTCGGCTTAGGGCCAGGGATTGACCGGCGAGACTTCATCGGCTGATGCAAATCGATTCGGCTAAAAAACAGTATAGCCCTACTTTTAAAAGCTTAGCAAATAGAAACAACTCACTCATAGCAAAAACCATGTTCAGTGGTAATATGATTCATAAATCCCGGGTTCAAATCCGTGTAGTAGCAAATCGAGCAAATATGAAGAGCCGCGTAGTTTTCTGCCAAAATGACACGATTTGCCGTCAACGCAAACAAGTTTGGATCTCTAAAATAAAATTACAAGTAGGACATAGTGCATGAAATATACCCAATATCGTCGATTGGAACTTTTGGTAAATGTAGACGGAAATCATAAATGTCAGCTGGCATCCGCGAATCATATTGAACAAGTTTCCTAAAGTCATATTCATATTCATAAAATCATCCATTTACTGAAAGTAAAACATTAAGAAACTCTACCTAATTAAGACTAACTAATTAAGAAAAGTAAACATGCTACTTACCACTCATAGTCAAAAAAATCCTTGTTAAAGAGTTGCGAATGGTGTTTTTCCAAGTGAGACAATGCATAAGCCCGGGTAAGCCACATATTCGGAAAATCGCATTGTGTGCAAAGTGACTTCTTTGCGCAATCCGGCTTACGGCAGCACCTAAATGGCATGATAAATGTATTTCATATTTTTTGCACGCAACTGCCAAACTTGTTTGTTTTTTGCAAACGAGACAACTATGAAAGATCAATTAAGACTCACCATCGATAGAAGAGAATTCCGTCAAATTCGTCTCGTTTCTTAAAATAACCTTTGTTACGATTGCGCCAAACAAACTTACACTTTTTTTCAGAACCCGTTCAATTTGAAAAAGAGATTGTGGAGGCTCAACCGACAAATCAGCTGCATCAACTGCGTAAAACTCACTCCATGAAAGTTTTCTGAACAAAAAATATAATATTTAACATTTTATGAAGAACCTACATTTTTCGTTTGCAATGATGCCTAGTGTAATGTGATGAACCCCAAACAGGACGAGCGCATAACTAAAACTGCCTATTTTGTTTTAAAATGTAGCCAAACATACCAAGCAAAGATCAAAAATTTGGTGTTTACTTTCGGTGACGCTGTTGAAAAAATCAATTAGTTGTTGATCAGCCGACAAATAGATTGCGAAGCTTCTAAATAAGCGTTAAAATAATTTCAAACCAGCAGCGCTTGCCTATTTTCTGAATTCTCCAATGTTTGAGAGCGTTGACGAAATACTGCGAGTGACGAACCAATTTCCTTTTCGTACCGTTTCCTGAAAAGAATAAAACATTCAGACACGGTCAGACCATCATTAGGAGCAATGAATAAGTGTTAAATTACCATTCTCTTTTGAGGCATTTAGTTAGGCGATCATCCAGTACATTGCTTTTGTGTTTGCACGTCACATGGTCGTCCAGGTGAAGCAAAACGGCGAATCGAAGTGCGTAAGGATCTTGCCGAGAAAGTTTGCGTTTACAAATACGACAATACCTAAAATAAATTTTTACTGGTAAAATAAAAATATCAAATTTACCAGTGGGCTCCACTGATTTCCCCATTCCAATAAATACAGAAGAATCTTTCATACGAGCTTCGATTACTTAGTGGCTGTCCCGCATCGGCGTTGACAAGTCTAAACATGACGAGATTACAAATCCGTTTCAGCTTCAGCCAAAAACAACTCTAAATTCGTTTTGACTTTCTTTCTGCAACAAAATGCTGATCACGTTTCTCCCTCACACACAATTGTCACTTTGCGTACCTTCTGAGCAAGTGTTGATCAGCGATTTGGCAAAATTTCGACTTTGTAAACATCGTTTCCCTTGTTTGATCAAATTCACTAAAAATATTTCATTAATCAAAAACCTCATAAACTCACATTCTATCTAACAACGATGCCTCAACATCCAAACCAAATTGAATCGGATAGTCTTCTTCATCTAAGAACAGTGATGATTAGTATTAAAAAAGGACATTAACCTATAGATTCAGGTAAACCGTGAGTATCAGCGAGATGGGATTCCAAAAGCTCTTTGACTCCGGTAACGAAAAAGCATTGCGAACACGTGAAAGTCCTTGAGCCAATCTAAAATTGACGTGTTTTGCGAGCTTTTGCTTTTTAAATTACCTGCCCACGATGAGAGGCCATGTGCTCGTGAATGTGGCCAGTTCCTCGATTGAATTGAACTTCTTCACAAATGCCGCAATACACCTAAACTTAAAACGATTTGAAGACCAGACTCAAACTTTTTACACCAAAATTGGCAGAAAACAAAAGTGAGAAAGGCTTGAAAACTTACTTTGAATGACTCTGGTAGATCCTTGCCAAGTGGAAATTCATCTTCGCTGTCTTCTTTTGGAAATTCGGATTCGTGGTCGTCTTCAAGCTCTCCATCAGAATTCATAATCTAAAATATAAAATGTCCAAGGAAAGTTTAAAACGAGTGAAAAAAAGTATGAAAGTAGAGAAGGAGAAAAAGTTGTTTCAGGAGTTTTGAAAAGTGCATTATTTAGCTTTATTGTCTTCAAAACCATTAAACTAAGAGTATTCAGCCCATCGATTGGATATTTTTAGATCCTATTGGTCTAAGGCGACGTTAAAGAAGCGAAGATTTTAATCTTTCATCTGCATGATAATAAGACACGACAGTAAAAACACGCCTTGAACACTTGCGAATTTTTACGCGAAAGTGAACACAGGATGACACGAAACGGGCGTCTTAGGGTTGGATTAGCGGATTTGAAAAGAAAGGAGAACATTGGAAGTAAAGTTTTTGTAGAGGTTAAATGGTAAAGAACGTAAGAACGTGACTAAAACCTGAACTACAAGGATTTTAGGTTGAGTTAAATGGCAAAAGATCTGCCAAGTAGTAGCAGTATAGCAAAGCGTTATATCAAACTTGCTGTTGTTGTTAAAGTGGTTACCTCGAATACTTGAATCAGCAAAGGAGTTTTTTAAATTTTTAATGACATCAAGCTTTTTGCTTGTACGGTGAATAAGATTAAATTACAACAATTACCCGTTTTACAGTACGTTCATTTTACGGTACTCAAGTGTATTGGGTAACTCTAAAAGTTACCCAATATTCCCTCGATTCCACCATTCCCCTAGCATTTCTTGTTCTTGTTCTCACATTTCTCAGTGACGATTCGCAAATCCTTCAGAAACTTTTAATGTATTCACTTGGAACGGGCCGCGTTTCCCTTGACGATCATGCAAGCATTACCATCCACTCCTCAAAAACACCTAACACTTAAAATTTCTCATAAAAGGCGATTTTTGAAACTCTCCGCCAACTCTGACATGGATTACTACTTGATTTTGTTCATATTCTTTGCTGGAGTGTCAGCTCAAAATAATTATACATGCACGTGTGATACGACTGTTGCCACAGATCCAAGCAGTGAATGTACAATCGAGGTAAATCTTAGAATGACATTTCTCCTCACTTATTTTATCAATACATTAAAGCACTCAAAGTTGTAGCCAACTTTATCTAATCTTTTAAAGATATTGGCAAGTGGCACCGTGAATGTTCTGTCATGTACATGTACGACGAGTGGCTGGGTAAACACGTGGACGAATGTCAGCAACAAGTTCTATGCCACGTGTGAATCAGTGGACACTAGTAAGTGAACAAAGATCAATAACAACTTTTTATTGATAGATGTGACTCGATGCAATACAGAAGTGATGTCGGATATGTGGAAAAACGTGACAAAATACGCGGTGATAGGAACTTCGATCTTTGTCATTATCGTGACTTTTCTAGTGATCTTCATGAATTGCAAGTAGGTAACAAAGAAAAATTGGTAAACTGATTATAAGATTAAAATCATGGGCGACAGTAAGCCCGATTGGGAATAGTTTTTCACTTTCCTTCGACATCAAGACTCTGGTTTTAAAAAAACAACTCTAGTAGCAAGTGGATATAGAACTTACTCTACTAAATCATTTTTTAACTTTTTAGAAGTAAAGGCCCTCACCGTACGCTTCAACTCTTCGAGGAAATAGCTCTCGTCTTTCTCTTCCTCGCCATGGGCATCTTGCAGTTCTTCTTTCTCGATAAAGCAGTAACAAAATAAAAAGAATCTACTTAGAATTGAGATTAAACATTTTAAATTTTTAGACTCCATGTAAAATCGTTACTATTGTCACACAATTCATGATGACTTTCTTGAGTGGACTTTTTTTGATGGAGGGATATTTTGCTCAAGGGTATGCTCAAGGGCTCAAGGTGTATCATAAAACAATGAAATTAGAATGATCAACTATCGAAAACCAAAGAATGCCGGGTTTGGGACGGCAATGAATTTGGTGATTCCATTGATTTTGGCGTTGATTGTCAGTGGGGCAACTTTCGCGATTGATAATAAATATTACGGGAAGACAGGTCTCAGGTGGGGTTTTTTTTTTTGAAAAGCATAACATTGTTGTAGATTGTTTAAAAATAATAATTTCAGTTGTCATGCGGTTACGAATGTCGGCATGATGTATGGCTTCATTTTACCGGTTTGGATTTTGTGCTTCACTGCGGGAATTATGGTAGGTTGTTGGCACTAGTATCAATATTTTTTTGTGGTGTTACAAATAACAATAACAATATTTGTACTAGGCTCAACGAGGGCTACTGAAATGCAAAAAAGTTCTCCCTGATGCCGACGAGAATCAAGTCTACTGGGGATAGTTTGTTTTTGCAAAAGAATAATATAGCAAAGATTTTTATCAAATTGAAACCATTTACAAATAAAAATTCAGTAAATCAGCTAAAGCCTTGGTTCCATTTTCAACACTGATCGTTTCAATCTATGTCCTCATCATGTTCGGGCTTGATCAACAGCGGTGGGTGCACAATTGAATCATGAATAGGCTATGATTTCTAAATTTCTTTTCTATTAATAATTTCCAGGTTCTACATTCTTCTGCTAGCTGCATTCTTGAACATCATTTTGGCTTTCTACATCTACGCGGCGCATACTTTCTGCTATAGAGAAGTGGGTCTAAAATGGGTAGATTGGATGACTCTTGTTTAAACTTTAACATATTCTAAACTTTCTCCACGATAGATTTAGCTGAATCTAGGCATTGTATAATTCCAAGTTATCTGTCTGTGTGTCACCGTTTTCCCGAGATGGGAGAACTCATCCCAAACAGCAACAAAAGAAAGAATGAAAAGTTAGCGCTTTCCTTTAGCATAAATTTGATTTAAATGCAAATGTTTGAAAAAGTTATATGTTAATTTTGGTCAAGTATGGTAGGTTTTTATGAAGTTTGATGGATCTGCTCTTTTTCTTAAGCTTCAAGAAGCAAAAGATGCACAGTCTTGTTGGCTGAATACTTTTATAGTGAGGCAAAAGACTGTAATTTACCGTTTTATTAAGTATCTAATTGCTTATTAAGCTTATTTGGCAATAAACTAACAAAACATTTCAGTTAGCGATGAAGAAAGCACCAGGCATCGGTGGAATCTATCGACAATGCCCTGATCCAAACAAGAAGGTGAGATTTCAAGTAATCACTTATCAAATCAACAATGTTTATTCAAAATTCTAGCCTAAAGATGATTACAATGATGATGATTATGATGAAGATTCGACGAAAAGAGATAAACCTCCACAAAAATCTCCTGCTCCAATTGAACCGATTCCCGTTGAACAACCACCGAAAGTTTGAGAATAAAAAGTGTTTTGTGTACAATTGAAAACACAATATTTATAATTCAAAAGATTTCTAATTGTTAGAGCTTTTTTAAAATCGAAATGATGACAGATAAAACCCAGAGAAAATGAAACGAAAAGTAAACAAACCGGTAATCCTTTTGGAAAGATTAATTTAATGGAGTTTTTCTTTAAACTCTACTATTTAAATATATAAGGTGGGCTACTGAAATGCAAAAAGGTTCTCCCTGATGCCGACGAGAATCAAGTCTATTGGGGATAGTTTGTTTTTGTAATATAGCAAATAATATAGCAAAGATTTTTATCAAATAATCTAAAGAGATAAATCTCCACAAAAATCTCCTGCTCCAATTGAACCGATTCCCGTTGAACAACCACCGAAAGTTTGAGAATAAAAAGTGTTTTGTGTACAATTGAAAATACAATATTTATAATTCTAAAGATTTCTAATTGTTAGAGCATTTTTAAAATCGAAATGATGACAGATACCGTATTCTCTCTAATAGTAATGTACCCTGAGCGTCGCCTAAATTCCTCGAAATCTCGAGAACCGCTTATCAAAGCCTATCGATGTGGGATCGGAAAATGTAGCTGATGATGAGATCTAGTGGGAGATTAGAGTGTTGAGTTTCTGTGAAAACTTTGGAAGCCGTAAATAGTCATCAACTCGGCTCGCTGGGGTGCACTACTATTAGAGAGAGTTAAATAGAAATTATATACCGTATTCTCTCTAATAGTAGTGCACCCTGAGCGTCGCTTAAATTCCTCGAAATCTCGAAAACCGCTTATGAGAACCTATCGATGTGGGGTCGGAAAATGTAGCTGATGATGAGATCTAGTGGGAGATTAGAGTGTTGAGCTTCTGTGAAAGCTTGGAAACCGTAAAATAGTCATCAACTGCACTACTATTAGAGAGAATAACAGTAAAACTTTCCAGAGAAAATGAAACGAAAAGTAAACAAACCGGTAATCCTTTTTGGAAGGATTAATTTAGTGGAGTTTTTCTTTAAACTCTGCTACGTTTAAATATAAAAATAGATTTACTAAAAAGCTTTATGAAAAAGAACTACTACAAGTTATTCTTAGAACTTTTGAAATCAAGTTGACTGAGCTGAAGCTTTCCTGTCTTTTCTCTTTTTACAATAAAGAATTCTATGTTGAAATGAATGGTTTATTTTTGAAAGCACTCATCGCAATAAGTGCCTACCATTGACCTTCCCTTTTTACCTCCTCTAACCTAATCTTTTTAGCTTCAAAGTTTTCCATTTCAATTTCAAAATCCAACAATCTAATTATGCATCACTAACACAACAATTGATCAAACAATTTTTGCAAAACTGTACTGTACTTGAAAATTTCAATGAAAGTATCAATGTTCTATCACTTTTTCATCCCTCAAATCAAATATTATCTGAATACCGGTGTCTTTCGCAACTCTTAACCCTTTTGACCCATTTTGGCTCTTCTAAGCCCTTCCTCTCTTGTCTCTTTGCCCTAAAATTGCCTCTCCCATTGGTCTCCCATTCTTTTTCTCTCTTCCTTTTGCCTCCCAATAAATATCTAGCAGTGTATTGATTGAAATCTCTTTTTTTGTTCAATAAGTTTTGACGTTTGTAACATTTTCGAAACTATTCTTTTTATTTTTAGAAAAAAGTTTTAGACATAATGGGGAAATCATACAAATTCACATACTTCGACATGAGAGGTAATTTTATTTGAAAAAAAATTTGATTTAAAGATTATTAGTGAATAGGAATTGATCAAATATTTCTAGAAAAAGATAAAAAAATGATTTTTTTTTGATTCCAGGATTGGGAGAACAAGTCCGTTTATTATTGGTGGATAAAATGATTTTTTGATTCCAGGATTGGGAGAACAAGTTCGTTTGTTATTGGTGGATAACAACATCCCATTTGAAGAAAAGCGTTTTACTAAAGAAGAGGATACAGAATGGCAAAAGCTGAAAGTGAAATTGGTGAATATTTTGAAGAATTAGGTTAACGAAGCTTTCAAATCTAGCCATTCGGTCAATTGCCGACTCTGCAAGACGATGATGAGCTTATCGCTCAATCCGGCGCGATCATGCGACATTTAGCGAGGAAACATGGTTCGTTTAATAAAAGTTCATAAGATTTAGTTAACTGTTACTCGTTTGGTGATCTATTAAACTTATAAACTATACAATACCGAGCAAAAGTCTTGCAACATCACTTTTTCAACTAATTCAACATCACTAATTATTCTAATTAAAAACAAAAAAGCCCTACGAACGGGTGGTATTTTCTATAAAAAAATTTCATCGATTTTTCTGAAAAAATGATGTTGCAAGACTTTGTAAATACTGTAACTATTCAAAATTAAAATCAAAAACTCCTAAAAAGATTTAGATCTTTACGGGAAAAACGAATCTGAGCGTACTTATGCTGATATGGTGTACGATTCAATGAAAGATTGGCACTCTGTCTATGCAAAAACCGTCTATTGTGGAGATCAAAACTTTGTGAGAATTATAAAATTATCAATTGCCTTTAAAAAATAACTTTAGGAAGAACTCCGCGAGAAATACTTGACAACGATTTTGCCGAGAGCTCTCAGCGCTTTCACGACGTTTCTCAATCGTTACGATAACGGAGAGCATTTCGTTTTGGGGAATAAAGTCAGTTGGGAAATGTTATAAAATATCATTATTTTAGATCAGCTTTGTTGATTATACACTTTTCGAAGAGTTGGATTGTCATTTGAGGCTTGATTCGTCGTGTCTCAAAGATTACCCACTTCTTGCCGCGTTTCACTCACGCATGAACCAGCGGCCATCATTGCAGGTGAATGAAGACAAACTGCAACATAAAAATGAAAGGAAAACAGTCTTAGCATAGTCCTAAAGCTTTAATATTCTTCTAGAGTGTTGAAATTTTGTAGTGAAAGGTTTTAATAGCAAAAAAAATCTCTCGAAAGATGAGATTGTGTGTTCCTCTTGACAAAACGTTTTCTAAAAGTGTATACTATCGTAATCTATCGTAATCTATCGTAATCTATCGTAATCTATCGTAATCTATCGTAATCTATCGTAGTATATCGTAATCTATCGTAATCTATCGTAACCTTAGCCTTCTAAAGCTAGCATAATCTTTTTAAGACAAAAACTACTGTAATCTGTCGTATACCAAAGAAATGTAGCTAGATTGGATAAAAGCTAGAGTCAAGATTGACATATTTTGACGAGAGGAATAAACTATAAATCAATTATTAAATTTTTAAAACAAATTGGCTTTACAAACAATCATTCCCGATTTACAGAATCATTTGATGAAGCGTGCCACGTCGAATGTGCCCGTGAACTGGTCTGGGAACGCCAATTGATCAAAATCATCAAGGCAACGAAATCCAAAGCTTATCATTTCATCAAACTTAGCAATTTACGAGTTTTTTTGCTTTAAATTTTCACTTATTTATGCATTTATCTAGATAAAATAGTTTAATAAATCAGAATTGACATTCAATTTTCAATTTTCATTCAATTTTCATTCAATTTTTATTCAATTGACATTCAATTTCCAATTTTCATTCAATTTTCAAAAAATTTGATCTAGAATCATTGAAATCGACTGTTTTTTTCAAGAAATCGTCGTCAACCAAAAAAAAACATTAACAAAAATATTTTGCCGAAAGCCAAAGAGAAAAGACAAAATAAAACAGAATGGGAAAACATTTAAATCATTTTTGAATTTCGTTGATAGAGAGAAATCCCACATTGGCAGAGAAATACGAAGAGATTTTTTCCCTCAAACGTTTTGCTTTCAAGTTCTCATCGTTTTCGAAAGTTTGCTAAAGTTCTCGTAACTGTTTTCAGTTTATTTATAGTTGCTTTTCTTTGTGAGTACTCGGAATCGATAAATTGAATACTGAAGCTTAGTTACATCATATAAAAGCAGGCAATCCCTGCAATCATGCCCTGCCACATTTCCCTCCAAATACCCCAATCATCTCCAAATGTTATTCAAGTTTTTTCCCCCTCTATTTACCTCGACAAAATCTTGTTGAAACCCCTGACCACCGTGTTTTTGCCCCGCTCATTTTCATTGATAAGAGCTCCGGTACCAGACACAAACCATCACTCAAGCTTTCTTTTAGATCCATAAAAGGAAACTTGGGTAGTTCCTCTTTTGGAATTCAACGTGCAATCATGGTGAGTTGATTTTGAATCTTTAACTTGAGCTTTGTAGAGCCTATTAGAAGAACCTAGAGCCTTGGTTCTTCTAATAACTTCTCAGTATTGTCTACCGTAATGACCTAGCTTTTTTTCCCTTTACAGTAATCTAAAGATATCCATGTATCAAGAAAAAGTTTCAGAAATCTCTACTTTTCGTGGCCTTAGTGGCCATCTCTGTGTACGGTTATCGTTCCGAATCCTCTGAGTCTGACGAGGATCTTTTCCAGCTCAAACCTCAATCAAATCGCAAATTTGTTCTCGGTTAGTGAAACAGAATCCACTTAGCTCTCTAGATCTAATAAATTTAGTTAATTTAAATCTTAGAAACATTTCAGATCAATACCGAAACCGAGTGATTCCCAAGGAGGCGCAAGAGCTCACCGGTGACGCGCTCATCCGATATGTGAATCAAAAACAGAGCTTGTGGACTGTAAGTTGAAAGAGTTTAAAGCCTTAGATGTGTAAATCCGTAGATATGTAAATGAAAAATTTCAACTTTCATTTCCAGGCCAGACGCCATCCTCGCTTCGATCGCTACCCTGATCGCACCAAATGGGGATTGATGGGAGTGAAAAACGTACGACTTCCGATTGAGGTATTTATATCATACAGTATTTAATTACAACATTAAAGCATTTACAATTTCTAGGGTTTGATGGAGACAGCTGAATCGGAGAATTTGGATGTGTACATACCCGAGAATTTCGACTCAAGACAGCAATGGGATTACTGTGACTCGATCAAAATCGTCAGAGATCAAAGTTCTTGCGGTAAGTTTACATAGAAAGACTTTGGTCGTTCAATAAAATGATTTAAAATTATAAAAACTAAATCTAGAGTTGATAGAGTACTATTTGATTGTAATGAAGATTACAGAAGTGCCAAGTTTTTATATAGTAAAGAGACTATATAGTAAAGAAAATCTCTAAGTTTCAAGCAGATGAATATTTTAAACTGAGTATTCTTGACTTCAGGTTCATGTTGGGCTTTCGGCGCTGTTGAGGCAATGTCCGATCGTATTTGTATTGCTTCAAAGGGAAAAATCCAAGTCTCTCTATCGGCTGATGATCTTCTCTCGTGTTGTAAACGATGTGGATATGGGTGAGTAGGAGAATTAAACTATATATTTCTTTCATTTCAATGAATTCAATGAATTCATTTCATTTGTCCCGGTGAGTGACACGTGATAAGAACCGAATGACCCCAAAAATGATTAGCTTTTAAGGAAAAACAACAGTGATAAGAGGGAAATGATTGAAAGGTTTTGAAAGAGAAATGGGAAAATTTTATAGAAAAATTTGGTTTAGATATTTATTTTGAAGACTCACTGGATAAAAGCAACAAGTTAGAAAGCTTTTGGTTGTATGGAAATTTGAATACCGTATTCTCTCTAATAGTACCTGAGCGTCGCCTAAATTGCTTGAAATCTCGAGAACCGCTTATCAGAACCTATCGATGTGGGGGTCGAAAAATGTAGCTGATGATGAGATCTAGTCGGGGATTTGAGTGTTGAGCTTCTGGGAAAAATAGGAAACCGTAAAATAGTCAAATAGTCATCAACTCGGCTCGCCAAGTGCACTACTATTAGAGAGAGTTAAATAGAAATCATATACCGTATTCTCTCTAATAGTAGTGCACCCTGAGGGTCGCTTAAATTCCTCGAAATCTCGAGAACCGCTTATCAAAACCTATTGATGTGGGGTCGGAAAATGTAGTTGATGATGAGATCTAGTGGGGGATTTAAGTGTTGAGCTTCTGCAAAAGCTTGGAAACCGTAAAATAGTCACCAACTCGGCTCGCCGCGGTGCACTACTATTAGAGAAAATACGGTAATTAAGATAAGAGCTAACTATAAGATTCATTAAATTGAACTTTAAAGCTAAACGATTGCAGATGCAATGGTGGAGATCCGTTGGCGGCTTGGAAGTATTGGGTGAGAGACGGAATCGTCACCGGATCCAACTACACGGCTAAACAAGGCTGCAAACCCTATCCATTCCCTCCATGTGAACATCACTCAAATAAGGTTTTTCTTTTGAAGATTATTTAAACATAAGCTTCTTGATATTTCTCTGGAGCTTACAAAAACTGAACTAGGTTCATTTTTTACTAACAAGAATCTAATGAATAAAACAATTGGATTAGCCAGGCTTCATAATTTCCAGACTCATTACGATCCATGTAAACACGATCTCTTTCCAACTCCTCGCTGTGAGCGAACCTGTCAAGATGGATACGATACCGCTTATAAGAAAGATCTTTACTTTGGTTAGTGCAAAAGAAATAATAATATAACTGCAATTTAGCTTTACAATTACCAGTTCACTAGTTCACTTTAGGAAAATCCGCTTATGGAGTGAAACAAAATGTGGAAGCGATTCAGAAGGAGATTCTCACGAATGGACCTGTTGAGGTGGCGTTTGAGGTCTACGAGGATTTCCTCAACTATGATGGAGGAGTGTATGTGGTATGTGAATCTCATGTACACTTTAATTGAATCTCTTTTAAGCATACTGGTGGCAAGCTTGGGGGTGGACATGCAGTGAAGATGATCGGATGGGGAATGGAGAAAGGAACGCCCTACTGGCTTGTGAGTTTCTTCTTTCAAAACTACTGTAACTGTAGTTTTATATAATAGCTTTGATATGTTTTTAAAAACGGATTAATCAAGGGAATGGAGAATGGCATCAAGGGATTCAAAACCTTTTATTTCATGAAGCTTTGAATGTTCTAATTTCAGGTGGTTAACTCGTGGAATGAAGACTGGGGAGAGAATGGACTTTTCCGTATTATTCGTGGAGTTGATGAGTGCGGGTAAGTGATGAAAAAAAAGCGGTTAAGCACAGTTCATTGTTTTTATTTAACCAAAGCTGGCAAGCAACCAAAGCCAAGTAGATAAAAGAAACAAAATACCGTACTTTTCTTTGTAAATTTATTCCAAAATACATTAAAGATCTGGCTCTTGGTCTAGAGTGGCTTTTAATCCAGTTGAATTTCAGTTCCAGTTGATTATTGAATGCAAAGTCTAATTCCAGAATTGAATCTAGTGTTGTGGGAGGAATTTCCCATATTGACAAGCGTATTCAGTTGAATTTCAGTTCTAGTTGATTATTAAATGTAAAGTCTATCAATCTAATTCTAGAATTGAATCTAGTGTTGTGGGAGGAATTCCCTGTATTGACAAGCGTATTCAGTTGAATTTCAGTTCTAGTTGATTATTAAATGTAAAGTCTATCACTCTAATTCCAGAATTGAATCTAGTATTGTGGGAGGAATTCCCCGTATTGACAAGTGTATTCAGTTGAAATCCAGTTCTAGTTGATTATTAAATGCAAAGTCTATCAATCTAATTCCAGAATTGAATCTAGTGTTGTGGGAGGAATTTCCCATATTGACAAGCGTATTCAGTTGAATTCCAGTTCTAGTTGTTTATTAAATGTAAAGTCTATCAATCTAATTCCAGAATTGAATCTGGTGTTGTGGGAGGAGTTCCCCGTATCGACAAGCGTCACCATCAACGTCTCCACCGTCGTCAAGCCTCTCAACAAGACTCCGACTCTGAGGAATAAAATTCGAAATTCTTTTGCGTAATCTAATAATGTTTTTTAAAATAAATATATAAATCAATACAAACTAATTTATTCAATGAAAAAGAATAAGGCAAGAAGAAAAGAAAAAAAAAAGAAATTACACAAGAAGTGCACATTCTGAGAGATATCCAGAGATTTTTGTGGGGGAAAATTGGGGAAATCACAAAAAAGATTACGATAAATTTTCCATGATATAAACTAGAAAGAAAATGACACAATGAAATGCAATTAGCACACCAAGTGAATGAAGAGGAGAGAAATGGGCCCCGTTTCTTTTTCCGAGGGTAGTAGAGAGTTACGGTACTTATAAAAATTGAAATAAATCTAAAGTAAGTCTTAGAAAAGAGTACTGTATCTGTACTAGTGTCTATTGTAGACTTTTACAAAGAAATCTTGGTCTTAAAACTGAGTAGTGACAATAAAAACAAGTTTAGAAAAGAGTACGATAGTTTATAGACTTTTAAACAAATCTAGATTGATTTTCAGAGATAATTGCGGTAATTCTTAGGCTTTTAAACAAATCTAGATTGATTTTAAGACAAAAGTACAATAGTCAGTCATTCATTTTAAAAGATTGTGATACTAGAATGTTGTTTTTTAAGCTAAAAAAGCTTTACAGTAGACTCCAATAAATCCAAGAAGCACCTTCAGTTTCCTATAAACTTTGTATAACAAAAAAAGCAAAAACAGATCATTTTTTAGACATAGAATTGAGTTAAAGATGTGGTTATATGAAGATAAAGTTTAAATTGGCACAAAAAAAAAAAAAAACAAAAAAAACAAAATCTATGTACACATGGAATGTAAACGAAGTGAAGATGAAAAAAAAAGTGATCTCGTTAAGGCAAATGAGGTATGAAAATTGGAAAAAAGAAGATCAAAATTCAAAATTCAAAGTTTTAAATCTATTCTAGGTATTGATATTTTGTTATTTCAATTCCTGAATGAAAAACGGGCAAAGATTGAGGGTGAATGTGGCAGTAAAAGGGCTAAAGAGAAGAGGGGAGACTTGGCAAGGACATATTTCAAAGAAGCTTTCAAAAGGCATAGCTGAGAAAATATAGAGATTTCTAAAATCATATGAAAAGTGGATGAATAGACAAAGAATTCACAGTTAACTAAGCAATGATTGTTGATTGTATATAAGTTGGGTGTGTTCGGGTGTGCGATGGATCTCTTCCAAGCATTTCTGAGAGGAGACTCGCTGATGGATCCACTTCGCCGGCTCGATAGCGTTCGTAGAGATGCTGATGACAGGTTGAGGCAAGGATTCTAAAAATTTAGTGTTTAATTTGAGTTCGACTGTTCAAGAATCATAAATTCGTTTTACTTTTACACAAAAGAAAGCCTTTTGTGGCAATAGAAAGCCTTCTATTGCCTTCTATTGCCCTATCTGGATAGGGAAAAAGTGTGCCATCATAACCCCAAAATCTTTAGCTATAAAGCAAACTTTAAAGCTTAGCTACCGTAATACTGAATGTTTAAATGCCTAGATTTTCTAAATTTCTATATCATAGGCTTGATCTTTATAGATCTATATGTTTCAAATAACTATAACTACCGTAAATACTGTAATAGTAGCCCACCCCCATAATGACGATGTGGAGTGTTGCGTGCGTAGTCTAGCTTTGAACGAGTTTTTCTCGACACTGGTCTATGCTACAATGCGCGTTTAGATATCAAAAAATAGCCCTGAATTTCAGCTATTTTTTGACACCAAAGATGCATTTTTTGGAAGTACGGGCGCTTTGAAAAAAATGAAATACTAAAAAACTTTTGCGACTACGCGACTGTACGAGGGGGGTGGGGTACTATTGCATTATTTACGGTAGTTAATGTTACGGTAACTGAGGTATCGACTTTATGTAAATCGATCAACTAGAAAAGTTCCACCTTTTCTAACCAAATCACACTTTATATATCCTAATCAGACTCAGGAAAAGTGCTAGCCATGTTCATAGAGCTTGTTGTTGTAGCTTGTAAAACAACAAGTTGTATTTAAGTTGAAATCCTTCCCCTACAACTTTAGCTATTCAAACCCTTCATTTCCCTTCCAACTCCAACCCATCACTTCTTTCATTCTTGCCATTCTTGCCGTTCCCATCCCTTCCACGATCCCTCCAATCCCATTTTCCCGTTGGTGCCACCCCAATCTCATCGATCATCGTTACCGTATCCCATTTCAGGAAAATTTGCATTTCCACACCGGCTGTCGGCTCGGATTTCCCCGTTGAAGGTCAGTTTTTTAGCACTTTTTCTAGCAAAAACCGCTACAGGGAAAAGAATTCCGAAAGATGCACAAAAAAACCGGTAGCTGACAATGGCATCGAGAAGAAAGGGATCCAAGAAAAGGGATTTCATTTCGATTAGCGGTGTGTTCAGTCATTCTTTTCTTCTTTTCCCCTTTCCAAGGCCATCTGGCGACATGAGCAAGCCTTCAATTGCCGTTGGGCCAAGTCTTCACTTTTTTTGCTTGATGCACAAAAAAATGCTTGATGGGTTTTCGGGGGGAAAGAAAGACGAACGGTGTTCCAATGCAAAAAATGGTGGGATACGGTCGGAGAAGGGTTCAAATCTTTATTGAATTCGAGAAAGTTTGAGTTTTGCAGAAAAGTTAATGAAGCTTGAGAAGCTGGTAGGAGCGTTCAACTTGTTGAAGTTTGACACGCTACAGTAGACTGCAACACTATGCTACAGTAGAGTACGCTACAGTAGACTGCAACACTATGCTACAGTAGACTACGCTACAGTAGACTGCAATTCTCATGATTCATCATACCGTAGTTCATAGTGCTTAGAAAGCAACTAACTGTAAGACTTATTCTTAGTGACTCTAGCTAGTAAGGTAGGTCTTATTTTTAACTTTATAATTACAGTAACCCGAACCAGTACGTAGCTTATAGTACGATTAGAAATCTGTCTTACTCTATTTGCAAGTACGATAGTTCATAGTGCAATTTAGAATTGTCCTGTATTGGAATGGAATCTGTACCGAATTGGAATGAAATCTGTACCGTATTGGAACAGAAATCTGTACCGTAATGGAATGAAATCTGTACCGTATTGGAACAGAAATCTGTACCGTAATGGAATGAAATCTGTACCGTACAATAAATAACTCCAAAGAATAACTCGAAAACAATCTACCAGTACGTCTTTTCACAGACTCAAACTCATAGTTCAATTCATCGTTTCCTCAAAAAAAGTAACTTCTATTCTTTAACTTTATAAGAATAAGGCTCAAAAACTTGTCTTCATTTGTTTATTCATTAAAGTTTGAGTCTTTTGTCTTTCTTTTTCTTAACCTTCACCTAATTTCCTAATTTCTTCTCATTAATTCAGCACACTTGACTAAATTCAAAAAGGGGGATTAAGAGGGGGGAAAGTGATTTGTCCAAGGTCTTAGAATATTTAGGGGAAAAAGAAAGGCAACAGTTATATAGCCACAAAAAAACAATGGTTTGACCTGTTCTAGTTGTCAAAAAAAGAAACCTCAACAATATGCAAATCGCTCTTAAACAATATAAAAGTTGAGTGGTTGAGGAGGAGGGACAAAATTGGGCCTACCTGAATGCTAATGCGTTTACGGTGGGCTGAGAAAGTGGGGGAAAATCACCAATCATGGCCTAATTACGACCTCAGGGTCATCCCTAAGCTGTTTACTACGATTGAGTAAGTTTTATTTGAGAAAGACATTAAGGTTATGGCTTAAATTTATCGTTTATTAATGGATGAATGTCAAAATGGATACAGATCAAGGTGGAAAATCGGAAACAATCGAATTTTGACTTTAAATTGAAACCTAGCTTACGAACACTGATGCAGTTATAGTAGCTAAGAAGTTATAGTAGCTAAGCAGTTATAGTAGCTAAGCAGTTATAGTAGCTAAGCAGTTATAGTAACTAAGAAGTTATAGTAGCTAAGCAGTTATAGTAGCTAAGCATGTCAAAACTTCAATAAAAATCGATCTTAATAAATCTAATTCAAGCCTAGAACAGAAAAAAGAAAACCAAAAACCTTTAGACTTAGACTATTTTTCAGTTTTCGTTGTCTTTTCGTTTCTCGAGTCTTAGATGGATCTAAAAAGAGATCCCTACAGTGCCTCGAGATGGGATTGAGGAGGGGAAGACCTTTCTCGAGTACTGAGATTCACGGTCAAGGACATTCACCCCAGTCCTTTTCTTTTCATGTTCTCTTCAACGAATGCTTAGGAGTCACCATACTGACCCTTACCTAGGCTTAGTCATAAAAAAGTTTAGTGAAAAACTTTGAACCACAGCCGCAAGAAAATGTGATTCAATTTCTAAGCTTTTTTAAAGGCACTGGTTACATTTTGATTGCTTTGCTCAAATCTATAGATTTGCAAGTACTTTCAAGGCTTATTTCTAAGTTATAGAAAGTTTCTAAGTTATGTATTGTTGATAAAAAAACTCACTTAAGACTTTGAAAAGTGTTGTAGAGATATTGCAATCGTTGTGGATCTCTTCGATACTCTCCCCAATTCGCATATAGCGTTGCCCGGACTACTTCAATCACCGTTCGGTCTTTAGCGCTTCGTTGGCCTGAAATGGATATATTGATTAGATAAAGGATAATCATTTTTCACTTATTTAAGTCAGCTTTGTACTAATCGAAAGATTTCACACTTAACAGACCAAATCAAGACCAAAAGTAGGCTAATTTGAAGATACGCCACTGATTTGAAGCCGAGAAAGTTTAAAATCACATTTCTCAGATTTCACTGCTTTCATCTCGACTTTTGTACATTTATTCCAGTTTAAGCTATATATCTAACACTAATATTGGTATTCATTTTTAAATAAACCCCATCTATTTGTGGAAATCGTTGAAATCAAGCTTTGAGATCGACTTTCTCCCATTCGAGAAAGCCTTCCCTTTCAGCTTCACGGCTTTTCGCCTTTTTAAGGAGTGAAAGCAATGGCACTTTCGCCTTTTACAGAAGACAACCGGCTTTGAAAGAAAGAAAAGAAAGAAAGAAAAGAAAGAAAAGAAAGAAAAGAAAGAAAAGAAAGAAAAGAAAGAAAAGAAAGAAAAGAAGAGAAAGCCTCAGGCATGATTAGGCAGAGAGGAGTCACCAAACATGTTCTGTAAAAGAAAGAAGCTGTAGATCCCTGGGAATTTGGCAACACATCTTTTTTTCACTTTCTCGAGACTTTAGCATCTTTTGGGACGAGTTTTGGGAAGGAGAACTGATGAGAAGGAGAGGAGAGCGAAGATTTCTCGAGTGCTGCCGAGTGTGGATAAAATGCATCCACTTTTACACAAAAAAAAAGAAAAGAAAAGATTCTAATGGATTGAGAGAAAGAAAAGATTTGAGCAGGATAGATTGGGAGTGGATTGGTGTGAAGAAGCAAGAGTTATGAATTTGCATTGGTTTGGATTTAAATTGAGTCGTAATGTAGCTGTTTTGATGGTCGAGTTGAAGCCATGAAAACATCAGATTTCAAAGCTTAGATGGATTTAAGCCAATGAAATTCTTTAATGGGAATTTTGTGAATAATCCAATCAGATCTATAGGATCTACAATCCAATTCCTAGACAAATGTACCTTTCATTTGGCTCATTAGCTAAATGCTAATGAGCTAAATGCTAACTCATTAACTAACAATAAGCCATTACGAACTTGTTTACCTATTCAAGAGTTTAATATAAGAACCTGTTGTCTGATGCTCAAGTGATAATGCAAATTATAGGCTTTATCGTTTTTGTTTTCTAGTTAAGTTGTTTAGTTTAGTTAGTTTAGTTCTAGTTAGTTTAGTTCTAGTTAATTTCTAGTTGTTTTATATCGTTAAGATTTCAAATTGAACTCACCTTCTTCATTGAAGAGTGCCAAGAAGCGAAAAGCGGCAAAGTCGTATTTGTCGAAACCAATTTGACTCAACTGTGCGACAAGGGTTTGCCATTTTGTCAGATAGATCCCCGAACCGAGTAGAGCTATCAAACCGGATGGTACTCTGGAAATAACATTTAGAATTTGTTAAAACAATACAACTTTTCTCTTTTAATGTTTATTCCAGCTCTTTCACTTTTTTCTCAAAGTCTTAAGTCATTTTTCAAAGGATTCAAGAGGATCCCCGCCGAGAGGAGAGTCAGATATTTTTTTTTTGAAAAGTCCCTATTTCAAAAAGAGACAGGTAGATCGGAGAACTGAGAAAAGGTTTTTGGAAAGGAAAAAGGGAAGGAGTCAGAGTTGAAAAGGAAAGAAAAAAGAAGAGAGATCGGCAGGAGATCGATTTGTTTTGGGGTGCGGTTGATGGAGAGCGAGTAGGCACGTAAAAGTTCTCAAGTTTCGTATTCAAATCTTGAGCAATCGATAGAGGAAAAGGAAGTTTAAAGTTTTCAGATTTCACCTTAAACTTTAGATATTCTTCGGGTAGTTAGATAGTAGTTAGATAGTTAGATCTTCTTTGGGACAAGCGTAGCTTGAAAATTATTCAGCTCTTCAGCTAGATACATAAACTCTAATCCATTAAAAGACATTCGGATGTCTGAGACAAATCTCATACTCATTCAAGTTTGTCAAGCTATCTTTTACTTGCCAAGCTATCATTTACTTAAAGATAGCTTGATAAACTTGAATGAGTATGAGATTTGTGTCTCAGATATCAGAATTCAATTGATTAGAGTCTTTCAATTGATTAGAGTTTATGTATCTAAATAAAGAGCTGAATAATTTTCAAGCTACACTTGTCTTTACAATAAACTTACTGGATAAGCAAGGTAAACTGGATAAGCAAAATCAAGCTAAGCAAAATGACTTCAATTCTACACCAAAGTATAGCAAAACCTTAGCAAAAGCACCGATAAATTTATTAATTTAAGTATGCAATGTAAGTACAGTTGACTCTCTCTATAAAAGAATGAAAGGGACTAAAAAAATGTTCTTATTATAAAGAGTACCGTTTTATATAGCTTAGCTTTCTCGAGCTTACTAGAGAAAGGCACGAAAAGGCCGGTAATCTTTGAATTCTTTGAATGATCTTTGAATGATTGAATACTTACATAAATACAGTCGACTCTCTCTATAACGAAAAACTATATAAAGGAATGGAATTTTGGTGACTAGATGCTGACTAGGGAAAGGCACGAACTTTCGGTAAGCTTTCCCGATCACATACATCTTACTAAATCGAGTATTGAGATTCTTAATCTGAAATAAAAATCTCTCAATTAAGCTTGCAGATACGTAAAAATTGAATTTCGAAGATAAGCTTTCAAGGGCGCTTTTCTATCACTGGGATATTGGCACCGGTGGCCTAGTGAATAGTGGGACAGCCTCTCGGTCGTAAGCTGGAGATTCGGTTCATAAATGTTAACTTTTCATCTTTTGCTTTATATTGAATAGTTCGAAGATAAAGTATTACATCTCAAGAAAACAAAAGCAAAAACCAAGACCGGGATCGAAGCCCGATCCTACTACCGAGAGGTCGTTCCACTATCCACTAGGTCACCGGTGCGCAATACCCAATCATTGAAAAGCACGCTTTAAAGCTTCAATTCAATTTTCTTTAATACTTTAATAAGTCCTTTAAAGCTTCAAAATTTCAATTCAGCTTCACGACCTAGAGGCTGTCCCACTATTCACTAGGCCACCGGTGTCAATATCCCAGTGATAGAAAAGCGCCCTTGAAAGCTTATCTTCGAAATTCAGCTTTTACGCGTTTGCAAGCTTTGGCAGATTTTGATTTCAGATTAAGAATCTCAATACTCGATTTAGTAAGATGTATGTGGTCGGGAAACGAAAGATTACCGATCGTCGGGAAAGCTTTCGCTTACCGAAAGTTCGTGCCTTTCCCTAGTCAGCATCGACCGGGACCAAAATTCCATTCCGTGATATAGTTTTTCGTTATAGAGAGAGTCGACTGTATTTATGTAAGTATTCAATCTAATTTAATGTAGTAATCGTTTAGTAAGTATTCAATGTCTTCATTCAAACACTCCTCAAATCAATGACCTAACTTATATGAATGAACTACGTAACGTAATCTCTTCAAATCTTTTGATTAGATCTATTCTTTCTTCCAAGATCTCTTCCAAGATTCATAGATAATTTATGAAATAAAATACTGACTCAAGATTTGCAGCCAATTTGATAGTATTCGGGAGGAGACCAAGGATTGCAGCATTTGTAAAATCAATAAGATGGATGAAAGCCCATGATGTATAGAGGAGATGCATTTGATCGTCCATCTGAAATGTTAAGGATTTGCTTGAGAATTCGATACTTTGATACTTAAAATCATGCCAGAAAGAATATGCATTTCGATTAGCTCAACGTACATAGATCAACCCTCAATTTTTCTCATGTCAAGGTGTTAATTGTCGGGTTGTTTCATTCAAACATTAGGCCCACAATTCCTTTCGGCTTTTTTCCCCCCTTTGTTCTTTTACCGTTCATTCAATCTATTGGGCCAAGCACCGGAAAGTGACACTTTCCCACAAGTCTTCTCTTTCCGGAACAATCAACAGGTCAAAGGGAAACAGTAAAAACCCATTACGTACAGAAAAAACGGCTTTTTTTTGTCTCAATCATTGAATGAGATACGAAAAACTATCTCTCGAGCCGCCTCTAGGGATGACCTTGACAAGGGAAGATCTCCCTTCTCTAATCGGTCATATCTATGAGAGAGTTCAGGAAATCCTTCGCTAGATGCCCTTATCTTGATCAATTATGAAATTGGTATGGATTGGATAAGCTTTTGGATAAGATTCGACTACTCAACTTTGGTTTTATTAGAATCCGCATTAAATTTGACTAAAGAAAAGTCGAATTTGTTTTGTAGATTTGCTGATAAAAACATAGAGAAAAGTAGGGTCAAAATCGAGAGAAGTGTCTTGCATTTATAGGGGTATCGTCATGATACCCCCAATAAATTTATTGGGGTATAACAACTCTTCTGTTTTCCCCCATCTTCTGATTATCGACTTGTGGTTGGTCTTGAGTCAAAGTTGAGCTTGAATTATCAAGCATCTAAGTGGATCGACTCCCCCCTTGTACTCACCTCAAGTTGATCTTTGAAATAAGTGATCTCTTTTGCCCAGCTGACAAGATGATTGAGATTCTGCTCAGCTGCTAGCATTGTACATTTGAATGGATCAATGATGTGAACATTCGATCGACCGAGAATCTCCAACATTTGCTGTATCCGGAGCTCTTCTCCACTCATCTTCTCCACCATCATGCCCAAGATGTTTTGTCTGAAAGAAAGAAAGATTGAAATTAAAAGAAACCAAAAATTTCACTCACTTTCCATAGAAAGCTGTGTCAATGATCTTCTCGGTAGGTAGCGGGCAAACAGGCAACAATGGAGATGATCGATTTGATCCCGATGAACCGCCTGCAACCAGGACCGTCCTCAGAGCTGAACACAAAACAAACACCTCATGCACATGCACCCAGAAAGAGATTTAGATTTGCTAATTCCATTAATCAATGCAGCATTTATAGGCAAGGTTCGATTCCTGGATTTCTAGATTTTAAGCTTTTCTTAAGTGTCAAACTTGCTCTAATTTTATAAATAGCTTTACCCCAGCATGCAAGACTCACCAGAGCTTGTGCTACTTGATAACGGCGCTACAGGAAGCATACTCGCATAAGTCGTCGGCTGAGCGAAAACTCCATATTCTGGGTGTTGTTGCACAAAAAGTTGAGGATCATGGTAACGATGGTAACTGTAATTAAGCTTTTTTTTTGAGATTTCTAATGTTAGATTTACTCAAAAGCTTCATGTTTGACGGCTTGTGGGTAGAGGTATTGAGCGGCTTGAGATCGGAGACTCGGATCTTCGATTGAAGAGCCAAGAAGAGCGGCCAGACTGTCTATCCTTTGAATTTCTGAATCTAAAATCGATTATCAGTAATCGTAATCGCAACTGGATCGATTATCAGTAATCGATTATCAAATCGATCACATTTTAAATCTCTTTGCCCTTTTTCTCGAAACAACATCTATGAATAGTAAATCTTTACGTTAAATAATTCTTTTCTAATTGTGAATAAAAGATAATTAAGAAATAAAGCTAACAATTAGTTAAACAAAGAAAAGAACTTACGGATAGGAACTGTGTCACAATTTGGAACATAACCGGCACGGGGGATAACCACATCTGAAAGAAAAAAAAATGATAAAAAGTTTTAAGAGGCATTCAGTTCAGTAAATAGCTTCATTTTTTCTAAACTTATAGTTTTAAAATTAACTAAATTGATTCACTTAACTAAACTAAACTTTATCTAGTTCTCTAACTGGGGTAGGCTAATTTCCGCCATTTTATTTGCGCAACAGGGTCATTTGCGCAACTGGATCGTTTGCGCAACTCGCCATAACTTTCTTCTAAGTAAGCCAATCTTTATGATTTTGATGTCATTTTGTAGAACTCAATAAGTGTAACAAAATGACATCAAAATCATAAAGATTGGTTGATTTAAAAGAAAGTTATGGCCAAAGAAGTTATGACAAAACATAGCCGGTGCTGGGATTCGAGCTCGGGACTTTTGGCTTACCAGGCGAACGCTACAACGACATGTGTTCGATGGCGGCCTGTTACACTTGTTACACTTATTGAGATCTACAAAATGACATCAAAATCATAAAGATTGGTCCACTTAGAAGAAAGTTATGGCGAGTTGCGCAAAAGACCTAGTTGCACAAATAAAATGGCGGAAACTAGCCTATCCCCTCTAACTTTCTAATTTGTTTATTCTTTTATCTAATTAGCATTTAACTTGAATTGATTCAATAGTAGACAGTTTTTTAAAGTGCCAGAAAACAGAAAATCGAAGTAAAGAAGCAAGTTTTGTTTTCTAAAACGTTTTCAAAATACCGTACTTTAAGATGAATAAATGTGGTCAAGTTTTTAACAAGATTTTACGATATTCAGTTAACGTTTACGACTGGTTTTGATCTTTTTAGTTATTCAAAATAGATGTAAAAAAAGAGTAAAAAAAAAAAACTGGGATACTTTGTATTCTTTTGGCATTTTTCATTAGAAGTTATTCTTTTTAGAAAAAAAAAGCAGCATTTAACTTGAATTGATTCAATTGATAACTGGTTTAATTACCTCGACTTGGGTAATTAAACCGACTTGAATAAATCAATTTTCATCAAGAAGGCCTCTAGTTTTTTGATTGAATATTAATTATAGTCCCTAAATAACCTCTAGAAACGAACGCTTATCTTGGAAATTGAGCTGATATTTAGAAAGAAAGATTTCTTGTTTTGACATTAAAGTAAGTTGGAATAAAGTTATAATTTAATCAAGTTTTAAGCCTATTTTATCTTTTGTTTACAATTATCAATAAAATTTGGTTGAATATTTGAAATATTTTGCTTTAACTGAAAAGCAACGGAAAAAAAGGGAGAAGAAAAAGAAGCAACGCTATTGTAATTTTTGATAAATAATGAAGAAAATGTTAAATTAGTTCAGCTGGATTAATTAAAAACATCAGAACTGAAGGCTGCTGAAAAAAGGAAACGATTGTAAGCAATCTCTCCTTTAACCAAATTTCACTTCAATCAATTATCTTAAAAGCTTAATGATATTCAGAATCAATGTTCCAATCATATTCCTATCTTCTTATCTTCTTTAATCTTCTTTATCTTCTTTATCTTCTCTATGATTTTTATCTTCAAAAACCCTTACGTTGTGGTGAATGAGTGGACGTCGATGAGAGGGTGGGCGATTGCAATAAACTGTCGTATTCGGCTTTTAATTTGTGTTGATCAAAATATTGCATGGTCGTTTGCGGTAACACTGTTCGCACATCAGTTACACTAAATCTAGGAAAATCTTATTTTTTGACAGATTTTTCGTTTAACTTTCGACCAAAACATGTCAAGGAAAAGGAAAATCTTCCTTGACTTATCGACTTTTTGTTGAAAAGAATTGAGAGACAAGTTGGGAGTTGAAAATACAGAGATTGAGATCATTAAAAGGCTATTTACAAATTAGAAGAGTTATTAGATACTTAGATAACTTTTTATGGTACTTATCACTATAAATAAATAGTTATGACTTTAAAAAGCTTGGCTTTGATTTGGCTTTGCTTTGGCTTTGCTTTGGCTTTGCTTTAGCTTTGCTTTAGCTTTGCTTTAGCTTTGCTTTAGCTTTAGCTTTGGCTTTGCTTTAGCTTTGCTTTGGCTTTAGCTTTGGCTTTGCTTTGGCTTTGCTTTAGCTTTGCTTTAGCTTTGCTTTTAGCTTTGCTTTAGCTTTGCTTTAGCTTTGCTTTAGCTTTGCTTTAGCTTTAGCTTTGGCTTTAGCTTTAGCTTTAGCTTTGGCTTTGCTTTGGCTTTGCTTTAGCTTTGCTTCAACTTTGCACTCAATAAACTACTCAATTTAGATTTAACTTTAAAGAATAAGTTCTATTTCTCTTAGTTCTATTTTATTCTACTTTCCCATTCCATTTTTTGTTCTTATTTCGATTTTAGAACCACTTTCAACATTGAACAGTTTGAACAAACCTATTCGCAACAAGATGTTGATCAATTTGAGGTGGAGGAAAGAAAGCGGAAGGAGTTTGCGATGGGATAGGCGCTCCAACACCCGGTCGAACTTGTAATCGTTGCATTCGCTGTGCTCGATCCTTCTTGTAATAAGAACCGAATTTATTTCTACCGCCACGCATTCGGTCTTCTCGAACAGCTGAAAAATTCCACGTATTGTCGATATTTTTAGATTCAAACAGTGATTTTTACTAAAGCTCTTTATTTCTGATTTTCTCTATAGTTATGCCAAGTTTTTTAATTTTAGGTGCAAAGAACTGTCGCAAAAACTCTTATAGCCTATTGTTATAGGGTTGAGGGTCCTCTAATTATGCGTGGCGCACTCAACGAGAGCTGGATGAAGAGAATGAGAGAAGGGGGGATCGGCTTTGAAGTCGGATCTCTTCGTTATTCGGCCTGTAGGGTGGGGTAGGGTAATTTGCCAGCATTTTCCCAGCTATTCACACCGTGACCTTTTAGATACAGGCTGAATAGATCTATAGATATATCATCTATAGATATATCAAAAGATCAAGCCTGATCTATAGATAGATCATAAGATCAAGTCTGATCTATAGATAGATCATAATATCAAGCCTGATCTATAGATAGATCAGGCTTGATATTATAAAATAATCAAGCTGACTCGCTTTATAAAGATCCAGCTTTTTACAGTAAGTTCTTCAGATCTTCAGAAGCTTATTTTGTGAACGAATTAAAGAAATTAAATGACATTCAGTTAACAGCTTAACATAGACTTGAGTATGGCAATATTTTAAAGACAACATCGTACTTGTAGACTGTTAAAGCGTAAAACCCAGCTAGCTATAAGCTTTTCTATATGATTACACTTTGACAATCAACTTCATTATCCAATTTTCACCAATTCCAGACAATCAACTCTCAAAAGAAGATCCCAAAAGTTTCCCAATAGCTTCAAAAATCCCAAAAAAGGATTAACTGTAAAAAGTTCGGCTTTTTGTTTGTGCCGAAATTCGATCAATCTCTCCGATCGCTCTCTAGCCGAAAATTTGACTGAACAAGAGAGTCGGAAAAGTTTTCTCAAAAAAGGGAAGGCCCAATGGAAGAAACTAAAGAAAAGAATGGGGGAGAGAAACTTTTTCGATCACTTTTTTTTTTCGTATTTCGTCGAGGCACAGCAAGAAAACGATGGGGGAAAAAAAAGGCTTGCCCATAAAAAGCCGTTTTTCTTTTTCTCTCATGATTTTCTTTGGTGTTTCCTTACCTTTTTTTTCTTTTATAGGGTACTGTGGGTCATTTCGGGTGTAAGAGGATCGAAGGGGGCACTTAGGAAAGCGGGGAAAGGGGTGGGAAGGAGGAAACATCGGGAAAGGGAAGGCAATGGCCCGAGACTACGGTACTTCTAAGAATGGCATACCTATACAGAAAGTAAGGTTGACTTTTCAGGAGAATTTTAAGCGTCTAGCATTATGCTTTGCCATGTTTGACTGTTTGGAAGAAAGCTGCTGCTATTTTCCTTCTCTTAGGATCCTAAATCAAGATGAATAGTAAAACTAGAGACAGCAAGGCTTCTGTTATCATATCTCAATGAATCTTACATCAGACAAGATGCTTTTTAAATGTTTGTTTTTAAAATTGAAATCACTATTTACAGTCTTCTAATGAAATTGCTTTTGTGAGTCAGGGGAAAAATTGGAAAATGGAAAGAAAGAGGGAGAAGAAAACAAACAAAAACGCCTATCCTTCCGTCATTTCTACTGTAATGGGGCTAAGCGAAAAACAAAAAACAAAAAAACAACAACGAACACGATATGGAAATTTCTGTATCCTTTCTAATGTGTTTACTGAAGATTTTTGTTTTTCTGGGTCAAGCTGGGAGTTTTTCTAAAGGCAATAACATCCTTTGATGAACGAAATTTAAAAAACTTGACTTTGCACTCAATAAACTACTCAATTTAGATTTAAACTAGTTGTCTAGTTGTTAAACTAGCTCGATAAAATCCCAATTTCTTTTTTTCTTTTTCGTTATTTTGTAAAGAACGTTGCCAGCTTTTATAAAATCGAATCTCTTTCAAAAAGTGCCAAACGATGCACAGGTAATCGTTGGCTAGAGAGGAAGAGAAGGGGTCAGTGGAAAGGATAGCCGATCGGCCATCATCGATTTGTGTTGTGTGTTGGTTGGAAAAAAGGGGAGAATGGGGACTTCGACCGGTTTTCGACCCGGGTCGTCATCCAATTCAGAGCCTAGTCGACGAGGCAGAGGAGGCCCGATTACTATATATAAAAGTCTCTCTGTACATGCATTGTTTAGAAGAATAAAGCTAAAACTTCTTTATAAAACTTTAGAATATATTGTAACTGTGTTATTTCAAAAAATTTTTGAAATAACTAAAAGTCGAGTGATGCTGGAGGGGCCGAACCCGGGCTGTATGGGTTGTAGGCTAGCCCGCTCCCGACTGCGCCACGATGGCTGTAAATAACAAGCCGTAAAGTCAAGTCTATTATTGGTCCTGAAGCTAAAAACCTGATTTAAGGCAATCCCCTGTCAAATTCAGTAAACTTCAAGTCCTCCGCTATATTTTTAAGTACTAAATTTTATCTAACACTAGACTAATCCAATCTTTTTTTACTTTTTAAAACATTATAATTTATATTGATTCAATCCCGCAACTTTTCTGTTCAACAAGAGAGTCACATCTTTAAATCTCGAGGGGGTTAATCGTTGCAGGAAATTTCTTTTTTTTTTTTTGTTGAAACGAAAGGGAGAATCTCTTGAGAGAGACGCACGGTTGAGCTCGGTGGAAAACGCGAAAGATGGCAAGGAGGTGGAGGGTAGGGAATCGTGTCTCGTCTCGCACCCCAACCATCCACCTTTCCTTTTTTCAATATCCTTTCTCCTCTCAGCCACCCAACACACATACCGGTGGAATGGCAGCCACGCCAAATTGATTTTACAGCCTTTCCTTCGACTTCAATGTGTAGATTTTTTTTAGGCTATCCTTCGAAAACCATCAAACAACAACTACTTGGGTAATGGGTGACAAGTCAAGGGATTCTAGTTTGGGAAGCTGGGAAGCTGGTGTAAGCTCTGGGAAAGGATTGGTGGAATGGAAAGGCTTCAGAATTGTACAGTTGGAGACGTTAGAGAGTTAGGGATTGAAATAAACATGGATATGATCTCTATGAGGTCAATTTTAAAAGCTCTTTGAATGTGAAATAAGAATTAAAAGTGTAATTAAAAGAGTAATGAAAGTTCAGAAGATTCTTTAGCGTACCTAGCTTTATAGGAATGCAATTTAAGGGTGAAGTTTATAAAATGCTTGACAGAAATGGTAAAGATTGATGCGAGTTCAATAAAACATTGTAATAGACGCTCAATTAGCAGTACTATTCACTAACAGTTTGAACATACAAAGTATTCGACAAAAGTCGTTCTTAATGAATGAGATCTTTGATGAAACAAAACACTAATAAGCTTAACGATCAATCCCACCTTCAACCTTCATCCCTTGATCGATGCATTTCTTGTATCGGCAACTCGGACACCTCTTCCTGCAGCTTTTGTCCACAGTACAATTCTGATCGGCTGAGCATTGGTAAAGCTTCTTATTTTGCACAGTTCTTTTGAAGAAACCCTGAAATAGAATGTAGATCGAATGTGAAAATTGAAAATGAGTGGGAATGTCCTTGCGCCTATCAGGTCCGTCAAGGCCCTGGAGATGACCCTGACCGGCTGAGTGAAGAGACCGACCTTGCAACTCTCACAAGTGAGAAGTCCGTAGTGGTAGCCGGAGACTTTATCTCCACAAACGGGGCAAGCTTCGTCAAGTTGTGGGCGCTCAAAGCGAGGCTGAAGTGAGTTGGCCACCGAAGTGGCCAAAAGTTGTTGTGGATCGACGAACGTCGTGTTGGACACGCCAGCCGAGACGACGGCGGTGGCCATTCGGAGGGAAAAGGGAGGTGAGCCTCTCAAGGCCGATCCTGCCATCACCCATCCATCGTTGGCTCCGCCCATCCCATTCACTCACTACTCCGCCCCATCCTCTCACCTCTCTCGCTTTGTGAGACACCTTTCTCTTTTGGGTTTTTCTGGGACTTAAAGAGAAGGAATTTGGGTCTCAGGGTACTGTAAATATGTAAATAAACACAGCTTGAAATCAGTAAACTCTTTTCTACATAGCAAAATGTTTTAGTACTTGTTTCAAGCCTGTTTTAGAGTCACAAGTTGATCCACGAGGTACTATAGTACTGTAGATCGGGTACTGTAGATCTATTGGGTATTGTAGGTCCTGGATTACTGTAGGCATAACCGCTACAAGTTTGCCATCTTATAAAACTTACTGGACTGAGCGATACTGTAACTGTAACTGTTATAGTAACATCATCATACTGCAAAAATGACTCAAAAGTTGAACATGTTTATCAAGTAAACCATTTACAACTCCTCTAGTCTTCTAATTTGCCAAAAAAAAATGGGCAATGATATTGATCAGATCATAAATCCATCAAGTAACTGTGCCCACTTCCACCCAATCTCCCACTCCTTTGATTTACGATTGGAATTTCGTGAGATTCATGCGAGTAAATCAATAAGTTATCTCAAAATATTTGTCCCTTCACCTTTTTGGTAAATTTGAGTCATCATTATTGAGGCCAACATCGAGCATTGATTAGTCTATGAACAGTTCACTAATTACTGAGCACTGTGCCGATAGACAATAGAGAAAAAACTTGATTTGAATGCCAAAAGTGGTTGCCAAGTTTTATCAAGGCTCATTGTCAGTGTATGGAAATGTGATTTGGTACAGATTTGTAGAGATTTTTACAGTCTAATGATTTTCTAATGTTTAATGACAGATTTGTACAGTCAAATGTCGATCTGAAATTGATCGATAACCTTAAGTCAGTCGTCTAATGATTTTCTAATGTTTAATGACAGATTTGTACAGTCAAATGTCGATTGATCGATATTGATATTGATCGAAATTGATCGATAACCTTAAGTCAATCGTCTTTAAGTCACTACTTAGAAAGTTGAGGTCAACTTGTACACAATTAAACCTTTATATAACAACAATCAGAAAATCTGTTATACAGAGTTAAGAACATTTCTCGGGATAAATGATCTTAGATCTTAACTCGTTATAAATGATATAAATGAGCCAGGCTCGAAACCAAACAAACACTATAAATCGACAGTGGATTTCCCCCAGATCAATTCAACGCAATACGATAATTATGGCAACAAAAAGAGATCTAAAGGTTTGAAAAGGAAATCAAAACCTTTGCGCAATTTTTTGTGACCATTTAGAGAGAGAGAGAGAGAGAGAGAGATGGTCCTTTAAGGCCTCACCTTCTTAAGCGGTATGGCTAAACGGGATCACCATTTTGACAACCCTTTCCGATATCTTGAGATGAGATCACTGAAATCATCCGGACAAGATCCAAAGAAACTCTAGATATTAAAGGAAGCCCGCCGATGGGAAACTGTCATACTGATCTCAGCCATATGATAACAGACATTCATTTGGTCAAGATTCCGATAGCTTAGGGAAAATCTACCTAACTCATTTCAATTACAGTAAAGTAAATAACAAGGCTAAGGTTAAATAAAGCCAAGCTTTTACTTTCAAAAGCTTTTTTCTTTCTTTCTTTCTTTCTTTCTCTCTTTCTTTCTTTCATTAAATGAAAGTAAATCTACGCCAGTATCTGCGTTTGTTTGAGTACGGGATGATCATTTGAACTAGTTTTTACTATTGTCTTGTTCTTTGTATTCCCAAACATTTTCTTGATCTACTAGAATCAAAAACTAACATCAAAATGTGTGAGACTTTCACACTGCAAAGTGCCTTGTCTTTTCCTTTCCTTTCCTTTTCAAGAGATGAGCAGGTTCACAGGTTTTTTTGCCATCGGCTTTCGCCTTTTCAGACATAAATTCAAAAGCTTTCTCCTCTTTTCTTTGCAGGTTCTCGTTTTCACTTTTCTCAGACAAGACAGGATCTCGGCTTTTCTTCTTTTTTCTTTTTTCTTTTATCCAAAATCCGATGCCAATAGGTGACTGGCAATGCTATTTTGTGTGGGTGACTCAGGAAAGTTAATGACAAAACGAGGGTTTTATTGGTTCTGTTAAATGGATTGATGCTGAAAGTTTTGAAGTCTGGTTTACTTAAACTTTTAGTTATATAAATGCTTCAAAGCAATTCAGCTAGCCAAGCTGCTTGGTTAGCTGAATTGCTTTGAAGCATTTGTATTGTTTGACTTACAGTAAAGTTAGATTGAATTCTTCATTGTTTGATAGAGTTTTCTTGGTTTAATCCAAACTAAATGAGAAGTTCTTCAAAATGAATGTAACTTTACTGTAAGTCCAACAATACAAATGCTTCCAAGCAATTCAGCTAACCAAGACAATTCAGCAATTCAGCTAACCAGCTAACCATTTGTATGACTAAAAGTTTAAGTAAACCAGACTTCAAAACTTTCAGCATCAACCCATTTAACAGAACCAATAAAACCCCTTTCTCTTCTCTTTGAATTTGAAATATTATGTCAAGATCAAGATGGTATTTTCAATTGTACAGTGTAAAGTCAGGTATTTTATCAAACTGATATAACAAGGCTGTTCGGTTTTGTTAAAATAAAACTGATAACAAAGTTTCAGTAAAGATTTGAAAGAAACAAACATCTAAATCAACTTCATTTGATCAGTATCAAGAGCTTTACTCAATGATTTCTAGGGTGTGATTTCTAAAGTAGATTTCTAAAGTGTTTTCATTTCTCCAAGAAACTTTACTGAATCAATGGCAATTCACATTTCACATGCAAGGAAATCTAGGGTGTGCTTCGATTTCGCTTTCTTCAACTGGCTTAAAGGAGGAAAAAAAAAGAAATGAGTGGGTGAGGAAGCCGCTTGAAAACCACATAGACACATTCCCATGGCAGAGAAAAGAGAAAGAGAAAAGAGAATCCCTCCACCCCCAGGCATCAAATGCTCGTTTTCTCTTTTTTTCTTCATTTTCTTTCTTCTTTGAAGAGCTAAACATAGCCCTTAGACGGTGGGTACACACAAAAACGTTTCTTTTTTCATAGAAAAACTGGTTTTTTTTTTGGTTCCCGGTAAAAAACAAGACTTATTCGAAATTTTCTTATGGAAATTCTGAGAAAAGGATTGAAAAAGGGAAGCTTATCCTGTAAATATTGGGTTGGAGAATTGAAAACTGCGGGAAACTAAAATTTATTCAACATAAAACCATGAATTCATTTCAAATAATTTTCTCCGATTTCTCAGAGATTAGCTCAATGTTCAGGAATGAGCCCTGAAAAGAAAAATTATCAGTTTTTAGGTTTTAAAAAAGCGATATTTGGTCCATAGATCGGTCCACTTCCTCGAACGATTCTCTGAGAGACATTTGTGACAAGATCCTGAAATTTATTGGGTTGGTGAATTGAAAACTGCCGGCTATTGTCATATGTGACAGTTTGAGCACTTTCTTCAAAAGAAACCCATTTTGGTGTCAATGGAAAAGTTGTAGAGAATCAAAAATCAAGCTTATATCCAAATTTTCAAAATGATTCAAAAACTGGCTTTCAAGAAATGCGAAATTTACGAATTTTCACAAAACTTGCATTTTAAGCGAAACAACTAAGTGTATCTTTTTGGAAATTTGGCTATAAGCCTAATTTTCGATTCTCTACAACTTTTCTATTGACACCAAAATGGGTTTCTTTTGAAGAAAGTGCTTAAACTGGGACATTGGGACCTCTCCAGTCCCCCATTTTTGAGTCGCACACTTGTCTCACACACAAACCAAAATCCTACTACGAAAGAGGAATCCGCAAATTGCCTGTAAAATGGGAAGAAGTCGTCAATAATAATGGAAATTATTTGGAATGAATTTATGGTTTTATGTTGAATAAATTTTAGTTCAAAGTCCCGCAGTTTTCAATTCACCAACCCAATATTAGAAATTTATTTAAACTTTTCATAAAATATTAGAAAATTCAATGAATAAGTCAATAGAAAGAGTTTCAATTTGGATTTTAGATTGAAACAAAGCTTTAAAAGAATCCAGACATTTCCACAGTTTTCCTAAAGACTATCGGCAAAGTGCTCTTCATCAAAAAGGTAGTGTTTTGTGAGGGTTCTTTGACACAGTCCATCATTCGAGTTGCTCCTCATCCACTCCTCACTTGACCATCCTCTTTCCACACATCGGTGCCCTATGATTATCGCCAGCCGTGCCGCCTTTCCTTTATAGGACAATGAGTCCTATAGGTACTCAAAAACAAAACAATGCCTATTGGACTCAGTACACCGTCAGTATTTTAGGCTAGGTCCGCAAAATTACTCTTCTCTTGCCTTTACCCTACCGCAAATCAACCATTTCAGATCGGAATAGTCATTAGAGAGAAACTATTGATGAAAAAAAATTGAAGTATAGAAATTAAAAACTCATCAGTTATTGATGTACACAAGTAATTCTTCTCTTTTCCTTTCTAAACATCGCGCAAAGCTATTGTTCCTTTTCGGATCCTATTCGATTCCTATTCGGTTCTGATTCGTTCTTCATTAGGTTCCTATTCGGTTCTGATTCGTTCTCCATTAGGTTCCTATTCGGTTCTGATTCGTTCTGCATTCGGTTTTGAGTCAGTTCTCATTTGGTTCCTATTAGGTTTCCTTATACACAAGTAATTCCCCTCTTTTCCTTTCCAAACATCGCGCAAAGCCGTAGCCTAAAGTCTGGTCGCTAGGCAACAAATATCGAATCTAGCAAAAGATTTCAGAGCTGAACACACAAAATGCATATATTCTTATTATTTTTCACTATTGACTTAATCTTTGCTCAAATTCAACCACTAATTCCCCCAAATTCTTGCTCAAAAAACAATGAAAGTACCTTCTTCAATACATTGCTATACAAATGTGAATCATGTCCAAACTCACAAATTTCTGAAAACGGTTTAAATTGCGATTGTGACAAGGAGTCAGTGCTGATTAATGGTAGCTGCATAAAGTGTGGAATTGATCAGATAAAATCCCCAGATGGTTTATTCTGTGTTGAATGTAGAGGAGAGAGATGTGGCTGTGATTTGACATCAATAATCACTTATCGAATCGATGGTCAACCACTATCAAAAGTGAAATGTACAAAATGTTTGAATGGAACAATGCCAGACGAAAGTGGTAGGATTTGCGTCGGATGTGAAAGCTTTGAGTGTCAGTGTGCGAATTCCTCTTGTTCAAACAATCATTGGAATTCAAATATCGGAGTCGCACGGTCACAATACATTGAGAAACTTCTTCCAAAAGCGACTTTCGGTTGTCAGCGAAAGGATCTAAACTCTTGTCAGATCTTGTTAAATCTGTGCACTCTACAGAATTTCGCTTTTTCGACAGAAACATCTTGTGGAATTTATGGTGATTTAGCAAGCAGTACAATGAGAAATCAAATCCCCGCTTTACCATTATCCCTTCCATATCCAACCGCAAAAACCCTTGGCTCACCATTAAATTTCTTCAAATTCGATAGCACAGATAATGGGAGATTTTCGATCTTTGTAGCAACAATATTCTCAAATGGATCTCTAAAAAGTTGGAAACAAATCGAGATCTCTGGCTTATTCCCTTCAACATTCAATTCAGCTAATTTACATAAAGCTTTCACTTTTGGAGTTCAATTCTCGTTACAAAAACAAATCGAGATTGAAGAAGCGGCGGGAAATGATGGAAATTTCTATGAAATGTTTTTGAAAATCCCGAAAAATGTGAAGAATGAGAATTTGACTTTTGAGGAGAATATGATACCGATTTTTATCGCCAGCTCTTTGGTGAATCAAGATTTAAGCACGCAGACGAGTCTCCAGATTATTGAGCAATGGATTTTGACAAAGAGATTCTTCATGTATGATTCTAAGGTACGAAATTTTGAAAGTAATTTATCAATACTTTAGTTTACAATCAAAATAGAATTTTTTTATTAAAAAAAGTCGAAAAAACGGCGAAAAACCCAGCCCCATCAGATGTTCTCTGTGCGTGCACATAAACGTGCCCTTTCTGGCATATGGAGTAAGAAAGGGGTCTTAAAAAGGTCCCTTGCACGCGAAGCTTGTTTCTATGAACACAGCATGGCCTGACATGGCCCTGCCCAAACATGACACGCAAATTCGTGAAGCGTTCCAAATTTTTTCCATTTTTGAAGAAAAATGGAAAACAAGGATTTATTTTTGTTTTGGCAGAGCTTGGGAACGTTGGCAAAGCTTGGATTAATCAGATCAGTTTGGAAATAGTTTTAAAACACTTTATCTACCTGGAAACGAACTGTAACGCTTTAAAGCTTAAGTTCTGTCTATAATATTTCAATAATTTAGTCAATGAGTGCTGAAAATTCATCGTCTCTGATTCGTCGAGTGACTCTAATGGATTTCACGATTTTCCTGGAGAATAGTCGAGATGGAAAGATCGGGATCCCGATTGTGAAAGTTTTCTATTCAACGTTTCAAGCAATTGATGTAGAGGTAGAAAAATCGATTCATTTTTAGTAATTAAAGTCATTTTTAGGCTTTTCAATTGCCTTTTTCCTTGAAAATCACTTATTTTCAAGATCCATTTCGTCACGATCGAGACATGGAGATCACAATTTGGGTGATGACTGTTTTTGGTGTTGTTTGGGCAGCAATTAGGGGTTATAGGTTTGTAAAAAACTAATACCATATTTTCTTTAATAGTAGTGCACTTTGGCGAGCCGAATTGATGACTATTCACGGCTTCCAAAGTTTTCCCAGAAGCTCAACACTCAAATCCCCCACTAGATCTCATCGTCAACTACATTTTCCGATCCCACATCGATAGGTTTCGATAAGCGGTTCTCGAGATTTCGAGGAATTTAGGTAGCTACTATTAGAGAGAATACGGCAATTTTTATCTTAAATTCTTAAATCTAATAGTTTACCTTTACCGTATTTCCTCTAATAGTAGTGAACCCCGACGAGCCGAGTTGGTGACTATTTGACGACTTCCAAAGTTTTCCCAGAAGCTCAACACTCTAATCCCCACTAGATCTCATCGTCAGCTACATTTTCCGACCCCACATCGTTAGGTTTTGATAAGCGGTTCTCGAGATTTCGAGAAATTTAGGCGACGCTCAGGCTGCACTACTATTAGAGAAAATACGGTATTTACGATAAGCTAGCATAAAAATAAAGTAATAAAGTTACTGGTTTAAGACAAGTTTTTTAGAAATAAAATGATTTTAGCTGGGCGAAACGTAGCGGAAAGCAACTAGTCGATGTAAACACTCTCTCACAATTTTTCGGTTTTCTTTGCGATTCTTTAGGTAAGTAATCTATGAAAATTCTAATTTGTATTCTTTTTAAAGTGAATTTTTAAAGATTTACTTACTTTTAGGTAACATCTTTCTATTGGTGATTACAGCGATGGCTTGCTGGCTCACTTTTGCTTACAAGTCACAGGTGGTTTTGAGTATTTAAAACTAAGACTCTTTTACTCTTATTTCTCTTAAATAGTATTTTTTAACTGTTTGAAATATCAAAGTTTACTTTATATAGAGAAACTATATGGAAAAAGAACCAATAATCTAGCCGGGTATTGATTAAGATTAAGATTAGAATGTGTTATTTGAGCTGCTTTTTCTCAGCCACAGAAAGCGCTTAAAGTTTAAACATTTGTTAAGATTAAGATTAGAATGTGATTAAGATTAAGATTCTGATTAAGATTAAGATTAAGACTAAGATTAGAATGTGTTCCCTCTCAAGAAATAGTGCACAATAGGAAACGAGTGCATTTAACATCTTTTCTAATACTTAACTTAGCCTTTTCAGACTTTTGTCTATTATCGTCTCTTGATGCCATCTCAAGAATCAACAATGATGATCTATATCTATGTAGCTACTATTTTGAAATCAATTGCTTTCATTCACAATCGATTATCACTTGTCAAAACAAAGACTTTCTTCATCGATTGGGAGAAGCCAAAGGTTTTAAAAAGAATAAAATCATTTTGAAAATGATTCTAGATTGTTGCTGATTTAAGCAAGAATCAGCCAACATCTCGGGATCTCACAAAGGATCGATTAATCTTTCCATCGGTAATGAAATTTAGTTACTAAGACAATTTTATGATCGTATGTCAAGTCGATCTTTCTTCACCATGTAGCTGAATTCTTTTAGGTAATCTGGCGCACATATTTGGTGGCAAATGAATGGAATGAGCTGCAGAATTATCGAAAGACGAGTGTCGCTCTGCAAATGGTTATCATGCCGTTTATTCTTGAGTACCTTGGGTGGATGAATTTCGCTATAATACAGCCTGGATTCAGTGCTGAGACACCACCTGAAGGATTTCTAACAGCAAAGGTAATACATCGAATAGTTTTGAAACGAAAAGGTTGTATCAATTGAGAAACTGATATCCAAATACTATTTGGACTAATTTTACTTTGTCCTTGTTTGATTAGGCTCGAAGATCGAAGACAACAATCAATTATTGTATTTCCCCTTAAGCTTGGGTAATTAAACAAAAAAACGAATAAAAACAATAGAAGCATTACAACAAACAAAATTGGTGAGAACAGAATTTGCAGAATTACTGAAGCTTTTAAAAGACGATATCTACAATATTTTGTTCACGCATTAGCTTTCCATCTTTTACGACAAGTTAACCTAAATTGATGCGGCTAACAAAGTCAAATAGAGTTATAAATGAAAAAGCAGAAAGCAATTCAGGTAACTCGATGGGCTGTCTCGATGTTCATCTACCTAACTATCGTTTTTCTTCAATGGGCAATCTCTGTCCTTGTAATCGAACGTATCATTATCGATCCTTTCCACAATTTCATCGATCTCTGCTCTGTTGCAAACATTTCAGTCTTTTCACTCACTCACTCCAATCATGGTTATTATATTCATGGGCGATCTATTCATGGAAGGTCAGTATTCTTTCATTTTTGGGTGAATTTTATTCTCAAAAAGGAAACTTTAGAGCTGATACAAATATGAGAGAGATGAACGAGTTTCTGCAACGAGAACGGGATAATATGTGCGGTTTTCGGGGTCTTGAAACGAATTCTGAGCTTCAAACATATAGCCTAAATTTGCCAAGTGCTTTTGGACAAAAATTGGATGAAGTAAGAGGCTGTGGTTTTTTGAAAGATTGTTTTCAGATTAAGAAAACAGCATCAATGCCGTACAATGGTTTGAGAGCAGCTGGGCAAGATCCGGCGACTGTAAAGGTCAGAAAAACTGTTACCAATGATCTAAGTTTTCCTTTCAACTATTGTAAGAAGCTTTCAGGCTTTCAAATCTTTAGAAGCTTACTATAAAACTCTGAAAATGTTTAGATGAGCGCCTTATCAAGAACTCACGAACAGATGAATGCTTTTCTGATTGAAGTGATTGATCGATCGGCGAATGGAATCGATTACACGTATCGAGATCAAGCGTTTATCGAGGCGCTCTTTGATTTAGAACTCGATGAGACGTCACAAGTGAATTAAAAATTAAAAACAAATAGAAAACGAAAAATAAAATAACGCCTTATTGAGGAAAGCGGCTTTTTTTGTGAGGCTTTTTTGTTGAAATCCGAGTCTTTTCATTATAAAAAGCTATTATATGCAAAATTCAAAGCCGATTCGAGTCTCTAGGGACTTTTCTTGGGAAAAAGGATTAAAATAAACTTTAACAATCAATTCTACAACCGTGAAAACCCCGGGATACAAATTTTTGAAACTAAATCTCCTTTGGAAATCATTTACAGAAAGAAAAATCACTGTGTAAAGTGGCTGGAGGTTCTTTGTGCATGAGCGTAATCGCCTGCCATCTGGTATAGGCTTTTAGTATAGGCTTTTAGTATAGATTGCCTCCATGGTGGAATTGGTAAGGAGAAAGGATTGGGCCGACTTTTTATACATTTTGACCTCACTATGCCTAAATCTTTGAGATCAATTTTTGTCACAAAACTCACTTGAGCCCCGTTCAAGTAGCTTAAATTTTCATGATTTTAAAAGAAAATGAAATGAGTTAGTGTTGGAAGCGTGATTAAACTTAAAACAACTTTTTTTAGCGTGGTTCCTTCGTTCGTGATCCCTCTGAAACAGGGTTTTCTGTGTGCTTCTCTTATGGTCATGAATGGTCAGCCGTTTCTCTAGAAGCTCTCCTTTATTGTGCATCATATCTCTTTTTTGACAGTTTAGTCTTTTCCTCATTTTTCGTCTTCACAATTTATTTTCTTTTGTCAAAAGTTTTCTCTTCACTTTTCACATCAAATTTAGTGCAAAGTAGTTGTGTCGATCATCGATTTTTGATTTAATTTTATCAGTTATTTATTAAGCAATAAATCTACCGTAATTTATTATAGAAACTTGTAAAATCTTGTAACATTTAACAATATCATCTAGAAACTCATCTATTAGGTACGAAAAAAATTAATGTCGTATTTGTGGGTCTCACTTTCCGGCGTCGCTTACGCGGCTGCAGATACTTATTAACCTTGGATCTTTTTATGTATTTGAGTATTTTTTTCTCAATTTTCTCTTCTGTGTCACACTTTTGCTTAGACCTTCCTTAATGGTTTTTTTTCAGGTTGTTTTACATCGATGGAAAATCGAGACTTTCGCCTTCTCTTCTTCTATGAGTTCAGGCTTGGCCACAATGCGTTAGAAGCGACCCAAAACATCAATCAAGCTTTTCGGGAAGGCAAAGCTGAAGTTCGAGTAGTTCAGCGCTGGTTCAAACGATTCCGTGAAGGCGACGAGGATCTTAATGACAAGGAAGGCCTCGGACGCCATCTCAGTGTTTGGTGATCACAGAAAGGTCTGATCCATTATTCAATTCTACCCAACGGAAAAACGATGAATTCTGATAAGTATATTCACAAAATAAACGAAATGTATGAAAAACTTCGAAGAATCGATCCAGCTCTAGTCAATCGGAAGGGTTCCATCCTATTGCAAGACAACGCCCGCCCGTATTATTCACTGAAGACTCTTCAAAAATTGAACGAGCTGCACATTGAAGTTCTCCCTCATGATACATATTCTCCTGATTTTTCCGCTACAGATTTACACTTTTTCAAGTTCCTCGATCACTTCTTATCGGAGAAATGCTTTGCTACTCAAGGGGAGGTGGAAAATGGCATCAAGGAGTTTATCGATTCAATGGAGCCCGCCCTCTACACTTTAGGAATTGAAAACCTAGCCAAACGTTGGCAATCATGTATAGATTCTACTGGTTTTTACTTTGATTAAATTGCTTTTGCAATAAAAATTTTATGAACGTTTGAACTTTAGTGAAAAAATACGACATTAATTTTTTCCGTACCTAATACATCGATGTAGAAACTTGTAAACAGATTTAGAAAGTTAGATTACTAATTGGAAAATAACAATAACGCGAATTAAAAGGCTAATTTGAGTCATCATTCCCTAGTTAGGTTATATTGGGTTGGGGAGAATGAGTCGGCGCCGAACTGAAAGGGACTTTTTGCACACATAAAGCCTTCTTTAAACATACGTTTGGTTTCATCAAAAGGATCCACTATTTCTCTACAAAATCACTTTTGAGAGATTCCACAAAGCTTTTCTTTCGTGGAGTTTATGAACTTCGAAACGCAGCTGGTTAAAATGGCAAAGAGTCCGACTCATCATTTGATCAGTTTCTTTTACATAAACCTTCTTTGGTGTTTATATAAAAAGATAGAGCACATTGAATTACTTAAGTTGCCAAATTTGCAGGAAGATCCCACCAATGGTTTTTTCTAGATCACAGTTTGTAGTTTTTGTAAAAAAATGGCTTTTTCTTGAGCGGAGGCGCTGTTTGAATTTTCTTTTAAATGTGATTTTGTAGAGAATTAGTTAACCATTCTACTCATATCAAACGCATATTATTTGACGAAGTCGAATTGAAGTTTTAGACATTTTTTTGATTTTCGGCGCCGACTCATTCTCCCCAACTCAATAATATAAAAATTAGATACGAGTCGGCTCGTTTGATGAGTGCTCAACTTATTGTCCACAAATGGGATTATGGTTGATGAGACATCGACAATCAGATCCAAGCACGCCGTATCTCGTTTGCAAGAGATGAGTAAATAAACCTTTTGTGATCTCTTATCGAAAGGAAGACAAAAATAAAGACAACACATCATTATTCTCAAAAATCTTTGAAAACTGATTATTGAACACATTTGGAATCACAAAGTATAGCTTGGAGATAAAGAATGAAATGACGAAAGGTGACAAAGATTGAAAAATTGAAAATCTTTTGATCTTTAATAACTTTTTCTTTAAGTGCTTTTAGCGTAAAGTTTGATGTATTTTAAGATTCATCTTTAAAGTCTTATAAGTTTAAAGATTTATTAAAGGACCTAGTGATTTGTGAGCTTCATTAATAGCAAATAGGAGAAGGATTACGATAGAAATAGAATGAATATCTTAGGCATTTTTAAGATACTCATTCTGTTTATACTGTAATCCGTTTCCTAGCACTATTAATCAAAAGAAGCTTACTTTACTAATAAATAAACTATATTTTTCTTCTTTCACTCTGGCTGACACGTGTATTTCTTCAAGACTATATCCTTCTTTTTCACGAATCTCGGACAACAAGTGGGCGCAGGGAATGGGCAAAGAGCGTCAGTGCATTTTACATTTTGAGTTGATACTCCACTGAAAATCACTTTAAATCTCAATACTTCTACCATTTCTTACTCGCATTCACAACGAGAAGGCGTGCACTGTCGTGATTGACTCTTTGTTCCACACATTCCACAAGTACTTGAGCAAGATGTCACATCAGACCAAAAGCTCCAGGTGCCTTTGCAAACTGTGGTTGTCGTTTTTGTTGTGGCTTTGGTCGTCGTTTTTGGCGTCGTTTTTTTCGTCGTTTTTTTCGTCGTTTTTAGCGTCGTTTTTTTCGTCGTTTTTGTCGTCGTTTTTGGCGTCGTTTTTTTCGTCGTCGCTTTGGTTGTTGTGGTTTTTGGGGTACGAACTAGGACTAAAAAAAAGCGATATTCTCATATGTATTTGTGTGCAAAGCCTTTGCGAACCTTCACAAGCAAAGATTCCCTTTGATGGAGACCACGTGCCGTCAGCCCCACACGTGTACACGTCACTGCTAGTGATTGTCACTCTTGGATTTCCATAATGATCTCCAGAAGGGCTCTAAAAGAACATTAAAAGAAAAACGATATGGAAGAATCAATCAAAAATCGTTGATCAATCAAACACTCACTAACTAATGAAGAAAACAATAAAACCACTGTCAAATATAAGAAAATTTTGATCTCAAAAAGCTACCAGAGCCGGTGTCCCATCATCAAGACGAGTCGTGCTGTAAATCCACTCCTGACCACGACATTTGACCGTCACTGTCTAAATGAGAAAAAACTTTTAAACTTTTTGTTGTTTATCAGTTTTCTCAGTAGGATTTCACTTAGAAAAGACAACTTTAAGAAAAAGAGTAGGATCAAACTGAATTTTACTTTATTTCATTTACTCTTTAATTGAATTTTCGAAAGATCTTTGCAATATCGTAACAATAGAGAAATTCAGCAATGAATTTTTCGGCTCTAATCTGAATTTAATTGACTGGTTTGACTGATTTGACTAAATCAACATACAAAAACTCTTGAGTCCCTGATTAAGAAGCTTTCTTTTACTTGCAAAACAAATTTTATGTAGAGCGAGAATAAGAACAAGTATTCTCAGTTGAAAATGGGATCTAGCTGAAGCTGACCTTGCATCCTCCATCATTGGAGTCATACGTGAAAACGGGGGTGTCGTAGAAAATCAATGTGCCACACTCGGTGGCACTCGCGAGAATGCACGTGCCAGCCGCAGTGGCCGCCCCACAAGACGAGCAACTTGTGTGTGATGGGTGAACGAAGAGGAGAAAAGAGAGAAGAAACAATAACAACATCTTGTTAAGCAAAACGAATTCGAATCGATCATAATGATTCCTCTTTTTTGGGCAGATTTATAGGAAGGGACGATCCCATCAGCTGGCTTTCATTTCATTTCGCCCTTTGGTCGTCGTTGATCTGTGGATACAAAAATGTTATTGCCTGAATATTCCAAAAAGCTTTTGTGTTCCAAAAAAGAATAACAATTTTATTAGGTCAAAAGCTAGTTCCCATTTTTTCAAAACTTTTCAAAACATTTTTTTTTTGTTCCCATTTTTTCAAAACTTTTCGAACTTTCGAATTATTTCTCAATTTCTTTCTTTCTAACGAAAGAAATAGGGAAATGTTGACAGCTATGAGATGACAGCTTTGGAATTAGAAAAATCTGTCACCAATGTCTACGTTGATCATCAATAATTTTATTGAATTGTTGAAAACGGCTTTTATTTTATCACTTTTGGGGGTTTTACCAAACGTAAAAATTAACGAAACGCTTACCAAGCGGGTTAAAAGTTTCTGATTCTGTGATAGCTTGTAGAAATATTTCTATTTATGAACTGTCATGAAAACTGGATAAAAGTTCTCTTTTTCATTGATTTCCAGGTATCGGTTTTACAATTTTCTTGATATTTTGGTGGTTTTACCACTTTTGCCTTGCTTACAAAGGGAGTGAAGTCAAGCATCTCTCATCACACCGTACGAGCAAGCACTTTGAAGCCCTGAAACTCGGCTTAACCCCTTTTCCCAAGTTTTCCTTATGTTTTTCGGAATCTACGCATAAAACTACGCCAGAAAGAGTGATTTTGAAGACAAAAAAGCGCCTTTCCCCCTCCCCAAACCGGCGTAGTACCAACGTTAGTAGTTAAAAGTAAATACTTGTATGAGAAGTAGTTTGAAAAAGACTTTTCTTTAAAATGGAGATCAATTACCTCCAAAAAAGCAAATAAAAATTAAACTGCGGACCCGAATCCTAGAGGGTTTATCTTGTACATCTTTGACGTCAATCCTTTGACACTTCTTCTTCTTAAAAGCTTTCATTTTGAGATTTTTTCAAACAATCCGTCTCATCGATGGCTCAAAAATCGCAGCTTTTCGGACTAAGCGACGAACCTTCCTTTCCGGGTTTCGTCTGATCTTGTCGCGCATTTCCTTGACAACCGATCCAGTGATCACAGATCTCTTCCGTCCACGACCCAATCGATCCCTGTTGTTTTCCAATGCTTTAAACCGTGCAATTGTTTAATAAATGGTAGCTCGACCTGCTCCTAGGCGATTGCTCCACATCCAGTTGGCATTCCCTTCTTAGTCGAATCTAGTATTTTAAGCAATTCTTGTCGATACTTTTCTTCTATTCTGAAGAAAGAGATATATGCTGAAGTGATTGGTGCTAATTTAAGCACATTTTTGATAATCCTATTTGATAAGCCCTGTGTCCTACCCTGTTTTATTACCGAACGTTATCTCAAAGCTGATTACACTTGAAAAGTTGCAATAATAACTTGAAACATGCTTGAAATACTCTATAATAAGCACCAATCGCTTTAGCCTATATAATTACCCCCAGAATAGAAGAAAAGTATCGACATGAACTGTTTAAAACATTAGAATCGCTAAAGTGAAGCTAAAAGTGGCTCCTCTCAATCACCAAAGCATCATTTTCTTTACTAGAAATCGAATCGATTTCTGAATAACTTAAAAGTTACTGCTTAAGCTTTAAAGAAAAAAAACATAGCTTAAAATCTCTTCTTTTCTTTATTCTAGCAACTTTTTCCTCACTTTTCACATTACAAAGCAGTTGTAGCAGTAAAATCATCGATTTTTAATCGAATTTTATAATCTATTTATTGAGCAATAAATCTACCGTAATCTAAAATCTAGAAACTTGTAAAAAATAAGAAATTTTCTTGAGGAATTCAATAAAGCTAAAAGTGAAGCTAAAAGTGGCTCCTCTCAATCACCAAAGCATCATTTTTTTTACTGGAAATGGAACCGATTTCTGAATATCATAAAAATTCCTGCTTAAGCATTGAAGAAAAAAACATAGCTTTGTATCTCTTCTTTTCTTTACCATCAGTTTTTTCCTCACTTTTCACATTACAAAGCAGTTGTAGCAGTAAAAACATCGTTTTTTAATCTATTTATTGAGCAATAAATCTACCGTAATCTAAGATAAAATCTAGAAACTTGTAAACAAAGAGAAATTTTCTTGAGGAATCCAATAAAAGCTACAGATAAAAAGAAAATTTGATTGAAAAAGTTATTAATAAGTTATTGAAATACAAGGATCAAACAAAACTAGTGATTTTTAATATGGAGAGTTCGGATCGAGTACGATTTTTCCTTTGTGATCAACTTTGACAACGTCTGGAGTGCCGGGTTCGAACTGAAATTTTCGAAATTTAACTGAATAACTCTAAAATAAAAGAAATTACTCTATAGCTGTTTAGCTTTTAACTGAATATCTTTAAACTATAATGTGTTTTCTTTAAATTAAACTCCCCAAAGGAAATTTTCAAAATCAACTGCGGATTACTTCAAGTTTTTAGTTTAAGCTTTTGGATTAGATTCTATAAAATATTAAGAGCTATAGTAAGCTTAATATTTGATTCTTTTTGTTATTCTTTTGCTTTTCTATGAATCAACCTCAGGCTTGATCCCTCTCATCGGCGCTTTCCATCCATTTCTCGGCACCATCTTGATACATTCAGGAATCGGGCAAACACTGAAATGAATCGAACAATAGAATCATTATCTAATTGTAAATTATTTAAAATGAATCTAACCATAGAATCAATGTAGATTGTAGAACAATAGAATCAATGTAGATAGTATCATTTAGTTAACTTTAGTACAATAATAAATGCAAGAACCTGTAGCAAAGAGTGCATCCAGTGCAGTCATCCTCTTGTACATGAGGGAAATGAGTTACCTAAAAGAATAGGAAATGAATAGGAGTTAAATAGAGTTAAATCTAGTTTCTATAAAATTTACTTACCGTAAATACTGTAATAGTACCCCACCCCCCTCGTACAGTCGCGTAGTCGCAAAAGTTTTTAGTATTTTTTTCAAAGCGCCCGTACTTTCAAAAAATGAGTCTTTGGTTTCAAAAAATAGCTGAAATTCAGGGCTATTTTTTGATACCAAAGCGAGCATTGCAGCATAAACTAGTGTCCAGGAAAACTTGTTCAAAGCTAGACTACGCATCACTCCACACCCTCATTATGGGGGTGGGGTACTATTAAAGTATTTACGGAAACTTTTCAAGATTTTACCTTATCAAAGGTGATAGCTTGATATCCAGAATCGTTACAAGTCATATAGCATTTTCCACAATTGATGCACATATCATCATCGATAATAGCAATCTAAAGTCGATTCATTCATCCAAAAAAAACTCTATTTAAAGAATAAAAGATTTAAAATACTAGACAAGTTCATTATTTTATTATTTTCAATGTTACCTTTTGCTCTTTATTATCTAGAGTGACATAGGGACCGATACGGGGTAAAGCAACGCCGATCACTTCCTGCAATTGTATTCATATTGTATATTTAAATAACTTTTGATAAAGAGATAAAGAATGAAACTATACCTGAACTGAGTAGACTTTATCAGGCTGATTATCGGGTCTAGAAGCATAATGCAATCCATTTGTTTCTAACAGATTCGTTCTTGAGAGAGCTTCTTGCTCTTGTTTTTCCCTCTCTTCTCTGTATCGACCAAAGTTGGGAAGATGCTGGAATTTGATTTTATAAAATGGTTTATAGATATGATATGTTATTAGCTATAAACTCTATAGCTTATTGATGTTTTTACCGTGTTCTCGAGGAGAAGCGGCTTTCCACGCTGATGCTTTGTGATCGGTGGGCTTTGACCGTCCCATTCACGAAGAGCTTTGATTCCCTGAAGCGTTAACGATTATTAGCTATCTTTTAGATCTTCAAATTCGTCAATATTTAATAAAGAAAGAAACAATGTTCTGTTAAAAAGCGGCTAAACAAGTTGTTGCTTGGTTGTTGCTTTTTTTACTACTTTTTTGACTAAAATTTCTTATTATTCAACTAAAGACTGTCAAAAAAGAGAAATGATGCACAATAAAGGAGAGCTTCTAGAGAAGCAATGAACTTACTCTCAAATAAAGTAAAGCTCTCAATCCAGTGCAATAATCTTGAATAACAGTGAAATCTTGATTCTGAACAGCTGAGCACACTTGGAGGATCGAGGCGCCGGCCATTAGGAATTCGAGACCAGTTTCAGCGGATTCAATACCTAAAGTAGTTGATGATCATTGCATATTTTAAGTTTTATTTATTGAATACCTCCAGTGGCCAGCACAGGGAATCCAGGCATATCGTTTGAAATGGCTGAAACGGCTTTGAGAGCAATTGGTCGAATGGCCGAGCCAGACATTCCACCGTAAGTTGTTCTAAACGAGTTTGTTCCAGTTGCTTTATGAATCAAGAGCTCACCTTGTATCCCCACCAACTTTCGGCCAAGCAGTTCCATCAGCATTTAGATGCATGAGAGTCGAGACAGTGTTCGTTGCTGTTACTCCATCAGCTCCTCCTTCTTTCGCTCCGCGGGCAATTGCACGTATATCCGTGATATTTGGGGTCATCTTTGGGAAGAATGGGATCTAGAAATATCATCGAATTACAGCTTTATCTTATTTTGTTTTCACCTTAACAGTCTCTCGAACCCATTCCGAGATTTGCTTGACAATTGCTGGGTCTTGACCACAAGCGAGACCCATTCCTAAAAGTTTTGTTATTTTTCAAACTTTAAATTCATATTGTTATCTTGTGAAAAGATTATTTGATATAAAAAGTTCTAAATCTTTCTCTAACTTTACCCTTTTCTCCCATTCCGTGTGGACAGGACAAGTTCAACTCTAAAGCATCAGCACCAGCGTTCTCCGCTTCTTTAGCCAAATATTTCCAATCTTCCTAAAGATATCCAGATCAACTTTTTATGTTTATAAAGAGTTTTTAAATAGTTTTAGGAAAATAAGGAACCAAATTTGTAGAGTTAAGGAACGAAATTTGTAGAGGTAAGGAACCAAACTTAGAGAGATAAGGAACCAAATTTAGAAAGATAAGAAACCAAGTTTAGAGAGATAAGGACCCGAATTTAGAGAGATAAGGAACCAAATTTAGAGAGATAAGAAACCAAATTTAGAAAGATAAGCAACCAAGTTTAGAGAGATCAGGAACCAAATCTAAAGAGATAAGGAACCAAATTTAGAAAGATAAGGAATAGTTAGCCATATTTAGTTTATAGATCTGTTTTAAAGTAACAATTTGAATACCTCAGAGAAAGTGCACATAATCGAAGCAATAACAATTTTCGTTGGATGATCTTTCTTCAACTCGCGCACACATTGAAGCCAATAGGCGGCCGATTTCTCAGAGATTAGCTCAATGTTCAAGAATGAGCCCTGAAAAGAAAAATTATCAGTTTTTAGGTTTTCGAAAAAAACCATATTTGGTCCATAGATCGGTCCACTTGTCGTTCCTCGAACGATTCTCGGAGAGACATTTGTGACAAGATCCTGAAATTTACATGAAAATTTGGCCATTCTGTAACAAATCTACTCAAGTATCACAAATCTAGATAAATTTTAACAATAAGACTTTAAAAGTTTTTAAAAAAGGGACCTTAACTCATGAAATTTTCAATTACATTAATCCTTGTCTCAGATCGCTTCTCTGCTTGCCCCCATTGATAGGGTCAAATGATAAGACCCTTCCCCGCCGCTCTTGTGGCGCAATCGGCAGCGCGTTCGGCTGTTAACCGAAAGGTCGTTGGTTCGAACCCAACCAGGAGCGAAAATTTTTAATTTTTTCGAATTTTTTTACCTTATCAAGTCCGAATGTTTTCGTGAGCACAAATCCCCATCCTTGCTCGAAAGCGCGACGACACATTGGCCCAGTGGTGGTTGGTGGGGCTGAGGCGAGACCAAACGGGTTCTCGAACTTCATTCCACACATTTCAACAGAGATATCGACCTGAATTTTTGATCTTTACCTACAGAAATTGTCAAAGTCAAATGTACGGAAAGCTTTGAATTGAGGGCTTTTTAAAAGCACAAAACTCACCTCATCAATTGGAGTATAGAAGAGCGGAAGTTGCGGCTGCTCAGAGATTTGATTTCCGTGCATTGATTGCAAGTAGCGATGCATATGCCAAGCAGCCACCTAGAAATCACAAATAATTTCATGCAATTAGCTATAAAAGGCATTCTTTTACCCTAAAGAATTTCGAAAACTCGTTTACCTTTCCATCATTAACCGACTCAACAGTTGTCTCAGCCACTCCACCAACATCTCCACCAACGAAAACACTCGGGTCCGAGGTTCCCTAAAAATTTCAAAATTTCAATTCAAAGTTTTGCTTAAAATTAGATAATCTACTTCTATTTATTGTTATCTTGGTATTAATAAACTAATTTTGATTGTACAGGGTGACCAAGAATTACCGCAACAACGTCGTATGAGCCCCATGGTAAAAATTAATCCGCTTAGGTTGACCGACAAGTCTTTAAACGCTTAAAAAGCTATCTAGAAATTTCTTAGAAGTCTTCATTTAAAAAGTTATTTAGAAATAACCAATTTACCTATTAGCCTATGGTTTGCTCCATTGTATTTCTAATTGTATTTCTACAGGGTGACCAAGAATTACCGCAACAACCTCGTATTATGTTATGAGTCCCCATTTCACTTTTTGCTTACCTTTTTTTATGGTTTTTGTGTATTTTTCTTATTTTATGTTATGATTACTAACTTTCAATATATTATAATTCTAAATAAAAATACTTGTGTAGTTTTGTTGACATCGGGAAGACCCCATTTGTTCAAGTTGATTCCCTCCATCGCTTCCACAACTAAAATTTGAGACATTATCAGTTTTAGAACTTGATTTGTCAGATAAGCTTTGTTAGTTTAATTTATCATTAAAATTCAGCTTGCGTTGCCAAAATTCAGCTACTTCAGACTGACTAAGAGTCCTGTATATTAGTCGGCAGCTCAAGGTTTCAATCCCTTGACTTTGATTATTTATTCTTTATAGATCTTCCCTAAATTTAGGATTTAATGGTTTTACTTTTAGATTGTTTCTACCAAATTATTCCTGTGACTAATGGGAAAGAGTTTTTAATTAAAGAAAAAAGTCTTCTTTATTGTACCGTGCTTGTCGATAAGAGTCGATCCAAAAGCTGAGATAACGTAGTCAGCTTTTAATGTCAAAGATTGCTCTTCGTCTTCGTACCTGAACAAGAAAAAAGTCGAATAATTGATAGGATTAGCTTTAATACTCAATATTCTTTCTAAAAACACACCAATTTCCTTCATCATCTGTTTCAGTTTTCACGAATTGCATGCTCACAATTCGTCCATCTTTTACATTGATCTTTCTTGGGGCCATAAAAGGCATAAACTCGCATTTCTCTTCTCGAGCTGATTCCATCTAAGAATTTCATCATTGCATTTTATTCTAACAGTGATTTTAAATCAGTTTTTTGGAAATAAACCTCTTCAGGAACAGCTCGAATGCTCGTGAAACCCTTTCGAAAGACGACCGTCACTTTTGACGCTCCACATCTAAAATAAAGCATTTTTCCAATAAAGCTATTAGTACTTGATACTTGTAGAATATTGTACTGCGAAATTATGATACTTTTATTACAACATAATCCACAAAACTCACCTGAGCGCCGACGTTGCACAATCAAAAGCAGTGTCTCCAGCGCCGAGCACAAGAACGCGTCCTTTCATCGAGGGGAGTTGAGTCGATTTGCATCCACACATTCCTGAATTTGTAGCTTTTCTTTGATTTTAGAAATTAGATACCTGGCTTGCTTGCCTTGGCCACTAATGGCAAATAGTTCTTGCTAGTGTAGAAACCGTGTTGAACATCAAGTCCATCAAAAATCTCAACTCTTTTCGGCTCAGGCATTCCGATTCCAATGAAGATTCCCTAAAAATAAGTTAATTTTAATTTTTTTATATATATAAAGTCTAGATTTTCAAGTTCACCTTAGCTCCTTGTTCCTTTAGCTTTTTAATTGTTAGATCATCTTTGTGAAGAGATTTTCCGGTAACAATCTGAATAATAGATGATATTTTAGATATAGTTTGGAGACCGTATTCTCTCTAATAGTTGACCCCGGCGAGCCGAGTTGGTGACTATTTGACGATTTCCAATCTTTTGCAGAAGCTCAACACTCTAATCCCCCACTAGATCTCATCGTCAGCTACATTTTTCGACCCCACATCGATAGGTTCTCATAAGCGGTTCTCGAGATTTCGAGGAATTTAGACGACGATCAAGGTGCACTACTATTAGAGAGAATACGGTATATAATTTCTATTTAACCCTCTCTAATAGTAGTGCACTTTGGCGAGCCGAGTTGATGACTATTTACGGCTTCCAAAGTTTTCCCAGAAGCTCAACACTCAAATCCCCCACTAGATCTCATCGTCAGCTACATTTTTCGACCCCACATCGATAGGTTCTCATAAGCGGTTCTCGAGATTTTGAGGAATTTAAGCAACTACTATTAGAGAGAATGCGGCAATATTTATCTTAAATTCTTAAATCTAATAGTTTACCTTTACTCCAATATCTTTAGCCATTTGAATTTCAAAATCGACCACATCATAAGGAAGACGGAATTGCGGGATCTCGCTTGAGCTAAAAAGAACAATAATTTTTGTAAGAGAATTGCTTTAAACTTTAAAATCAAATTTCTTTAACCTAAGTCCACCAATAAAATCGTATTTCTCATAGATCGTGACGTCAGTGTAACCAAGTCGAGCCATAAATGAAGCACAAGAGATCGATGCTGGTCCACAACTGGAAATCATATAGATATAGATTTAAAGTATCGGTTAAAGAGCTAGATTATTAAGTCATAGGCTTAAAATCGAGTATGATTAGAGTTTGAGAATAGATCAAGTGATTGAGAAAGCTTTTAAATGAATCAAATGAGGATTTTCTCATGATCAAGTGATTGGCGAAAACTTTTGAATCAATTTTTGACATTCTCTTGTGATTGATATTCTTGATTCTATGAATTCAAATCATTTTCTTACCCAAGCAAAGCAATCGGTTGATTGTGTGACTCATTTCGACTCTCTCGGATCTCTTTTGACACAATTTGTCGAATGTTCATCCGTTTGAAGACCTAAAATTGTGATTTGAATAAAAACGATCGAATAAAAGATTGTTTCTGTCTATCTTTCTTGATCCTTTACCTCACAAGCAAACTGTTGTAATCCTCCAATATTGATCGCTCCTTCTTCAGATCCGAAAAGATTACAAGATCCAACACAGAGATCCGATGTCGGGCAAATCATTCCACAAGTGAGACCAAGTGGGTTGTCAGAGAGGATTTGTCGTGCGGCTCCATAATAATTCTATAAAGATTTCTTTTGTCAAAATCACGTAAAGCAATCATTTAACATTATAAAATTCATTTGCGAAAAGAAAAATTTCAAAACAAGTAATTTAATGATAAATATAGTCTTAATAATATATTTTTAAGACTAAACTAAACTTAAAAAAATTAAAACTTGATAATCATCTCGTCTTTTATTCTACCTTGTTGGAAATACTTTGAATGAATGTTTTCACATCGAGTTGAGTGGGGCAACTCTTTTGGCAAGGAGCATCAGCACATTTTAGACATCTAAATGTTTTTTTGGATATAGATATCTTTAAATAAATCTGTTATATCAATAAATTTAATGGAAAACAATTAGGATAGGTTAGGCTTTTTATAGTTAAGCATTCAATTTCTAAAGTTACCTAAGCGCCTCTCTGACGGCTCCTCGTTCAGACAAAGTCGTGTGTTTAATGTCTCGAAAATCATTGTTCAGCTTTGGGCCACAACCCTGAAAATATTCTATAAATTAAATATTATCTAATGAAAAGTTAAACTCTGAAATCCAAATACTCTCTCTAATAGTTGACCCCGGCGAGCCGAGTTGATGACTATTTGACGGTTTCCAAGCTTTTGCAGAAGCGCAATACTCAAATCCACCACTAGATCTCATCGTGAGCTACATTTTCCAACCTCACATCGATAGGTTCTGATAAGCGGTTCTCGAGATTTCGAGGAATTTAAGCGACGCTCAGGGTGCACTACTATTAGAGAAAATATGGTAATTTGCTTACATTGCATCCCTTGTCGGCATTTCTCTTCCAATTGTGTTTATTTCTTTTTGTCTCATAGCTCGGCACGGCTTTTGCTTGAGTGTTGACTTTCGGATTTAAAGCCAAAATATTCTAAAATACTCTAAAATGATTATCTTCTTCTTTAATAAACAAAATTTAGCTAATAAATTAGTAGAAATTTTGAAACCTCAATATCGGGCCCATCTTGGGAATATTTTCCACCCGTGTTTGGAGCCATTTTTCTGAAAATTAAGTCAATTTCAACATTTAAACATTACCTAAATACTTTAAAAGTTCAGAAATTTGTTCAAAAATGAAAACGAATCTGTAAAAAAAGGTGAAAGAGATAAGAGTTGAAGTGAAAGAAGTAGACAGATTATCTCTTGAAGAGGGGAATTCAAAAAATAGAAATTCAAAGAAAGTCCACAATTATTTCTGATCAAACAAATTTGAGGAAAAAAAAAACAAAAATCAGAAAAAGTTTTGAGATTCATAAGCTTTTCTTTTGTTTTTGAAGAATTTCGCAAAGTTTCTAGAGAATTGTAAAACTTTTTCCATTCAAAAAGAATATAATTCTTATAGCTTTAAGTTCTAAATCTTCTCTCAAAAAGTATAATATAAAATTTTCGTTTTAAGAATGGTAATGGATGAAATATGCTTCTTCTTGTTCTAAAATTCTATAGTTTTAAGAATGTTAATGGATGAAATAATCTTCTACTTCCTGTTCTTCTTGTTCTAAAATTCTAGTTTTAAGAATAATAATGGATGTAATCATCTTCTTCTTGTTCTAAAATTTTATAGTTTTAAGAATGTTAATGGATGAAATAATCTTCTACTTCCTGTTCTTCTTGTTCTTGTTCTTGTTCTGGTTCTAAAATTCTATAGTTTTAAGAATGGTAATGGATGAAATAATCTTCTTCTTCCTGTTCTTCTTCTTCTTTTACATAATAATAATACTTTATTCAAACGATAAAGTGAAAGAAATCATAGAGAAATGCACAGTGATACTTAATCATACAATACATACTGAAATCAATAAGCCAATTACTTACGGCAAAGAGCCACTAGATCTAAAGCATCGATACGTTTCTTGAATATGAAAAGCGACTGAATTTCTCGTATGTCGTTTGGGAGCAAGTTCCATAATCTAGCGGCTCTAACGGGAAATGAATTTGATAAAGAGGCATTGGAAGCAAAGGGAATTTGCAAAAGGAATGAGCCACTTCTGGGCCCTGACCGCGGTTTAAATTTGAAAAAGTCTATAAACAAAGGGCTAATCTGTTTACAACGGAGGATTTTGAAAGTTTCGACTAAATCAATTTTTCTAAAATATTATAATTTTAAGAATGGTAATGGGTGAAACAATCTTGTTCTTCTTCTTCTTCTTATTCTAAAATTCTAGTTTTAAGAATAATAATGGATGTAATCATCTTCTTCTTGTTGTTCTAAAATTTTATAGTTTTAAGAATGTTAATGGGTGAAACAATCTTCTTCTTGTTCTTCTTTTTCTTTTTCTTTTTCTTGTTCTTCTTCTTCTTCTTCTTCTTATTCTAAAATTCTATAGTTTTAAGAATGCTAATGGAAGAAATAACCTTCTTCTTGTTCTTTTTAAGTAATTTTAATAACTTATTAAAGTTAAAGGCAAGAGAAAAGAATTTAATTTCTTATAACAATCAGATATTATAGAATTTGATGAATTTGATAATTGTAAGAAAAAAAATTAAAAAGTCTAAAGATTCTTTTATTAAAATCGTTTAAAGTTAAGCAAAAAATCCATTAGATTTTGAAGAAAAGTGATCGAAAGAGACTTTTCCCTTTTTTTTTCTCAGACCACGTGAACAGAAACGGCCTCGAACCAACCAACCACCGCTCACTATCACTATCCATATCTCTTCATTTCATTGAGAATTTTTCTCTTTTTTTTCCTCTCTTTTTAAAATGCAAAGGCGATAACCAAAAAAAAAAGAAATAAATGGGAATTTCAATCAAAAGGTGGACAGGCGCTGATAACGAAAACGAAAAAAAAGGAGAACAATACGTTAGAATTTGGATTTCTATTGGATGAGCTGACTCTTGATTTTTGAATATTCGTCTATTTTTAGTTTGCTGTAAGTTTACCAAAAGATAAAATCGATGATTACAATTGAATGATTCTGGATATTAGGCCTAATAGCAGCTACAGAAGTATTAGATGAACTTATTGACAAATAAAATAGAGTGTTTATGAGTTTACTGTACTCAGCTTATGATTTAGCTTAGGCCAAGCTGGACAAGTACAGTAAGCTGAATGTTGTGTAGCTTGCTAGACAAATACAGTAAGCTGGATGTTGTGCAGCTTGCTAGACAAGTACAGTAAGTTGAAGGTTGTGCAGCTAGACAAGTACAGTAAGTTGAATGTTGTGTAGCTTGCTAGACAAGTAATCTGAATGTTGTGTAGCTTCCTAGACAAGTACAGTAAGCTGGATGTTGTGTAGCTTGCTAGACAAGTACAAAGCCGAACTTGGCCGTTGTGTAGGGATGAGATTAGGATGAAACTTGATGAGAAATTGGATTAAAGAATAATAAACTTGTATAAAATCTTACTATTATATTTTAAATAGATCTCCTTCCTTTCTTTTCCTATCCTATACAAAGATCAAGGCCATCTTACCTTTCCTCTGTCAAAAAACGTCGATCGTGCACACACGAGAAAAAAAGATTTTGCGAAAATCTGAGAAAATAGAAAGAAATGGTCTGATCGGAAAGAGAATGAAGGTTTTTGAAGGTTTCCTTCTCAGAACTCAGACTTTTAAAAAAGAAGAGAGTTGAGGAAAACACTCAAATGTGTCTTGAGCTTTTTGCTTGCTTATGTAATCAAATTTTATAGTTTTAAGAATGGTAATGGATGTAATAAATTTAAAATTATGGAATCTTTAAAAATCAGTCTTATCTAATAAAAGACTTGGCTTACAAAAAGTCCCTGAACTTGTCAGCCAGATTTGAAGCTTTCCCTGGCTTACCCCGTTTGGAACACCTAAGACAAAATAATTGGCATTGAGAGTCGTATTCATGAAGTTAAGGCATTAAAAACAAAAGGATGATCAAAGTGAAAAAGATGATCAAAGATTGTCAAGTAAATGAGAAGGGAATTAAGGGCTAAGAGAAAAAGAAAGAGGTTTCTCTTGAAAGAAGAAGAAAAAGGGGAAAGATTGAGGAAAGATTGGGGAAATGTTTGCCTAAAGATCGAAGGGGTCACCGTTTAACTAAAAAGAAAAGAGAAAAAGAAAGAGAAAAAGAGAAAGAGAAAGATCAGAGAAGATGCCTCGTCTTCTCTGATCAAATATTGATGTAAAGAGAAGAGAAAGAATTGAGGCAATATTTTGATGGAAGTTCGGCGATCTTGTGATTGATTTTGATTTGAAAGGAGCTCAAAAAGTGTACATTAATCGCACTAGATTTCATTTTGCTCTGATCAAAACAAAACGTTTTGATGAGAAAATGAAACAAAAGATCACTTGCCACCAAAATGGAAACAAAGGAGCTCAGTGTGCAACGATTGGGGATTTGAAATTTTACGCATATTCAGCGGTAAGCGAACACATTCCGTTTTCAACACAGTCAATTACACTGCTCCACAAAATTGTATGGACACTTGCTTTTTTTTACCAATTTTATACGCTTAAGAAGCGATAGTGAAAAAAAAGTTGTTTTATAGTATTTTCCTTATTCGATTTGCCATTGAAACACGTTAGATATACTACCATAATTTGGAATACAGTACTGGACAATGAAATATCATATTTGAAAAACGATCGCCACTTTTGCGCGCGCGCTGAAACATGATAACCATTTGCAGAGTGACACTCGTCTTTCGATAATTCTGCAGCTCATTCCATTCATTTGCCACCAAATATGTGCGCCAGATTACCTAAAAGAATTCAGCTACAGTACTGGACAATGAAATATCATATTTGAAAAACGATCGCCACTTTTGCGCGCGCTGAAATGCGTCAAAAAATACGGTATTTCTAAATATTAATATTACCATTGTGTAGCCCTTGAAAAGAGCTTTGAGAAAATGTATAACACTAATAGTTTAAACTCAAAGACAATGGAGTTACAGACGCGCGAAAGTGACGATCGTTTTTCAAATATCATATTTCATTGTCCAGTACTGTATGTAGGTTTAAAAATCGAATTTGGCAAAAAAATGTCCTTTGGCGCTTTCCACATAATGAAATGGACACTTTATTTTTCGGCCTTTTTCTCATTTTTCAGATAATTTAGCTCTTTTTGCTCAAAAATCATTTCTTTAAGGTACTCTGAAAAAATGAAAAAAAAGGGGACCGCCGCTGTCGGAAAAGGAAACTGGAATCAAAAGGAAACTGGAATCAAAAGGAAACTGGAATCATTCTTGAGCGCAAGTTTATCATAAAGAACAAATTTATTTTTTGTTTTAATCTTTTAAAGTTGTACTAAAATTCATACTAAAGTCAATATTTATTGTAAAAAGTTGAAAGAAAAAGTTGTAAATGAAAATTGACTGAGAAAACTTCAAACTTATAACAATTATAAAGGGTTTTTTTATGGAAAAAAGGTAAGATTTGAGAATACAATTATTAAGTTGTCAATTACTGCATTAATATTTGTCTTTAAAATGTCAAATCTTTATTCAAAGCACTAATATCAATAACCCGTAAATATTGCAATCAAAAGGCTAAAGGAAAAACAAATTTAAATGCAAAAGATGATAGAAAAGATGATAGAATAAGATTAGAAAAAAATGGAAGCAGATTGGGATAAGCTAGTGAAGAAAGATTGAGAAGAAACTAGTAAAGAAAGTTTGGGACAAATTGGGAAGAAAGATTGGGACAAGCTAGTGAAGAAAGATTGGGAAAAACTAGTGAAGAAAGATTGGGACAAGCTAGTGAAGAAGGATTGGGACAAGCTAGTGAAGAAAGATTGGAACAAAATAGTAAAGAAAGTAAAGAAAATAGAAACAATCTTAATCCTTACAATTTGAGATGGAAATATTGAAAACTTTTTCAAAACAATCTGTGATTTTAAACTTTAATTAGATAATTATAAAGTTTCTAGATTGTTTTTCTGTGTTTATTTTGATTGCTTAAACTTCCATCCGATCAGGAGCCTTATCGGCAACGGGAGCAACGAGATTATCTTTCTTCGACGCGTTGTGACTGCATACAGACTTCCCACGAACCGTCACCTACAAGAAAAACAACTTAAGATTGTTTCTTTGCAGAGTTTTTGCTTAAATTATCTAAAACATTATCTGAAATCCGTGTTTAATAAAATAATCCGTGTTTAATATAGTATTTTGAGGAAAGTTGCACTTGAATTACAGTAAAGGCACTTTACACTTTGCTACTTTCGTTTTCGAACATTTCAAACCTCAAGAAAAGCGACCAGCTCCACCAAGCAGTACATGATGATCGTTGGAAGGGCCATTATATAGTGGAAAATGTTTCTGATGATACCTGTTTCATCCTTGATTCCGTTAGGGAAATACTGAAATTAGGAAATAAAAGATTTACTCAAATTCTCGAACCGGTTGACAAGCGTATGAAGCAACAAAGACGGTGAGGAACCAAAAGTATTGAAGACCGAGAAAACCGAGCATAATCCACGTGAAAGCTTTCTCATTCGGGATGACGAGGCCCCAAACGTGATGACCAGTTCGGGTGAGCATGGCCGGAGTCTAAAAGGGTTTGGATTATTGTAGCTGTAAATATCGAATATCTATGGTATTCAATTGGCTAGAGAAAGAGAAAACAACATGAGAAGGATTAGAAGAAGCAATAAAATGAGTAAAGAACTCTCGATTTAAAGAAGCAAGAAATAAGCTTCTCAAAGTCTCAATGATTCTCAAAGTTCTGATTAATTCTCAGCTTAAATAGTTATTCTAACTGTGTTTAGTGCAAAGTTTGAACTAACAAAATAAAGCGATTTACTCAGTACTCAATGAAATCAAAGAATTGGTTTAATTGATGCAATTTGACTAATGCATTCAGTGAAACTATTGCAATGATTGATTTAATAAGAGGTTTGGTGAAAACAACAATGAGAAGGATTAGAAGAAGCAATAAAATAAGTAAAAAACTCTCGATTTAAAGAAGCAAGAAATAAGCTAAGAACTTCTTTCTATAAGATCTTTTAAATATTCTTTTTACTAACCACAAACGGAGCGATTGTTGTGTAGATTGAGGCAGCACAGAGCACAAAGCCGTAATAGAAGATGAATTTCGAAGCGAATGAGAGAGAGACCAAGATCGGCAAACGGGAAGCCTTGATGGCAAAATAGTGAAAAACCTGTAAACGAATTGAAAGATTGAAAGAAAAGCTATTTCAATGCCGACAACAACAACAACAATGCCAACAACAATGCCAACATCAATGCCAACATCAATGCCAACATCAATGCCAACAACAATCCCCTCACCTCAGCAGCTCCAATAGTCCAACGTCTGATTTGTCTAGCCCACTCATACCACTCATCAATGTAGTTTTTCCCTGTAAATTTGTTTTAAATCTTGTATCGATTTAGTATATTATTTTAATTCAAAATTTACCAGCTGTTGGTCCAGACAAAGTCGCAACCGGAATTGGTCTAATAACACATTTTCGTCTAACAGCCAAAGACCAACGAATCAAAGCAATAATGTCATCCATCTTAAATAATTGAATAAGATTGAATATAAAGATTGAAGATAAAGATTGAATATAAAGATTGAATTTTGATTGAATATTTAGAAAGACTTAGAAAGATTGAATTTAAAACTAGTATTATAACCTGATATCCAGGATGAGTGTACTCTCCCTCCTCGAAGAGCTTTAATGTCAATGAGAAGATGCTCATCGTGTTGATGTTCCATGGGATTAAGTAGCTAGAAATAGATTTAAAGATTTAGAAACTAATTTTGTGAAATAGTCACCCCATCATGAAGAAAGCACGAAGAAGACCGGTGACGCGGACAAAGAATGGCGATTTATCGAGATTGATACAGTAGAAGAGAGGACTCTGCCAGACTGTAGTCTCACGTTGCTGAAGGAAATGTTATTTTAAAACAAAAGATTAAACAAAAAACAACATTTCTAAATAATCATATTCATTTATAAAGATTTGAAGCCCTTTTTAAACAAAACCGATTTACTTTAAATCAGAATTTTATTGAACTAATACTTTTAAGTTCTTTAGTTCTTTAGTTCTTTAGTTCTTTAGTTCTTTAGCTCTTTAGTTCTTTAGTTCTTTAGTTCTTTAGTTCTTTAGTTCTTTAGTTCATTAGTTTTTAGCTCTTTACCTTTGGCGTAAGTTTCCAGTAATCTTCTTCAAGTGCATCGAAATACCTCTCACCGAACACTGAATCACAATCACCAGTTGTTACCAAAAGCTCTACATTTTGTCCTTCTTCATCCAATGGATAACCCTAAAATAGAAGATAAGAGAAAACCGGTCAAAACCTATAACAATATATCTTCAGCTATCCTAAATTTCTAGTTTAATCTAGTTCATATTTGTGAAGAGAAAAATTGAGAAGATGATAAGGGACAACGTCAGCAGAATCGGAGTTTGCAAGATTTAAAAATCAACTGATACTTAGGGATTATAAGCCTCTCAGTCCTCAGATATGTGCCCACGTTCATTCACTTCAACAATACATCCATGCCCGCTAATTTGTTGGACAGGCTTCTTAGGTATTCAACACAAATTTCCTTCATCTAGTTGCTTCAGCATTGTTGTTGTGGAAAAATCTTCATATGAGAACTGCGGGGCTTATAACCCCAAAGTACGAATAAACTTGATAGCTCACCTTATCAGCTCTTAACTGTTTAACAGCCATTCTTGAGGCATAATTGAAGTTAGAGCATTTCCCGGGAATATCTCCACGAAGACCTTTTGGATGAAAAGTGACGATGAAACGTTCACAAAGGGGATCGTATTTCTTGTGGAGTTGAGCTTTTTTCTGAAGAAAAAGATCATTAATTCTCAGTTGGGAAAGTTTTTAATCAATCTTTGCTTTAATTTTAGCTTTTTATTTAATTATTTCAAACTTACAAGATCTTTATCCGGTGTCCCTTCTTCCATTCCAATCAAAATCGAAATCTTTTGCTTGCAATTTGGTTGAGAAGTGATACTAAAACGATTTTCTTTAACTTTAGTTCAATTTAGATTTAGATATGTTTAAATACCTATCAATAGTGTCCATCAACAGCTCGAGTGGCTCTTTGTAAACACAGAGACCAACCAAATGCTTTACTTTAAGATTTGTCGGGTTTGGATACTGAAAAGGAAATTGATTTTATAGAAATTAAATGAATAAACCTTTGACCAATCAATTTTATTATTCCAAAATGATCGAATTTTCCACCAGTAACGAATATTGTTGATAACAGCGATTAACCATAAAAGATGTAAAATGATACAAATGATTGTGACGATTTCCAGGGAGAAATCCTAGAAAGTAAAAGATGCTTTTGGATTGATAGAAGTTATTGTTTGTTTGTTTATTGACTCACAGCTAAACCAGGAATTGCAGGAACCCAAATACAAGTTGAGAATGTGAAGAAAATGAGGAAAGTGAAGAGGAGATTCCAACGAATGTAAGCATTTGCTGGTTTAGCAATTCGACCAGCATACACAGAAAATCTAGAAGTAGATAACAGCTTAGATAACAGCTATAAAAAGACAAAACAAGATTCACTTTTACTTGAACGAAAATCAGAAAATTGGTGTACTATTATTGATCGTTTTCTATAGAAGATCGGGTTTTTCTAGTGGATTAGAAGCTAGTAAATGTTCATTTTGTTCTGATTACTTGTTTGATTTGTTCTGATTGTCCATTTCTTTGATTACTTAAGTTCACTTTTAGTTAATAACTTGAAACAAACTGTCGAATGCTTCTGCGAATGCTTTTCCCGGCAGTCGTTGTTCCACTTCGAAGCCGTTGAATGCGACTCTGACGTCGCTGTGAGGGAGCTCCTTTTGATGGATTCTTCTCAAATTTTGACGAATTCTTATGCACTGGTGAGTCGGACTGAAAGATTTACAATTAGAGTTGTGGAGGCGGTTTATCAAAAGCTTAATCAAAGACAAACCACAAACTGATCATCAACAAAATCTTCATCCGTCGGCAATTGAAGAGACACCGATTTGGCGGCTTTTCTCTTTGCCGGTGCATCGCTTTCAGCATAATCAGCTTCTCGGATTGTTGGTAAATTAAGAGAAACTGGAGACATTGGCGGAGATTTGGGCTCGTCACCCATTCTAGAATGGATTACGAATAAAAATAAGTTAAAAGACTAAAAGTTATGCAAAGTTTACAAAAGAACAATCACAAAACAACGTAAAAATGGATAAACGGAATGAATAGCAAACGTAAATTGTTTTTTTTATTACATAAATGAACGTAAGCAAAAGAGCAATATCAAAATTAGAAGAAATTTAAAAGAAATCAATGTCAAAGCTTTAAGCTAATAAAGCAGCTAGATTGTTACTCTAAAAAAAGCTATTGATACATGACACAGATGCAAGATAAAAGTTAAAAGATAACTAGTTAACTAGGTAATAACTTTAATAACTTTAATAACTTAAACACGTGAAAAGATAACTAATTTATTATAGATGAATGAATATAAGAAGACAAGGGATAAGAATGGAGACTAAGGCAAGGGATAAGAATGAATACTAAAGGGAAGCAGACAAGGGATAAGAATGAATACTAAGGCAAGGGATAAGAATGGAGACTAAGGCAAGGGATAAGAATGAATACTAAGATAAGGGATAAGAATGAATACTAAAGCTTCTATCTAAAGAGAAAAATGTTGTTGAAGTTAATAACTTTAATCACTTAACATACTAAAGCTTCTATCTAAAGAGACTAATTTAGCTTCAACTAATTTATTATAGATGAATGAATATAAGCAGAAAAGGGATAAGAATGAATACTAAAGCTTTTATCTAAAGAGAAAAATGTTGTTGAAGTGTCAGTTTTAAAGACAGAGTTCAACTTTCATGTCTCCTGGTTTCTCGTTGATCATCGTTTAAATAGGCTGATCGGCGGTGAAAAGAGTTTTCAGAGAAAAAAGAGTTGTGGAGGCGGGGTTAGAGAAAGGAGAAGGGGAAATGGAAAAGAAATGACGCTGATCCATCTACAGTAACTGTAAAACTGTAAAGTTTCGAAAAAAAAATGAAGAAACAATATTGACTCAAAAGATTTAATCGGAAAAGACAGAGACTTTGGACACTTTTTTTTGAGTTCACAAAGATCAGCGTTGATTCAAGGGAAGTGATTACTTGTCCATTTTGTTCTGATTACTTAAGTTCACTTTTAGTTAAGCTAACTGTCGAATGCTTTTCCCGGCAGTCGTTGTTCCACTTCGAAGCCGTTGAATGCGACTCTAACGTCGCTGTGAGGGCGCTCCTTTTGACGAATTCTTATGCACTGGTGCACAACAATCTCATTGAAATTTCTAGTTGTTAAAAATTGTAGGATTATCATATTTGAACAAAAGTATATCATTAAAGTTATCTTTTTGATAGAAATAGATTGAGATTTAAACCTATTTATCTTGATGTAGCCATCATTTTTTTTATCTTTCTTCTCGAGTCTTGATGAAAGTGATCTAGTTTAGCAGTTTGTGACAAGTCACGCAGTTTGTAAGCTGCTTAAGATTGCTAACAATCTTTCCCAATTCTCATTTGTTTACACTAATAAATGATTTTGTGATTACATTACACATCACTTAGACGATGATTTTGAACTCCAGTTGCAGCCATTCGATTCCTATTCTTCAAAAACTGAACAACCATGGAAATGGAGAGAAAGTTTATCTTCAACTCGTCTCCGAAAAGATCTTCATTAGCGTTTACTTTGCGGTAATGGAAATACCGTATTTTCTCTAATAGTAGTTCACTTTGGCGAGTCGAGTTGATGACTATTTACGGCTTCCAAAGTTTTCCCAGAAGCTCAACACTCAAATCCCCCACTAGATCTCATCATCAGCTACATTTTCCGACCCCACATCGATAGGTTTTGATAAGCGGTTCTCGAGATTTCGAGGAATTTAGGCAACGCTTAGGGTACACTACTATTAGAGAAAATACGGTATACTCTTTCTAGTGCACTTAATTCTTTGTATCTTTGTTTTATTAGCCATTTTCTCTATATAATGTGTTAGAATGGTTATGTTTCCATAAAGTACATATAAAAAACGATTTTCTTCTTTGGCTTATCGGAAAGTCTAAGAATTTTTCAAAAAATGAAAACAAAACCTTAAGAAACTTTTAACTGAAACTTATAATGCATTTTTTTTGTAGGATTTTCAAAAAAATTCCACCCACTCTTAGAAATTCTTTTTTTTGAATGAATGACGTCAGCAAAAAAGACTTTTTTCAGACAGGCGTTAACGCTAAAAATAAACAAGAAAAGAAAAATAGGGGAAATTGTGAAAAATTGACTTTTAAACTAAAAAGTATTCAGTGATTCATCTAAATAACAATCAATGAACTAGAGTTTAAAATATTTTTTTGTTTTGTTTGCACATATGGCCATCAATTGGCAAGCTCAAAAGCGGATTTTCCTTTGCAAAACTTGTTTTATAAATTGAAAGTGACTGTTGGAAAATAGTGATGAGTAATGGGTTTCCAGGAAGGTTTTTGATTTGAATTGAGATTTAAACGGTGACTAAAGTTGTAAAGTTATGTCCTAAAATTATCAACTCAATGAAACCTTTATATTCACAAAATTGAGCTTGAATCAATCAATGATAGTAGGAATACTTTATTATAAATTGAAAGTGAGTGTTGAGATTGAGATTGGGAAGTTGAGATGGAGGTTGAGAAGTTGGGATTGAGATTGAGACGTTGAGATTGAGATTGAGGTTGGGATTGAGATTGAGACATTGAGATTGAGACGTTGGGATTGAGATTGAGAAGTTGAGATTGAGATTGAGAAGTTGAGATTGAGACGTTGAGATTGAGATTGGGAAGTTGGGATTGAGATTGAGACGCTGAGATTGAGATTGAGAGGTTGGGATTAAGAGTATTCCTACTATTCCTAATACCGGAGATTCTTGTTATCAGTGAAACACGAAATTTGATATAAGAATGTTTGCTTTAGGTAAAATATTCGTTTTTCTGCGATACCCACTCAACTCTCGATATAACGATTTGTTTGGGATTAAAAGTTTTGATTTAACGATTGCTCTTGGCTGGGCAGCTCTGCAGAAACGGAGAGCGTCTTTTATCGAGAGGAAATCTTCAAAGCAGACATTCTGTAAGCCAGAGAAAACGAGAGCTGGCTTCTACGATCTTTAGTCGATCAACGCTAGATTAAAACCAGACCAAAGCAAGGCAGAAAACCTGATTGGTCTTGAACTACTCGAAAGTCTTTAACTGATCCAGACAAAAATAGTAGTGACTTTAATTTTAGGTAACCTATCAAGTCAAGATGGGGCTGCAATTAATCTATCATTTTGCTTGCAATGATTGCAATGTTTACAGAAACCCAACGTATTTTGATGTCATGATCAATTTGATAGAATTGAATCAATTGAAAACTTTTGAGTTCAAAGAGAAACTCTCTGATCTTTTCCCGAATCACTAAGAGGAGTAAAGTCGAAGTGAAAATGGAACTCTCGTCATTTCAAACGGGGGAAAACTGCGAAGCTTATACAGTAATCCCTTCGGTTTTTCGGTTTTCCCGTGTTTTTCCAATCTTTTGCCAATCTTTTTTTCTTTCGTTAAAGAAGAGGCTTAAGTTCTCGTGTGTATGTGTACACAGAAATCAGTTTTTTTTTTTTTTGGAAGAGAAAATGGATCAAAGAATTTGTGAGGAAAGGTACGACTGATTTGCAAAAAAAATTAGGGAGAAATTTCACGTCATCGATGGATAGAGTTTGATCAAATTTTAAACTATTACGAAAGAACAATTACTCTGAAAAATATGGCGTGTAAGATCCTTCAATCCTTTTTCCAATTTAACACTATAGTTGATCTTTGAAGGCCTTTTTCTACTCCTTGAAAACTTTCAATCTTCATAGGCTATTTTCTGGTGATCCTGTATCCTTGTGAAGCCCTTATTATAGAAGAATGAGTAAAAGTCGAGTTTTTTTGTGATTTGTTTTGATAGGAAACCTTTCAGAATGAGTAAAAAAAAGACAAATTTAGGCAAACAAAAAGACAAAAAAAATTCAACGATTTTTATGGAAAAAGGATAAGACTTTACTGTAGTTTACTCAAACTTTTCCTTTTATCCTTTTTACCCGATTCACATCCAAATACCTACCTCATTTTGAAGCTATGAAGCTATGAAGCTATGAAGCTATGAAGCTATGAAGCTATAAAGCTATGAAGCTATGAATCTACCAAGCTATCAAGCTATCAAGCTATCAAGCTACCAAGCTACCAAGCTACCAAGCTATCAAACTACCAAGCTATCAAACTACCAAGCTATCAAGCTACCAAGCTATCAAACTATCAAGCTATCAAGCTTTATCATTTGCCTAACGGCCTAACGCACATCTGCAAATGGTGTTCTCTATCAGAAAATCACGTTAAAGTATCCATTTGACGCAGAAAATTGTGCTAAATCGAATGGTGAAGAAATTATCGAAATCCGTCTGACTCGATTTTTTAAAATCGCCCTTTTATTAGCTTGGTGCAGATGAAACTTCCGTTGGAACCATAAACAAAATTTATTATAAAAATCCTAATACAGAACCTCAATCCAAAAGATATTCGCCATCATTATCAATGACTCTTTGCCATCTTCCACGCAGAGAATGGATGCCCTTTTCGAAGAACTCGGGCAACTGCGACTCGAAGAAGTTGGACACCCAGATTTCAACTTCTTCGCGGTTTTTGAATTTTTTTTCTGCTAGAGAGTGCTGCATCGACCGAAACAAGTGGTAGTCGGATGGGGCCAAATCCGGGCTATATGGCGGATGAGGCAGAACTTCCCAGCCCAATTCCTCGATTTTCTGCTGGGTGATCTTTGCGGTGTGGGGTCGAGCGTTATCGTGGAGGAATTTTGTAGTCGCCGTGTTATTGCCTTGACGACGCAATGCCTGGTCCACGCGGCTCAATTGGGCTTTGTAGAGATCCGCCGTGACTCTTTGGCCCGAATCCAGCACCTCAAAATACACGAGACCTTTACTATTCCACCAAATACAAAGCATCATCTTTTTTCCGTGGACATTCGGTTTGGGAGTCGGTTTTGGCGGTTCACCGGCGTCCAACCACTGCCGTTTTCTTGTTGTGTTGTCGTAACATATCCACTTTTCATCTGCCGTAACAATGGAGTCGAGAAAACCGGCGGTCTTTGCGCGGCGCACGAGAATTCCAGCCATTGTAGCTCGAGTCGCTTTGTTTGCGTCGCTGAGCTGATGTGGCACCCATTTTCCACACCGATTCGTCTTACCAATTGCGTGCAAATGGCGGAGAATGGTTGTATGGTCGCAGTCAAACAGCTCTGCAAGCTCCCGAGTTGTTTGGCATGGATCCGATTCGATAGCGTTCTTCAACTCATCGTTGTCGACAATTTGAGGTGGATTCCCGCGTTTTTCGTCTTCCAAACTCTCATCACCGTCTCGGAAGCGCTGAAACCAAGTCCGGCATTGACGTTCGGACAACACGTCATCGCCGAATGCTTTGCACAGAGCACGATGAGATTCCGTAGGCGTTCTGCCTTGTTTAAAATCATACAACAAGCAAACCCGCACTCGAAATTTTTCGTCAACCATTTTCTAGAAGCTAAAAATTACTTCAAATTAAGTAAAACGCATAAGTCTTAGATATCAAAAGACGCGCAAAGAGACGCTCTTTCAGATAGACAAATATCTTCAATAAAAACTTTTATTAGGTTCAAAATGTAAACAAACAAGTTTGACGGAAGTTTCATCTGCACCAACCTAATACAATCAACTCGCTCACCGTGACCAACTTTCGGCGGCTCGTTTTCAGCTTGGGCGAAAGATTGTGCCCTCAAAACCGATAAATTTTGTGTGAATGTGTACAAAGATCATTTTGATACCAAAAAAATAAAAATTGATCAACTCTGCGAAGACTTGATGCCTTTTTAAGTTGAAAATGACATTTTGCGACTTTCTGCCCGCTAAAACGTGGACAATCGTCAAGTAGCGTCGATCAATGTTAGTCGTTACGACGACCAACATAAATCGGCGCTACTTTGACGTCTGAAAGCCTAAGACTAACTGCATCAGCTGCACCTTAACCTAGCAACCTAAACCTGCTAACAGGGCATTAGCATTAGTTGCTTAACCAAAGCCTACGCACATAGCAAGCACATAAAAGATGGTGCAAAGAAAATCCTGTGATGGATTTAGGGTAATTGATAAAATAATAGAAATATAGTGGTTTTATTAAAGCTGTAATAAAAAACAGCTGTGTTACTTGAGAATCTTGAACTCTGGAGGTAAATAAACAATGATGTTTTTGTTTTCTTTTTAAAAATTGTTGAATGACACCTAAATTTCTCTTTTTTTACCCATTCTAAATTGTTTCCTATCAAAATAATTCAAAAATATCGATTTTTACTCATTCCCAGATACCCCAGGACTTTACTTATTGAAAAATTTCAAAAGATCTTTTATAATACGTTCTTGATCAATGGGGTTTTCTAAAAGGCATCTAAAATACCGTAATCAAACACTTTTCATTAGCTTTGTTCAATTTTAAATGAGCATCAACAAGTTTGAGAGCAAGAAGCAGCAAATTAGACTCAAAAAAACCTTGAGTCTTCTCTTCATTCACTCTTTAGTGTTTACTTTGTAATGCTAACAAATCACCAAAACAATTTACTACTCTTTTCTTTCGTCTTAGTTCATTCATCATCTTCTTAATCATCACAGTTCATTGAAAGATCGAATCATGAAAGACTCGGTTTATTTACTCAATTCGGTATTCGGATATGAAATATCTTATCATATCCGAATACCCAATTGAGTAAATAAACCGAATGAGTTCAAAAAGGGATCAAAAGAAAACAATTACTGGAAATAGTGACACGCAAAGGAATTTTCATTGAACTTTTCAGAAATATTTGTACAAGGGATTAGGTTTTACAAGTTTTTCTAGTCGAGGATTGAATTGAAAGTTTTGAAGGAGTGGAAAAACGCCTTCAAAGATCAAAGGGAGTAGAAAAACGCCTTCAAAGATCAACTATAGTGTTAAATTGGAAAAAGATTGAAGGATCTTACATCAAGTTGGTCCAGTTTAATTCTGGAAATGAATTATCAAAGGAATATAGACTCACTTGTAGTTAAGATAATTCTAATTATAAATTTCTATAATAAGGGCTTCACAAGGATACAGGATCACCAGAAAATAGCCTATGAAGATTGGAAGTTTTCAAGGAGTAGAAAAAGGCCTTCAAAGATCAACTATAGTGTTCAATTGGAAAAAAGATTGAAGGATCTTACATCAAGTTGCTCCAGTTTTTCTCTAACAGTTATCAACCTTATCACTTATGGATCTAGCATTATATTGGGCAGTGTGGATAATCAAGACCTTGGAGGCCTTTTTCCACTCCTTGAAACTAGATTAGTCCAGCAGGTTCAGCAACAGCTTCTTCTTATTATATAAAGTTAGATCTAACTATAGAATGCTTCTTCTTCTATAGTTACTGTATCATTATTGTATCAACTACTAGGTCACAATGAATCAGATAGTCGCTCTAGTCCAGATCCAGCATCAGTTTTATTGATAAACTAGACTCGGCTTATCTACTAGACACATCTAATTCTGGAATGAATTATCAAAGGAATATAGACTCACTTGTAGTTAAGATAATTCTAATTATAAATTTCTATAATAAGGGCTTCACAAGGATACAGGATGATCAGAAAATACGTCGATTTTTTTTCAAATCTTGTAAGACAAAGAAATCAGAACTAACAACTTTTATCCAAGAAAATTCAACAAAACAATAACTTTAAACAACAATAAAAACAAAAAAAATGACATCAAATGCTTAAAATAACCTCCCTGGGCCTCAATACACTTATTGAGTCGCTTGGAAAAGTTGTGAATGATGGTAGCACACTCTTTCACAGTCTTTCACAGTAATATCATTTCAAACCTGTGCTGTATCGATAATTTCGAAGCTCTTCTTCGAGCACAGATCATACGGAGAAGTCAAGGGGGCTCAAATCGAGAGCATTTCCTGGCTAAACTTGTCCCAAAAGCCTGGAAAAAAATGTTGACAAAGCTGAAGGGTTGAACGAGCGGAATGACTAGGTGTCCAATCTTGTTGAAGCACAAAGCCATTCTGGGTGATTTGATTGAAAGCCCAAGACTCCAACACATCTTTTAAGACCTTCTGTTGATAAATCTGAGCGTTAATTTTAACATTTTAATCGATGAACACGAGGAGGTCTTATTTTGAACAAATTCCAGCTCAAACCATCACAGACGCAGGGAAATGGCGGTCAACCATAACTTTTGCTGCAAACGTGTTCTTCAAACCTTTCTTGAAGAGTTGTCGATGGTTTTGAACGTCGTGCTTTGACTCGATGGTAAAAATTACTGGAATGATATTATTGTGAAAGATCGATCATCATTCGCAACTTTCCCAAGCTATTCAAGAAGAGGCTCAAGGAGGTAATTTTAAGCATTTGATGCTATTTTTCTTGTTTTTATTTTTGTTTAATTATTGTTTTGTTGAATTTTCTCAGTTAAAAGTTGTTAGTTCTGATTTCTTTGTCTTATAACATTTAGAGAAATTCCACGGATTTTCTGGTCACTCTGTAATAACCCCATTTTCCAAATCTTTTCCCAAATGATATTACTGTGAAAGAGTGTGCGACCATCATTCACAACTTTTCCAAGCGACTCAATAAGTGTATTGAGGCCCAGGGTGGTAATTTTAAGCATTTGGTGTCATTTTTTTGTTTTTATTGTTGTTTAAAGTTATTGTTTTGTTGAATTTTCTCAGTTAAAAGTTGTTAGTTCTGATTTCTTTGTCTTATAACATTTAGAGCAATTCCACGAATTTTCTGGTCACTCTGTAATAACCCCATTTCCTAAATCTTGATACAATTCAATCAGTAGACAGAGACACACCTTGATCTTCTATCTACGTCAAAAGATGAGTAGTTCGATGAATAACCAAAGAAATTTGTTGTATCATTTTTTTTCCACAAACAGTTGGTGTTGGGAACACCCTTTTCTAAAGGAGAATCCGTTGCCATTCCCTTCACCCAACACGGTTTTCCAAGCGTGAAGCTTTTGAGAAAGAAGGGAAGAAGGGAAGAAGGGAAGAAGGGGGAAAAGCGTGCAAACATCTCTGCATAAAGCCCTTCTTCGACATCGCGTGAAAGGAGATGAGTAAAGGGACCGGACAGGGACAGACAGGGACACAAGACTAAGAGAGAAAGACAAGAGACATGCCATCCTTCTACCACTCCCAGGGTGCCATCATTGCCATCTACATATCCACACAGTCTCCGTTTACCCCAAACAACTTTGGGTTTCATCTTCTTTCACCAATTTATCTGAAGCTTAACAGTAAACGTAACCTGTACAGTAAACGTTTTGGAAATCAGAACCAGAATAAACTCTAGTCTTGAGTTAAATGCCTTGTTCAATGCCTCAATACCTTGTTCAATGCCTCAATGTCTTGTTCAATGCCTCAATGCCTTGTTCTACTCCTTCCAATCTTTAGAACAACCTTGTTTTCTTATTCTAATTCTAAACTTCTTCCTAAACTTTGTTGAATTCTCTTATCCAGGTCTCTCACCCGAATCATCGGATGATCTTTTCCCTTTTCGCACTTTGCCTTGTGCAAAGTGTGATCGCCATTCCACAGTATTTATCTGTCACCCAACATCTAATCAACAATGCACCTATTCAAAGCTATCCTTTCACTGCTCCTGCACATGTTCTTTCGAAGGTGAGACCTAGCAAAAACTCTATTCAGGCAATCGATTTTCTATCGAACTTTAGCTGAAAGACTCATTGATGGACAGCCGAATACCGCCAGCGTACACTGGTCAAATGGACATGTCAATGCCAGGAATGCCGGACGGACAACCAACTGATTGGAGTACAAATGGAGGAACGAATGAATGGAATTCGGGGAATACGGATGGAACGGATTGGAATAATCAAGGATCAACAGGACAAGTTGGAGAAGGAGATGGAGGAAATGATCAGTGGAATAATATGAATGGGAATATGAATGGGAATATGAATGGGAATGGAAATGGACATGAAAATGGAAATGGAATGCCTCCAGTTTTCCCCAACAATGGCATGATGCAAAAGTCGATGCCTTTACAGGTTTAAAATCTAAAGTTTGCTTTAACTAAAAAACTAAGAAAAGAGACTATTCTGAAGATGGGTTTTTCAGTTTGATAATTGATAATTTGCAAGTCTTGAGAGTTCTTGTAAGTCATTGCAGTAAAGCAGTAAAGCAGTAAAGCATTTGCATTTGGGATCAGTAAAGCAGATCAATCAAATCCTAGCCAAGTCAACTTATCAACTTTTGAAAAGCTTATCTCTATAACAATACTTGTCATAAAATCATCAAATCCTTTTTTTCAGGTAGCTTTTCCAGCATCTCCAAATGAGAAAGATTGGGTGATGACAGCTGGGAATGAGTCACAAGTTGACAACGTTTTAGCTATCTCGTTAAACTATGGTTAGTCTATTTCGTTGTTCTCTTAAACATTTTCATTCAATTATCAAACGATATCAAGTTTTTAAGGCGGTCGCCTTGTTTCTATGGGTTATTTCTTGATTGGAAGCACTGTTCACTATTATGCAATTATGCATAAATACACTGGTCCAGTTTTCATCAAACCTGGTCCGATGTCTTTTAATGAATTAGTGAAAGCTGTCAGGTATTTTGAAATTTCTTTTTAATTATGAAGAAATTGAGAGAAAATGAACTCCGAGATCTTGCGTTGACACAAGTTTGTGGACAAGAAGAGGAAAAAGGCGAAATCACATTCAGTACATATTGGGAGAGGATACCAGGAGTCGAGTTTCAAGTAAAGAAAGAGTCTGGAAAGGTTTTCAAATTTTGATAATTCAAGATCTGGTTCCCGGGAACACAATACGCGGATGAGCAACGGAAACATTTTGAGAAAGAGGGATATCGACTCACTCATTTGTGTGGATACTCGGCTGATGGACGGGGAAAGTGAGCTCAATAACATCATCAATTTAAAACTATACACTGTGTTTGTTTAATTGTTAAACACCTTTATTAAGATCTTTATACCTGCTGCCCAGCAAAAAATAGTAAAAAGCAAAACAGCTGGCGGAAAGAGGAGTCGAACCCGCAACCCTTATCTTCCGTTCGTTTGGGAGCGCGCGTTAACCAGTCGATCATACTCTAGTAAATGGCTCCGTTCGAGCTCAGTCCCTAGTCTCTAGCCCAGACGACCCGGGTTCAACTCTCATTCGGTACTTTTGGTTGCAAAACTACATCAAATTTTAAATCAAACTAACTATGTTATTTGAAACGGGCCACAGACAGACAGACAGACAGACACAAACACTTTTATATATAGTAGATCGTGATTTAGATATGTTGGTGTTTGGCAGAAACCGACTCTCAACAATCTTCAATACGAGGCTCATTATGGATTGTCGTTGGATAATATGATGAGAAAAGTGAGTCTAGACGGGGGGCTGGATGGCCGAGTAAGTTAGCAGGCTTGCGCCGAGTGCAAGAGATCAATGATTCGAATCCTCTTCTGGCAAACGTTTTGCTTTTTACCTCTAGAAATCTCGTAAAATAATGTAATAAAGAGGTAGACTATCAAAAAAATTTCAGGATCGAGAACTCGCTGAGAGGGGCTATACAGCGACATCAGTTCGATGCTTTAACAATAAGCAACAGGTTGATTGATTGCTTTGGAAGTTATTTACAGTACTGGACTTTTGCTTTGGAAGTCCGGCAAAGTGCGTATATTTACAGTACTGGACACATGAAATATGATATTTGAAAAACGATCGTCACTTTCGCGCGTCTGTAACTCCATTGTCTTTTGAATTTAAACTATTAGTGTTATACATTTTCTGAAAGCCCTTTTCAATGGCTACACAATGGTAATATTAATATTTAGAAATACGGTAACGACAAGGGAGTTACAGACGTCGCGAAAGTGACGATCGTTTTTTCAAATATCATATTTCATGTGTCCAGTAGTGTATATGAAAAATAGATTTTAGATCTTATGCACAGGAATCTGGGAATACAGACCCGGTCAAAAGTCAACGGTTCTCGTCGGTTCAGATCTCAAACAAATGCATCAAAAGTTCAAATCAAATTCAAAGATTTTGCCAAGACAAATCAGCCATATTAAAGGTATTTTAAAGCCATATTAAAAGGTATTTAAATGTAAATTCGATGATTCAGATGGTTTCGGGAATGTTCGTTTCGTCGTTTTATGGAGCGATGTTCACTCGAATCGATATCCAAATCCGTCAGGGCTTTGGAATGCGACAAAGTCCGATAAAGCTAAATATCTTTACCTAAATATCTTTCTACTTTTAGCCCTATTCCTGTTCGTTTTCTAAAAGGTGCTCCGGATTTGTTGTCTTCTTCACAACTTGATTTTATCGTTCGTCGAGTTGAGCATTTTATGAAAGATCTCAACATTCCCGGGCTTTCAATTGCGATTTCAAAAAAAGAACAGCTCAAGTTTGCTGCTGGTAAGCTAAAAAATTCAATATTTGAGTAGTTTTTGATAAAAGAATTTCTTTGAAATAAGGAAATCTCTTCAAAATTTGTTATTATTAAGGTTTTGGATATGCTGATATTCGAGCGAAAGAACCAGTAACACCAAATCATCAATTTCGGTAAGTTTTCATGTTTTTCTTCTTCAAAAGCATCAAAATCAAACTCTAGAATTGGATCTGTTTCGAAACCGATCACTGCTGCAGCTGTGATGGTGTTGGTTGATGAGGGAAAGCTCGAATTGGATCATCCTGTTTGGGGAAGGAATGGATATCTTGGTGGAAATCATTTTTTTTTTTTGAAATTAATTCATTTTTATAAGCTATTCATTTCTTTAACAGGTATGGAGTTTGCATCGAAGAAGTCGTATCGACGCTGGGTGAGTGATGTGACAGTCAGACATCTACTCGAGCACACCGCAGGTAAAAACAAAAGCCGGCTTTAGTCGTTGAGAACTTTTAAACAAGTACTCGTACTTTGAAAGCTCTGAACTTTGAAAGGTGAGTGATGTGACAGTCAGACATCTACTCGAGCACACTGCAGGTAAAAACAAAAGCCGATTTTAGTCGTCGAGAAGTTTTCAACGAGTACTCGCACTTTGAAAGCTCATAACTTTATTTAGAGACTGTATTTATGTTAGTTTTTTTATATATTGGGTTGGGGAGAATGAGTCGGCGCCGAAAATCAAAAAAATGTCTAAAACTTCAATTCGACTTCGTCAAATAATATGCGTTTGATATGAGTAGAATGGTTAACTAATTCTCTACAAAATGACATTTAAAAGAAAATTCAAACAGCGCCTCCGCTCAAGAAAAAGCCATTTTTTCACAAAAACTACAAACTGTCATCTAGAAAAAACCATTGGTGGGATCTTCCTGCAAATTTGGCAACTTAAGTAATTGAATGTGCTCTATCTTTTTTATATAAACACCAAAGAAGGTTTATGTGAAAGAAACTGTTCAAATGATGAGTCGGACTCTTTGCCATTTTAACCAGCTGCGTTTCGAAGTTCATAAACTCCACGAAAGAAAAGCTTTGTGGAATCTCTCAAAAGTGATTTTGTAGAGAAATAGTGGATCCTTTTGATGAAACCAAACGTATGTTTAAAGAAGGCTTTATGTGTGCAAAAAGTCCCTTTAAAGTTCGGCGCCGACTCATTCTCCCCAACCCAATAGTTTTAATGAGACTACTTCAGGGTTTTAAATGATATAAAATAGAGTTTAATTGGTCTACACAAACTTGAGAAAATCAAAAGAGAAGTTATCTAAAATAGGCTAATAAGTTGTTCACTGTTGTTCACTTTATTTAAAAGTTTAAACGAGTTATTTATGTGTTCTAATTGATATAACTATGCTCAAATTTTTGCCTTAAATTTGGCTATAATTTTCTAACAAAATTTGACATCTTTTGTTGAAGGATAAACAATATTTAAAGAGCACCGTAAGCATCGTTTTTAGTTCTCTACTATATAAAAGAGCTTTGTCTGTCTGTACGGGCATTTTCTTATCTCTTTTTTTCTCTATAATAGTATTTTTATAATTTTATTTACAAAAAAAAGTCTAAAATTGTGCCTTAGATTTTCTAGATTTCATTCCGATTAGCCATTATTTTTATTTATTTAACAAACGTTTTTATTTCTAGGTGGTTGGGACAATTTGGCATCAGATGCTGCTTGGATTCAACCCGAGATGAGCACAAAGGAGTTAATCACACACGTTTTAGAAAACGTTCCATTAAATGAAAGACCTGGGCACACTTGGATCTACTCGAATTTTGGATATCAAGTGAGGAGAAAGGAGTTTTTGGAGAATTCTCAATTCTATAGGTTCTTGGGCATTTGATCGAGCGAATGAGCGGGCAACCGTATGAAAATTTCGTCAAGAAAAGCGTTTTCGCGCCAGCTGACGTGCACGAGATTCAAGTGGCGAGGCCGACCATATCGGAAAGAGCACCGTAAGCATCGTTTTTAGTTATCTACTATATAAAAGAGCTTTGTCTGTTTGTACGCGCATTTTTTCGGCTGTATTTTGGCCAATAAAGCTAAAGATTCTTTAGAAAACCTTAGAATATATCGTAGATGTGGTATTTAAAATAAAAATTCAAAAATTCAAAATGGAATGAGGCCAGGGAGGGTGAAACCTGGATCGTGTGGGCGATAGACGAGCCTGCTCCCGACTCCACCACGACGACCAAGGGTCCAACCAGCCAGAAAAGTGGAAAAACCCGCTGTTAGGCGGATTTTCTTGGCTGATATTGTATCTAAAAACTCTAAAACATCACGAATTCGTGAATTTCTAGCATTCCCCTTTAACTATTAGAGTTAGCAAAATGAAATTCATTCTGAGTAGTTCTAGAGTAGCAAACATTCTAGATAAGCAAACATTTTTAGTTTTGCTAGATGAATTCCCAAAATTTCAGTCGAGAAGTGATGTACTACATGTCGGGGACGGGAATTGGGTTCAACCCGTACGAGATGTTGCCACCAGAAAGGATTGGACCATGGGGTGGATGGATTGCGAGCCCAATACAATTACTTATGTTCATGGTATGCACCATGGGCCATTTGATTAAGAACAACTTTTTGAAAGAAATTAAGAATATGTAAATGAAGAGCTTTTATGCTGCTTTTATGCTTTGCTTTTATGCTTTTATGCTAGCGAGCTTTTATGCTTTTATGCTATTCTAACGGTAGTGGTTCAGTGATTAGAAATATGGAAAGTGTTTATCTATTGGAAAATCTTTTCTATTGAGTCAGAAAGATATTCTAGATATAAAATAAAGAAAGTAAATTTTGAAAATGAAAAGAAAAGACATATCTGCAAGAGAAATCTCTTTGCTAAATTTTTGAGTTAAGAAATCAGTGTGAATTTGCCTTCAAAACAAATTCTAGAGCGCTGTGGATGGAGCTGATGGAAGAGAGGACATTTTGAGTGAAGAATCAGTGAAAGAATGGATTAAGCCGACATTGGCTAGCAATGATACATACGGTGAAAAGAGAAAAGCTTCGAAAGATTGAAAGATTGACAAGACTGTTTAGGTCTTGGATGGTCATTGAATATCATGGGATTTAACGGATTGCAACATGATGGAAGAATGCCGGGAAGTGCCTCAATGTTGGTAAGATTAAACAATGGATTGGCAATGGCTGTCACTGTGAATAAGGTAAAAATGAAAGGAAATTCGGGAAACTGAACTTCTTCAACTCAGGAATACTCGGAACGGGATTTCTTCCACGAGTTGGGCTATGTGCTTCACCATATCGGAAACAATTGTGATTGGTGGGATGAGACGAAGAACGATCTCTTCCAGAAAAGAATTCGATATTGATCTAGACTTTCATTTCTCTATTTTAACCATGACTTTTTTTAAATCCAGCAAAAAAACTATGGGTATATTGATTTCTAAAGTTCATCTCATTTTCTCTTTCCCTGTGATTCGAAATCGTTTTTAAAATTGTGATCGAAACATGTGATTTATTGAATTTTATAGTTATTTAAATGATTTTACATATAAATATTTATTTTATTGTTTTTTTATTGATGGGGCAATGATTATTAGAAATTTATTTGGAATATAGCTCAATTACTAATCTAGCGAGAAACCAACGATTGATTCTATAATAAAATAGAATCAATCGTTGGTTCAGTTAGCTATTGAGTTAGCTAATGAGTTAGCTAATGAGTTAGCTATTGAGTTAGCTATTGAGTTAGCTATTGAGTTAGCTATTGAGTTAGCTAATGAGTTTGCTATTGAGTTAGCCAATGAGTTAGCTATTGAGTTAGCTATTGAGTTAGCCAATGAGTTAGCTATTGAGTTAGATATTTATTCGGAATATAGCTCAATTACTAATCTTTGATTCTATAATAAAATAGAATCAATCGTTGGTTCAGTGTTTTAAAGCCAAAGAAAAGCAATACAAAGTGGCCTTTTATCACACAAAACGATCTTTAGAGGAAGGACAAGAGAATCAGAGATATTCAAAATCAAAACATCAAATAAGATTTCACAGAAAAGAGCTGCTTTTCTGCACAAAATAGTTATGCGTAATATTAATGATAATGAAAAAGATTTTATCTATTGCTTTAAAGCTTTATAAAACTGTTTATAATCAATGAATATCCCAAAAAGAGATCATTTTTCATCTTAGAGATCTTAAGAAAAGATATGGGGTAGGCTAGTTTCCGCAACTGGGTCGTTTGCGCAACTCGCCATAACTTTCTTCTAGGTGGGCCAATCTTTATGCTTTTGGTTTATTGCACTTATTGAGATCTACAAAATGAAACCAAAAGCATAAAGATTGGCTCACTTAGAAGAAAGTTATGGCGAGTTGCGCAAACGACCCAGTTGCCCAATTGACCCTGTTGCGCAAAAAAAGTTGCGGAAACTAGCCTACCCCAAAGATTTCCTAAGCTCAAGTGTTCGCTCAACAATCCTCTTAAACATTAAATCATAATTAAAAGCCTGTTTTAAGCTGAATATCTATAAAGTTTTGCAAACGAATCCTTTCTGACTTATTCAATTCTGCATTTCTAATTCTTAAATAACTTTGATGAGTTGAATTTAGTTTGAAATTCTTATTTATTGAACAGTGATTGCTTAATGTTTTAAAAGAAAATGATTAAAATTTTGAAAAGACTTTATTAATTCTTTCGATATTTACTACAATTGTCGAAAAGAGAAACCAAAAAGTCAGTGGGGAAATGGAAAAAAGGGAAAGAAAAAAAAAGCCTAGCAACCCGTCTCAGCCCACTTTTCAGGGCCACGATTTTTCTCTAATTTTCTATCCCGTTGTAGTTAGGAGTACATTGAAACTTGGATTTCTTTTTTTACCTATTCAACTTCTCATTGCCTAATAGTTTGATTAAAGTATTTGCTTTAGTACAAGACGATGTGATGTTGAAGTTTGAATCATTTCTTCACTTGTTCCTGTTCCTTCAAATTTCTTTCACCGACAATGGGGACTTTCAAACTCTACTCGAATGCTTAAAAAGTGGGTGTGGTAGAGGAAATTTGTTAATATGATAAATTACTGGAGATTCTATGTTTTTATAGCTTTTAGGTTTCAGTTTAAGACTTAAAATCTAATCGAGGTGGATAACTATTATTGAGTTAGCTATTTAGTTAGGTATTGAGTTAGGTATTGAGTTAGGTATTGAGTTAGGTATTGAGTTAGGTATTGAGTTTGGTATTGAGTTAGGTATTGAGTTAGGTATTGAGTTAACTATTCAGTTAGTTATTGAGTTAGGTATTGAGTTAGGTATTGAGTTAGGTATTGAGTTAACTATTCAGTTAGTTATTGAGTTAGGTATTGAGTTAGGTATTGAGTTAGGTATTGAGTTAGGATTGAGTTAGGTATTGAGTTAGGATTGAGTTAGCTATTCAGTTAGTTATTGAGTTAGGTATTGAGTTAGGATTGAGTTAGGTATTGAGTTAGGTATTGAGTTAGGATTGAGTTAGCTATTGAGTTAGCTATTGAGTTAGCTAACTATTATTGAGTTAGCCCAGTCAATTTCAATCAGGTAATATTTATTTAATAAAGTCAAATCAATCAAAATAGTTTATTTCTTTTTCGATAAACTGTGCCCGTTTTACTAGTAGAAAGCGAATTCCTCAGTTTTAAGTCAAACTAGTTTTGTACTCAATTTTTTGATATCTTTTCATCTTCAAGTGCTCTACGACTTGAGCCTTTTTCCATTGATCGAAATAAATGTTAAAAATAGAGACGAATCTTTGAACAAAAGTGGATCGGAGGATCGCTTAAAGTTATTGGGTTATTGAATAGCAAGAAAAGACTTCACAATAATCAACTGCAGAATCTGACTAAAGCCCTCGAGAAAAGACCAAATTTAAGGTCATTTTGCAGCAAGAAAATCCCCGCCTAAACACTAGAAATGGGAAAATTCCAATCTATCGATCGTTTCACAAGTGCAATCTGATGGAGTTATATTTAAGGAATATTCCTAGTGCAGACTCTTGATTGTAGAACGAGTCAGTGTAGGAGAAATAGGAAAATTCCAACTCGAACCTAATTCCGCCTTCGTCTTCTCGGTCGTTTCTCGGCGGATTGCTGTGAAATTTTGTCTACAAGCATAGAATGCCAATTTCTATTTGTAAACAAAAATTCAAAACAATCGTTCAGTAGAGGGCTGAGAAAACAAAGGTGGAATTAGGTTCGGGTTGGAATTCTCCTATTTCGGCTACACTGCTACACTGACTCATTCTACAATCAAGAGTCTGCCCTAGGAATATTCCCTAGATATAACTCCATCAGATTGCACTTGTGAAACGATCGATAGTAGCCTTGGAGAGTGAGTGATAACTATATACTTTTCTTATATGATCTAGAGCTAAGCTTGAAGTTGAACATTTGGAGAGGACTGGAGAGGTCCCAATGTCTCAGTTTGAGCACTTTCTTCAAAAGAAACCCATTTTGGTGTCAATGAAAAAGTTGTAGAGAATCAAAAATTAGGCTTATAGCCAAATTCCAAAAAAGATACACTTACAAAGAACAAAGAAAAAACATTCGAACTCAAATAATATAACATGCTAAATCGATCGATTTGACAATTTTCAACTGATCGATAAGCTCAATAAAATGGTTTTAAAATAAGGGAAATCTGTTTAGCGTGATAAACATTGAAGTTCAACTAAAACTTTCCAACAAAGTTTCCAGCAAAGTTTATAAAAGATTGTTGATTACAGCTCAAAATCAAACGATTTCTCTATCCCAAAGCCCGAAATTATCATTCTCGAATTTGGCTTCAATTCTTCCCTCAATCACTCAAGGAAATGCGAAAAGCTCTGGGGCAACTGTTGCCGAGATTCTCGCCACTTTTACGATTGATCCACCTGCGAATGGGATTATGGTAAGAAATGTGAAACCTTTAAATGATTCAAAAATTCTTATACTTATACTAGAAAGAAGTGTTGTTGAAAGGGCTTGAAAGAAAGGCTTCAAAGATCAAAGTCCTTGTTTTCTTTCAGATTCTCGAATCCGGAGAAGGAACATTTCTGAACTGGTACTCAAGTTCCTCCAATCAATCACTCACATCACTCACCGACCTCCAACATCACTATGTCTCCGATTTTGCTAAGGAGAATCCCGATCCAATCTCTGATCTACCCATTTACCTACTTGATTCAAAGCTTTACACTGGAGATTTTAGCAAGGTGACATTCATACAAAGTTTTCAACTCAAATCCATCTCAAGGTTCTATTTCTTCCATTGAACAACTCGATCTTCTTTGAAATGATCGCTGAATTTGAAGGTGTTATGGATATGTAAGTGCTTTTTAAATTGTCTAAATGAATCTTTTTAACAATGTTTCAATAATCTACATAAAATTCGATATCTTTTTTATATAAATAAGACCTTTAGTTGTTCAGTCAGTTCCTTGGTCTTTGCAGTTGTCAATATTGAAGAAGAATTTACGGATTTCAATCGACTTTTAATGGTTTCTTTTTAGTAAACATTATTTTAAATAATGATATTATTCTGTTAGATTTAGTTTTAATAACTCAAGAAAAGGATTATTTAGAATAATGAAACGTTTCTTTTCTCGGATCACTTGGTGCGATTGTGTCCGATTGTCAGACAGACTGGGTACGTTCTTTCATTATAGAAACAGTTATGAATCCGATTGTCAGACACACTGGGTACGTTCTTTCATCTGGATCAGGGTATTCAGTCTAGATTGGGGTATTCCGTGTAGATTAAGGTATTCAGTTAGGATTAGCTGGATTACGGTTTCCAAATTACATTTCATTACTGTTTCAATTTCTTAAATTTTCCTCAAGAACTTCATTAGAGAAACGAAAAATGATTAAGTTTTCAAGATCAAGAACTCAATCAAAGCAAACAGTTTCAACAAGAATTCCTACTGCAACAATAAATCTTTTAATCGAGAAATCTACCCACTCCGAACCATTCTTGAGTAATGAAATCGATTTCGCTGTGAATTTGACAGAAAACATCACCAAAGAAGCTTTGAAAGCTTTGAAAATTTTGGGAAATCATTCACTATTTGAATTTTCAACGCAAGAAATTGAGTCCAAAGCTTTGAGCACAAAAAATCGTACTGCAAATGAAGAAGAAATTAAAATTTTAAGTACAAATCCCATTGAATCAATTGTTGAGGAGAATATAACAGAAAGCTTTCATACCAATATAGCTGATAAACAAAATTTCAATTTCAATTCTGAAAGCTCGATTTTTGATGAAGTTGGTCAAAGTATTGAAACTGTTACTACTAAAAACCAGTTCAATGAAGAAAGCAACACTATAGATGACTTTAAAACTCCACAAAGCGAAAGCTCTGAAGCAAATGACATTTCAACAATGCTTTTTGAAGCAACTGATCATTCAGAGGTTGAAGAAATGACGCCAAGCTTTGAAGAGATCGATCAAACTGAAACAACAGCAGGTGCTCGGAATATTCTAAATAAAACGGTTCATCGTACACTTGAACTTGCGGATAATTCGACTTGGAAAAATCAATCAACTTTAACAAATCCAGAACAAACAACCATCTTAAATCATCAAATTATTTCAAAAACTGCTGAGAAAACCAGTGAAGAAGTGACTGAAACTACAGATATTATTGTGAAGTTGAATGCCACAACGACTTCATCGGAGGATGTCACAAATATAGACAGAAACTCAATCACTGATCATGAAACTACAAAGATCTCTATGTCTTCACAGCTTGGAAACAACAACAGCTCTACGACAACAATGATTTCAGAGATGACAACTTCTACTGCAACAGAGAGCTCAACAACGACAACGAGTACCATTGAAATGAAACAAGGGAATAGCTTTGACTTCAGTGTTCCAACGAAAAGCCCAACTATTGAATATGGACTCTTTAGTGAAACAAGTTCAGCACGGTTGCCGAAAATCCCGGAAACTTTATCAACAACAGCAATAGAAGCAACAAAAAAAACTTTGACGACAAGTACAACAACTACAACAGAACTTGAAAGATTCTTGACCTCTCGCAAATCAACAAATCAAACCTTAACAATTACAATAGCAAAAAGCATTTCAACAAGTTCAATCAAAACCAAAAGAACAACAAAAATGATTGAAAGAAATACGAGTAAGAACTTGGCTAGGTAAATTCGTTATTTGGGGGATTTACAAGACTAATTTAGAAATGTTGTGCGCGTTTTGGCGATTAGCCCAACGATTTTGAAAAGTGGTGGAGGGGCACAAACGATTCAGGTAAGAAAAAAAATGAAATGGTAAGATGAAAAATAATTTTATTTATGAAGTAAGTAATGAAAAATTAGATAAGAAAATCAAAAACACTAACAATTTAAAGTTAAAACTAATAAAAAAGCTTGAAAATTTAGATTTCAAAATAAAAACTCAATAAAGACAAGATTACGATAGTTTTCGCGACACTTTTTAAGAACAAATTCCACTTTAGATACCGTAATCGTTATTAGGTTACCGTAAATACCGTAATAGTACCCACCCATCCCCTCGTACAGTCGCGTAGTCGCAAAAGTTTTTTAGCATTTTTTTCAAAGCGCCCGTACTTTCAAAAAATGTGTCTTTGGTATCAAAAAATAGCTGAAATTCAGGGCTATTTTTTGATACCAAAGCGAGCATTGTAGCATAAACCAGTGTCGAGAAAAACTCATTCAAAGCTAGACTACGCAACGCTCCACACAGTCATTATCTTTGGTTTCAAAAAAGCGTCTTTGATATCAAAAAATAGCCCTGAATTTCAGCTATTTTTTTTTGATAACTAAGCGAACATTGTAGCATAAACCAGTGTCGAGAAAAAACTCATTCAAAGCTAGACTACGCAACACTCCGCACTCTCATTATGGGGGTGGGGTACTATTACAATATTTACGGTAGGTACTCGTTTCAGATGGCTCTCGATGTAGACAATGGTCTTCCCTTATCTGTTTCTTCTTGTACATTAGTATCTGGCCATGTGAAAATAACACTACGAATCGTTGAAATGAACAACTTTAACTGCACACTTGATGTCTCCACCATACCGCCTCTCGGTGAATACACTCTTGAATGTGAGGTGGCTGTGAATGGAGAACCGATTACCCTCATTCCTCCCCAGCATATCATTGTTCAAGGGATGAAGTTGGTTAAAGAATCACTCATCAAAGTTCAATCTATTTCAGCTTTGAGACAACGACTCGTATCAATTTCGATCTAAGCCCGACAATCAAACAAGATCAAACAACTGGTGAATAAAGCTGAAATCTATTTACCCAACTAATGAGAGGCTAACAGTTCACCAAATGAAATGAACCATCCGAAAATGAAATGAACCAACTTTACGCTGATCCTGATTCGTTTTTGGAAAACGATTCTGAAAGAATGAAAGATGAAAGTGAAAGATCGAACCCTAGAGGAGCTACTCCGTATCCTAACCGGCTATCCGCTACACCACGCAGCCACTTTGACATGACCCGCGCGTAAACCTTTTAAAGAGAGGCCAAAAACTTCTTTCAAATTGCGCTCGATTCAGAATCATTTTGCAAAATTGAGCTCTCCTTCTAAGGTACAGCAAGATCAATAGTGGCCACGGAGCTAGGCTACGGAGTCACTACTCGACGGTTCGAATCCGCTCACTTTCTTCTTTGTAAAAATTTTATATTTTCAGAGTCTTTTTGAAAAAACCAATCAGATAAAATAAAATTCTGGCCTATGGTCTATGGCTCATTTCATTTGAGCTGGATCTGGATGAGCTAGATCCGTATCCATTCCATCTGGATGAGCTGGATCCGTATCCATTCCTTGTAAATTTCCAGGCACTTCACCAACTGTTTTCAACGGTGCACTGGCTCAGATTCAATTCAACAATGATCTCCTTGGTTTAACAATCACAGCAAATACTGGAGATTATTTCCCTATTGGTTTGATCAGTTGCTCGAATGTGTTCGCGGATCCGTCAAGGCTAGGAGGTATTGTAAACCATTGTAAACCATTGCAAACCTACTACCAACTTTAGTGAATGCTACTTGTATGGGAATCGGGAACTCTCTTTTGGTGACATTTGGAATAGGAGCAACTCTATTACCTGGACAATCATTAACCCTACGAACCTCCTTCTTCACAAGCCAACTCTTTGCCACAATGCCAACTCTAACCGTTATTGGTCCAACAACTCCGGTAACGAGCTTCAAGTTCAATGAAAGGTTCAAAGACTTTAGATCTCTCCATCCTTTATCGTTGATGCTCCAAGAACAGTGAGCACATGTTTGCCGGTTTTTTCAATAAATCTTCGACAACTTTCCGGGCATGGAAAACGATCGTTATCTTTTCAATGGTCATTTCCTTCTGGTTTCTTGAGCAGAACATTTGCAAGAAGATTTTCAGCTTTAGATAATCCTTTTATACAATCAAATTCCACGATGAGAAACATTTCGATTCCAACAATGGAGGTTCTAGTTTATCTATTTAAAAGGATTCGATTAATATTCAGTTAAACGGTGATAATCTGAAAATTGGTGTCACCGTTTGCAACTACATCAATCAATGCACAAGCGTCAATAATATCACAATTTTCGTCGACAAGAACGCAATTGGAGTATTTGATGTAGCAATATTGGGTAGATTACAACTCAAATCTAAAATATCATGAATAAATTGAATGACTTTTATCCAGGTGGCGGTAAAGTTTACCCGTCGATGCGAATCCTTCTCGAAGCTGTGCCCAGTTTCACCTTTTGTGGATCAGCAACACCGATCTCACCGCTTGATACGCATGTAAGCTTACGAGAAAATCGATTTCGATTGTTGAAAATTGTATTGAGAATGATTTCACTTCAAATTTAGTATATCTGGTATAAAAACGGAATTGCGATGAGCCAAGCGGGAAGCTTGAAAATCTCTCCATTCGAATTCTCCGTTAATGACACAATCGAATATCGAGTACAAGGGATCTATTCAACAAATGAGACAACCTATGTCGATAACGCGACACTCATTTTGAATGTTTGTTTGAAATTTGGTTTAACCATGATCAGAAATGTTTCGATTTCATCTTAAGACTTGTAAAGAAGATCAGATAAGAAGCAAAGTTCAATCCAGACTTCTAGGGGATCCTTTTTGTGCTTTTTGTGGGATAGGACTACCTTCTGAAATGCTTTTCTTACTTCAAAGGGATTTATTTAACACCAAACTATCCAGAACTATCAAACTAGATATCCAGAATCAGCGTGAAATTTGTTAGGCTAAATCAGCAATGTTTCCTAGTTAGACTTATTTAAAATGGTACTGAGGAACTGATTTAGAATGACCTTTCAACCTTTACAACTCAATTGAGAATTTAGTTCATCGCTTAGCCACTCCTTGTTGTCTTATCTTCATATCAATTAACCAATCAATTTCATCTTAAGACTTGTAAAGAAGATCAGATAAGAAGCAAAGTTCAATCCAGACTTCTAGTGGATCCTTCTTGTGCTTTATGTTTCCTAGTTAGACTTACTTGAGCTGGTACTGAGAAACTGATTAAGAATGACCTTTGTCAACCTTTAAAACTCAATTGAGAATTTAGTTCATCGCTCAGCCACTCCTTGTTGTCTTATCTTCATATCAATTAACCGTTCCATCAGATCAACAAATTGTAATTGATGCAAGTGGTTCAAAAGATCCAAATACTATGAATGGATTGTTAAGGTTTTATAGAAATTTAAACTTTTATAAGATGATTTTAGCCACTCTTGGAGTTGTCTGAATTTAACGTCAAATTCAAGTTGTCAAATCGAAATCTCAATCGAATGGAATTCCTCGATTCTTTTAGTCCCTTCCGGATATTTGAATGATAATATGAGGTGAAAGAAAGACTTGAAAAAAGACTTAAATAATAACATAAAAGCTATTCAGTTTCTCCTTTACTGACACGATGAGCGGCTCTGGTTTAAGCGCTGATGTCAGCTCGATTGTAGCGATGATCGAGTCGAAAACACCAAGCATTCGCTTTGTGCCATTTACTCAAGGGAAACTCAATGTACATGACTATGCTAGGTATTTAATTAACTTTAAATCATCTAATACTTTGTTTTCATTACTTTTAGCGTTGATTTTAGAGCTAAACTTCATTCATAATCTTTTTTTCAGTAATAACTTTAGCTAATTTTAAATTCAAATCAATTTATTGCAGAATACGGTTCATTTTTCTATATCTTTTGACAATTTTGATGTCTAGAATTCTTTTAGCTTTAATTTAGCTTTCAATTCTTTTCCAGAATTCAATCGTTTGTCAAAAGCAGTTATGGTTCATTAAATACGACTTGGGAGGTGATGAAAAATGAAAAATACGGTAAATATTGATTTTAATATTAAACTAGATCAACTGTATATAGATTCTATTGTAAAAAAAAGCCAAAACGAGTACTACCATTGAAAGAAAACAAGGGAATAGCTTTGTGTTCCAACGACTTCAGTGTTCCAACGAAAAGCTCAACTACTGAATATGGACTCTTTAGTGAAACAAGTTCAGCACGATTGTCGAAAATCCCGGAAACTTTATCAACAACAGCAATAGAAGCAACAAAAAAAACTTTGACGATAAGTACAACAACTACAACAGAACTTGAAAGATCATTCTTGGCCTCTCGCAAATCAACAAATCAAACCTTAACAACTACAATAGCAAAAAGCATTTCAATAAGTTCAATCAAAACCAAAAGAACAACAAAAATGATTGAAAGAAATACGAGTAAGAACTTGGCTAGGTAAATTCCTGAACTTGTATCACTAAAGAGTCCATATTCAGCACCTCCCAAGTTGTATTTAATGAACCATAACTGCTTTTGACAAACGATTGAATTCAAATGATTGAGTTCAAACGATTGAGTTCAAACGATTGAATTCAAACGATTGAATCATCTAATACTTTGTTTTCATTACTTTTACCGTTGATTTTCTAAAGATTTTAGAGTTAAACTTCATTCATAATCTTTTTTCAGTAATAACTTTAGCCAATTTTAAATTCAAATCAATTTATTGCAGAATACGGTTCATTTTTCTATATCTTTTGACAATTTTGGTGTCTAGAATTCTTTTAGCTTTAATTTAGCTTTCAATTCTTTTCCAGAATTCAATCGTTTGTCAAAAGCAGTTATGGTTCATTAAATACGACTTGGGAGGTGATGAAAAATGAAAAATACGGTAAATATTGATTTTAATTTAATCTAGATCAACTAGAGCAACTTTCTATTGTAAAAAAAAGCCAAATTTTAGGTTGGTTTGATCTGGAGACGATTTTACCCCAAAATTGGAAAACATTTGATGAAGAGGCGACTCTTTTAGCGGCAGAAGTCCTCCTTTCACTCACCATTCCACCAGCAATGTCAGGAAATTCAAGAAGAAATTCAAGAAATTTAGGATTTCTTTACAGTTTTCATTTCTAGAAATGATTGGCCAGGCCTTTTGCCTGGGACAACGTATGCTGTGGTTTTGGTGGCGACGAACAGTGCGGGCACAGCTACGAGTCTTTTCGAGTTTCAAACAAACTCTCCACCAATCCCCGGGAATTTAGATGTATCTTTAAAGAGCTTAAAAAGCTAAAAAGCTAATCTCTTTAATCTTTAAACTAAACCATTTAATTGAATATATTTAGATGAATCCAGTGAGCTCAATCACGGCGTTGAGCGATTTGGTGACTCTTTCGATGGGTGATGGATGGATTGACCCAGACACGCCGATGATGTTCCGTTTTGGGATCAGGGTTTTGAAGTGAATTGCTGTAGAACAAATTATTCTCATTATTTGAAATTCTTTCAAGAATATATGCAATATGTCGTAGCCGATTATGAATGAAATTTTCTTTTTTTGGCAAATTTTTCTAGTAGAGCAAGAGATGTATGAGGACAATATTATATCATCTTGTAGCGAATCAAATTCTGCGTCGATTGCTACCAAATTTGTGAGTTTAGGTTAAAAATTGCCGGCGCTACAACGTTTCATTCAAAATCGGCGGGATCCCCGTAGACGATTATGAATGAGTGGGTTTAGGAGCGTCCAATCATCAAGTATTTAGTATCATTCAACGCAGAATCATTGATAATTATGTTAAATCTTTTAAATTAGCAAGATTTGATGAAAAGAAAAAAAATAGAGCAAAAAAAACTGTTTGTTCAAGAGAAAACTTTGAAGCCCCATAAATTTTTTTCTTTTTATCCAACCTTTCTAATTTAAAAAATTTAGCATAATTATTAATGATTCTGCGTTGAATGATACTAAATAATTGATGGTTGGACGCTCCTAGACCCACTCATTCATCGGTTACTGTCAGAAGCGAATACTTGATGGTTGGACGCTCATAGACCCACTCATTCATCGGTTACTGTCAGAAGCGAATACTTGATGGTTGGATGCTTCTAGACCCACTCATTCATAATCGGCTGAAATTCATAATCGGCTACGACATATAGATTTGATCTTATGGAAAAAGACACCTAAACTCGATACTTTAGTTTTGACAACACAACGACGGTCAATTGGAATCGACAATCGATGAATTCAGCCTATACAGTTTACCTAGCAACAGGTAGAAACTTAAGCTTAAACTAAACTACTTAAAGATCTGATATATTGTTTTAGCCGGCTTTCCTCCAAACATGGGTTGTCAGAAGCGAATCGGTTACACAGCAATGATCGAAGTCTGTGATTGCTTCTCTGCCTGTACAATGTAAATTTTGAAATCAAAAATCAAAAACCAAAAAATCTCTATTCGAAATTTGTTCAGAGTTGAGTCATCAAATTTCTCTGTAAAACCCTCAACGAATTTGAGCTTGGCTTCGAGCAATGTATTGAACGCGATTTTATCGGATATGGATAATGGTACGAATGGCTTTCAATTTTCAAAAGATTTAAGAAATTTAAGGATTAACGAACATACATAATACTTTATAATTTTGAAGTAATTAACAAACACACATAATACTCTATAGTTCTTCTTTCAGAGATGACATTCTCGGCGCTTGAAAAGTTGGAGGCTTTAACGGAAGAGGAATGCAATGTCTCTCTCAATCCTGAAATTAGCAATAAAGTGGCTATGGAGTTGTTGAAAAGTCTTGATGATACAAGGTTGTAATGTTAAAATTCTAAAATGACATTTAGAATTCAGTTCAAATGATGAGTACCGAGAAGTTCTGAGTGCGGTCACTCAAATGCTTGGCAGTGTTGATGAGTCGGTGTTGCAATTGGTGAATGATTAGATCTTAGAGCTACAAGTATCATTAGATTACTACGAAATAGAGAAATTTCTTTTCTAAAAGTTTATTGTAGGTAGATAGTTGTTTAAAACTTGAACTACTTCATGATAAAACTTGAACTACTTCTTCTATTACCGTATTTACTCTATTAGTGGGGTCCTCTCTAATAGTGGGGTCGCCTGGAGGGGGGTTGAAAAAATAGTGGGGTCCTCTCGAATTGGAAGAAGATATTGGTAACGAAAGTGATACATCAATTGTTGATCTCTTGGATTAGTTCTTTTACTGTTTGTTAATGTTTTGTTACGGTTAAAGCTAAATAAAATATGAAGCCAAACTTGTTTTGTCAAGAATTTCGAAGAAAAATTGATATCTTTTCAATTTAAAACTTTGTTTTTATGTTCTTTTAAATTTCTCTAATAGTGGGGTCCTCTCTAATAGTGGGGTCGTCTGGAAGGGGATTGAAAAAATAGTGGGGGACCCCACTAATAGAGTAAATACGGTATCTGTGAATTGTTCTTGAATTTCAAAAGAGTAAGTTTCTATTAAGTTAATGCAATTTTTTCAATTTCAATTTCAAAGAAAATCGCTGGACGGATTCTTTTCAAATTTTACAGAATTATGTAATCAAATAAGCTCTATCTTTTTGATTTTTGCATAAAAATAGGTTTATATTGAAGAAAGTGTCCAAATTGGAACAGTTTTGACTGCTCACCTTTGCCCCTTTGAAAATTTTTGAATGACTTAATCTAGTTGATAAAAAAGCTCGGGTTACGTTATTTTTCTCTGAAGGCATCTTTTAGAAAGCACAAATCAAGTAGGGTTGATCTCGGATCAAAGCTAGTATATTCATTAACATTAAGATTAGAAATCGTGGTAGTATTGTATATTGAACGGTAATTTTTTAGCAATAATATTCTTGATTTCAGATGTCAAGCACGATGATGCGATATCAAATCCGTTTGATGTCAGCTTCGGCGACAAAGCGAAAGAAACGGGACACTCTTTTGGGGAGTTTAACTGAAAAACCGGTCACAAATAATAATGATGAGGTAAGGCAAAGAAGAAGAAGATATCTTCATTCAAGAAGAAAATATCTTCAGGGAATTTTCGTCCTCTGTGATCGATTGTTGAAAAACGGAGCGACAACAATCCTTTTCTATTTTCAAGCGATTGAAAACGCGTTGAGTGATGATTGTAAACAATTGGATGACACATCTGAAAGGATTATTGCTGAGAAGGTTAAGTTTTTTTCATGAAAATTTCAAAGTTTCAAAGTTCCAGGGTGAAGGCTACACCTTTGTACAGGCTCAATCATTGTCCACCTCCGATCCAACACTCGTTAATCGAACTTATACACTTGCTGGGGCTACAAATAACAAAATTGTAAAGGCAATGAAAATCTAGATCTTATTATTTCTAGATTTCGTTTGATGAAATCTTTCGCTTAAATTTTGAAAGTTGGAATTGCGGAGATGGATCGACATTATGCGATTACACTTGTCTAGCTTCTGCCTCAATCTCATCAACACTTTTTGGGTAGAAAGCTAGAAAGCTAGAAAGCTAGCTAGCTAGAAAGCTAGGAAGCTAGCTAGCTAGAAAGCTAGAAAGCTAGCTAGCTAGGAAGCTAGAAAGCTAGCTAGCTAGGAAGCTAGGAAGCTAGCTAGCTAGAAAGCTAGCTAGCTAGGAAGCTAGGAAGCTAGCTAGCTAGAAAGCTAGCTAGCTAGGAAGCTAGGAAGCTAGCTAGCTAGAAAGCTAGCTAGCTAGGAAGCTAGCTAGCTAGAAAGCTAGAAAGCTAGCTAGCTAGAAAGCTAGCTAGAAAGCTAGCTAGATAGAAAGCTAGCTAGATAGAAAGCTAGCTAGAAAGCTTTAAAATCGTTATCTTATCTTTAAAATCTGAAATCTTTATCAATAAAATCTAGAATAAACGTCAACTTTTCGGCCTATTTCTTCAACAATCAATACTCAGCACTTACCGCCAACAAATCGGCATCGAATCTTTATCGGGTATGGAAAAAAATTCAATTTTACAACTTAACAAAACTCAGATCTCGATCAAAGATCCATTATCGGGAAATGATGTTTTATTTGCTGGAATGTATCGAATTTTAGTTCCACTTACAGCTTATAAATCAGCAAACTACTACAATGTGAGTACATTTGTAAAACTAAACCGTAAATACTCTAATAGAACAGTCTCTAATATGTTTATAGAGACTCGACTCCAATATGAACCCTCTAATAGTTTGCCCAGAACTTTACTGATACTCCATTCTATCGTCTACTTCTTTCTAGAAAATTTCTCAGCTTCTAGTTTTCTTCTAACCACACTTTTGGTATCAAAAAATACTAGATTTCAAGGGTTATCTTTTGGCAATAAAGCGCACACTGTAGCATAAAGCAGTGCGGAGAACGGAGCGTGCAAAGTTAGACTACGCGGCAATACCCCGTCATTATGGGGAGCGGGTGGCGGCGATATCAGCCCGGAGAACGGGACATTCAAAGTTAGAGTTAGAGTTAGACTACGCAACTATACACCCATTATTCTGTCGTTCTATTAGAGTTTTTACGGTATTATTGATAGAATAAAGTAAAGTTCTTTAGTAAACTAGAAAGAAAACTTATTCTTAAAGTTATAAAGATTCAAAATTTAGTGCTTCATCTTCTCATTAACATCAAACATTTGGGATTCGCGTGGTTGCATTTCAGCTTTGTTTCCCACAACAATCAATGGCTCTAATTTTCTATCCTGTAACTGCACTCAAACGGGAATCATTGGGTATTAAATCTTAGCTTTTAGTAAGCCTTTACTGATTCAAATTGATCAGCGGGGTAGCTGAAAGTTTTAACTTTCAGCTATTCTAGACTGAATATCCGATTCTAGCTTGAATGCCGTAATTCAAATAGTCTAGACTGAATACTCTATCTAGACTGAATACCCTAATCTAGACTTGAATTTGAATTTCTAGGGTATTCACCGTTAGTGCACCGACTCCACCAACCATCTCAATCCACAATCAAATCGAAATCGATTTTTCTTTAGTAAATAATCATAACTTTATAGAAAGAAAACAAGTTTAGACGCCAAATTCAACAATCATCGTTCAACAAGCGCAGCTTTTAAATCGTTTGGCCACAGCTTCGGGATTAGATCGATCGAGACTCGTTCAATCAAATAGCAACGCCGGATTTTTCTCTTTCATTTTACTACCACCAATCAACACCGATCAGTTATCAAATTCTTATGTATTTGAAGTTTTAGATTCAAAAAATTAACTTATTTTAAGGCTGTGCAAGCAATTTCGAGAGCGGTTGATCCGCGATCTGGCGTGAAACTGTTCGATACGGGAGTGAAGCTGGTGGATACGAGTTGGGCGCCGGTCATTAGAAGTCAGTTGTACTTGCAAGGACTTAAAAGAAACTGTTGGTTTAATCTTTAGAAAACAAAGTATGCTGTAACTTTGGAAGAGTTTAAACATCGGGAAATAAAATAGGTGTACTGTAGCTTGAGTAAGGTTACTTTCGAGCAACAAAGCCTGTGACGTTGGTTTAATTTTTAGGAAATAAAGTATACGGTAACTAGTCCTAGTGAGTTGAGAGAAAAGGCTGAATTGGACACTTTTTAGTACAGAAAAGGCTGAATTAAACACTTTTTAGTACAGAAAAGGCTGAATTAAACACTTTTTAATATAGAAAAGACAGAATTGAACACTTTTTAGTACAGAAAACCAAGAATTCAACACTTTTTAGTAAACCGAACTGAATTCAAAAAAGAATCTCTCAACTTTTTCAACTTTTTCAGATCTATCGTATGATTCGTATGCAAGAAAGGTGATCGCAAAGATTGAACGATCTTATGCTCAAGTCATCGGCAATAACACAAATCTCGCCGCACTTTGGGCCACCACAATCGCTCAAGCCATGCAAATCTCACAATATCGAATCAAGAACCCGCAAATCTATCCAGGTTTTCTTAAATCTTTAAACTTTAAGAGAAAATCACTAGGAATTGTGTTCAACTTCACGATCACTGTCCCATTCGATCAAGAGATTGACCCGTTGTCAGCTGAAGAGATCTCGGTGATGTTGATTGAGGCTACGAGGTTTATTTTAACAAGGAAAATGCTTTATTTTATACCTTGCTAATGCTAAAATACTTGCTTAACTATAAAACTTTATTCGAAATCGAGCAATATTTAATTTGAGTTACGGAGAGCTGACTTTACCCTCATCAACGGGTGACTTTCTTCCAGTCGATGCACTCACCGAAGCTGACATTGTCATTCTCATGGTTCTTGAATGTAAATTTCTAAATTTTCATATGTAAACCAGTTTATTTCAGCTTCAAACGCTCTAGCTATCGGCATCGTTTCGGGAGTCTCGCTGACTGTTGGACTTGCCACCATCTACATTCTCGGTGCTGTTTATGTGAAGCTGCGAACGGACAAATTGATTCAAGTAGATTCTTTACAAGTTATTTAAAAACTCAATAAGTTTCAGCTTGAAAGAGAACGAATACTAATGTCGAATCCAGTGCCACCTCCTCCACAATATCCGATTGCGGTCACCGAGCCATTGCATGTGCAAGGAAATGGAACACGTGAGTTTTACCTTACCACAAATAGATCTTATATAGACTTTATCTTGAGTCCAAGCTCAGTAAATGTACTGGGAAAGATGGGCTTTGCAAGTGTAATTTTTAATAAGATTTCCCCGATCGAGTTTCCTTAGATAATCCGATAATCCGATACGGTTCCAATACGGTTCCGATACGGTTCCAATACGGTTCCAGTACGGCTCCAATACGGTTCCAATACGGTTCCGATGTTTTAAGGTGGATATGGCTTAATGATGTGAAAAAAATAGACGCTTATGAGTTTCATTGTTTTAATAATTTTAGAGAGACGCCGAACGCGAAGTGTCATCACCAACCTCATTAACAGATAAAGATTTACATAAAACAAACATAAAAAAGAAATATTTATTGATAAACTGGCAAGGAATTGATGTATTTGAGACCATGAAAGAAAAAGCACCAAGATCAATGGAGAGAAGTGACAAGAAAGAGTTAAAGATCGGAAAAACGGGAAAGCATCAACACTTAGAACACTTAGAACATTTAAAACAAAGTAAAATCTATAAAATTTGTCTAGATAAGTGAAAGATTTCGAATCGAGAATGATAAGTGAGACCTGATAACCCTAGTTTGGAAGGATTGCAACTTGGATATAACATTAGTTTATTGCTCACGAGGTTCACTGCTTGAATCTCGATAATGATAAGAGATACTCTTTGGTCGATCGAGATGAAAAGTGACTACTTCTTGACCTTCAATCTTTGTAGGAGTCCATGGAGGTTCCGACATCGACATTCGGACCACCTGAATGAGGTTTTTTGAACTTTTAAACTAAAAGAACTATTTGAAAAGTTACCTTGCTGATACCGTATTTTCTCTAATACTAGTGCACCCAAGCGAGCCGAGTTGATGACTATTTACGGTTTCCAAAGTTTTCCCAGAAGCTCAACACTCAAATCCCCACAAGATCTCATCGTCAGCTACATTTTCCGATCCCACATCGATAGATTCTCATAAGCGGTTCTCGAGATTTCGAGGAATTTAGGTGACGCTCAGGGTGCACTACTATTAGAGAAAATACGGTAATTGTAAAGATCAGTGATAGATCTTGAGAGATCAAGAGAATTTAGTAATAGATTTTACCAAGATTTGATCAGTGATCAATTCTTGGTAATGATATCCGTGATAGAGGTAAAGATCAGTAATAGAATATCAAGAATAAGAATGTTTAAACTAAGCCTAAGGATCTATAAGTCAAGATACATCAAGGCAGATTAAACCCAAGCCTAACGCCAGGTTCAGCGGACCAAAAGACTTTTTGTAAGCCATCTAACGAGGCCAGATTACCTAATTGTTAGTTAAAGTGAAATGAAGATATAGAGATAATTATTTAATTGTAAAAGAGACTTATTTAGATAAGTCTGCTAATGCTTTCACTAACTTCAGTGCTGCTTTGTCTCAATGTGCTCAACTCGTGATCAGCTGACGATGATCGTCCAGCCCGACTCCTTCTCGTGCTGAAACAAGAATTTATTAAGAAAAGATAGCACTTAAAAGCCATAATATTCAAGATTAGTTGGAAAGATTTGTTTAGTTAAAAGGACAGTCCCTGTTTTCTAATCGTTTCTTCAACTTCAGCTACCCGGATAAATATTTATTTCCAGAATCACAAGAAAATTTACAAAGTGGAGTATCAATTGAGACTTTGATTTTTTTGTGAGAGTAATAATTCTCGAGTATTCGTGGCCAACCTGCTGCCCTCACTGTAGTGACCTTCACGATAAGTGTAAAGAGGACGATTCTGGCCAACAGGGATATTCACCAAGAATTTCTTGATTGTCAAACGATATGGAGCATAGATGAGAGCGGTGATCAGTGGGTTCACGATCTGCAAAAGTCTGGGCTTGTCTAGGAGGATTTTGGGACTTTCTAGCGCACTCTTTTTCTCTTTTTTTGTCTTTCTACAAGTCTTGCAAGTGAAGATGCTTTAAATCAAACTTGGCATAACTTAACTTAACTTAACTTTTAATCATTCAACTGTTAGGCTACTTAACCTAGCTCTAATCTAACCTAGCTAAACAAAAGCTTTCATTAGCTTAGCTTTCTTTGATTACTAACCGGATTCAATGTCAGCAGATACAACAAAATCCAAGCAATCCAAGTCACCAATCGTTTATCATCACAAGATAGATCGCTCCATCTGAAAATTGAAAAGATTAAGAGTTGATGTGATGTGATAAATTCGATCTAAACGAATGCTAATAATTTTCTATAATTTTGTATTTTGTTTTATTAAAATTTACGAGAAAAGATGTAATCTCGCTAGATTCAGCATTCGATACGGCAAAAGGGAAAACGATGTCCATGCGGTTGTTGCAAAGATGAACACCAATGATTTCACCTATAAAAAAAAGTATTTCATTTTATTCTTTATTTTACCTTTTTCCGAAAAGCATGTGTTTCATTTGGGTTTCCGGTTTGGACAACAGTTGCAGCTCGTTTTTGGCGAGTCAGTTTAAAGAGATAAATCGAGACGACAAGAGAGGAAACGACTGGCATTACGCAGAATAACATCAGAAATGTCTCATAATAGAAATTTTTCTCACGATTCATCTAAAAATCGCAGTTCTTTTATACAGAATTGTTTTTATAGAGTTTCTATACAGAATTTCTTGAAAACTTTCTGTAAACGTACCCTTTCTGGCTTACTTGAATAGCTCAAACGTTAGAGGAAAAAGAGTTCATATGGCAGAAATGTTATGTTTACAAATTTTTGCAGAAAGGATATGTTTAAAAGTTGATATGTCAGAAAGGATATGTTTACAAGTTTTAGCATTACTGTTTTATTGGGTTGGTGAATTGAAAACTGCCGGCTATTGTCATATGGGACAGTTTGAGCACTTTCTTCAAAAGAAACCCATTTTGGTGTCAATGGAAAAGTTGTAGAGAATCAAAAATCAAGCTTATATCCAGATTTTCAGAACGATTTAAAAACTGGTTTTCAAGAAATACGAAATTTACGAAACTTTCAAAAAACTTGCATTTTAAGCGAAACTACCGAGTGTATCTTTTTGGAAATTTAGCTATAAGCCTAATTTTTGATTCTCTATAACTTTTCTATTGACCCCAAAATGGGTTTCTTTTGAAGAAAGTGCTCAAACTGGGACATTGGGACATCTCCAGTCCTCCATTTTTGAGTCTCACACTTGTCTCACACACTTATACTGGGAGTTATATAGACGGATAGCAAGACGACCGTTAATGCAATCAAATACAGTGAACAGTTGAAAAAGGTGAATGAATCCCTGAAAAAGAATAGGCCCTCCAAGCCAAAGATCGTTCTCATCCACGACAACGCGCGCTCTTATATTGCAAAACTGACTCGCTCTAAAATAAATAGCAGCCTTGTTTGGGGAACTTTTGTCGCATTCCCCATGCGGTCCGGACCTCTCCCCTTTTGATTACTATTTATTCTGGATCATGAGTAATGAGCTTGCGGGAGAACACTTCGATTCGGAAGAAGCAGTCAAAAATTGGCTTTGAAAGTTTCTCGATTCAAAACCAAAATCCTACTACGAAAGAGGAATCCGCAAATTGCCTGTAAAATGGGCAGAAGTCGTCATAATAATGGAAATTATCTGGAATGAATTCATGGTTTGATGTTGAATAAATTTTAGTTCAAAGTCCAGCAGTTTTCAATTCACCAACCCAATACTTAGATTATTTCAATTCGAATACCTGTAAACTACAATCCTGATCCTGAATAAACACGACTTTTGCTATCCAACAATATGAAATGAATCTAGAAATTTGATGAGCATTGATTTCAAAATTCGTTACCCCAAAGTGATCAACCAAATTGCTAAGCAAAAAGTGGCGGCTCGTTGTTTGGACATTGTTCGATCGTAAGATAATGGCCATCGAAAGTATATTAACTGAAAAATTTGCATCAAAATCTGCTTTGTAATCTTTGATTTTACAGTATTCAATTCATACGGATCAGTTCATTTTTGAATTAAAAGCTTCACTCTTTGGGTTTTTGAATGAGTAGATTGATAGATTCAATAAAATGAATATCTTTGACTCGACCCTGAAAACCCCCGAGTACAGCTATTACAGCTAAATATCTTCGATCTACAAAGCAAAAGAAGATTTCTGAAAATGACTGGCTTGTGCAGCCGTTAATCGCTCGCCATTTGGCAAACCGCTGTGGTATAAGGTGCTTCAAAAGGAGGAACGAGCGGTGAGCGACTCAACCAGCTTTGCCACTCGACCAGCTTTGCCACTCGACCAGCTTTGCCACTCGACCAGCTTTGCCACTCGACCAGCTTTGCCACTCAACTAGCTTTGCCACTCAACTAGCTTTGAGTATCATTATGCCCAAATTCCTTAGAGAAATTCTAGCCATACATTCCCCCATTTTTCTACAAATTTCGGAGAACGTTTCCCAAGTACAGTAGGCTCCGAAAATAAAGTTGAATTTTGGCTTCCAATCGAACCTTGTCAATGTTGAGCATTGTTAGCGAGAGACCAGACACGGCCAATCCCACCCAATTGAAGTAATGAACGACACCGCAAAGGGTGACCTCATGAAGAAATTGATGTTTACGAATGAGAAGTTCGTTTGGATGACAAAAGACTGAAATGAAGGAATTGGTGGGGATTTTTTGAGACAAAATCTTGTAGATCTTGCAGAAATCATGTAGAAATCATGTAGAATCTTCTGTTAAACAACTCACTTGTCAGAATGAGATCACCAGCTGTCATATTGACGATAAATAGATGCATGGTGTCGCCGCTGCGTTTGAATAATTTAAATGCACAAAAAATGACCATCACGTTGAATACGGTGGCGGCCATTGATGAGGCCAGGATTAGGTCATCGGCCTGAATTAGACTCATGGTGAGCAATGAATTCTTGAAATTTCTGAGTCAGTAAATAAAGGCCAAGTTATGAATTCTTAACTTTAACAAATTCATTTGCAATTGCTGTTTTGGTATTGGTTTCATTAAAATTTAGCGTTTTGGTATCACTTTGACTGTATTCTTTTTTGCTAAAAAGATAAAGAAATTGGCAAGAAAGCTTTGCAAGCTGGGGAATTGAGCCCCGAGCTTCCGCTTACCAGACAGATCCTCTACCACTGAGCTAACGACGCCTCGTTTGTCCAAGAAGAAATTGGAAACACAAGGAAGGGGAAAGGAACAAGTAATCCGGTAATATCTGACTAACTTTTTCCATAGAGAACATAAAATTTGCATTTAAAACTAGCCAGAGAAAGGAAAGATTCACAAATAATCGAATACTTTATATACTACCGTATTTTCTCTAATATTAGTGCACCCTGCCGAGCCGAGTTGAGAACTATTTTACGGTTTCCAAGCTTTCGCAGAAGCTTAACACTCAAAACCCCACTAGATCTCATCGTCAGCTACATTTTCCGACCCCACATCGATAGGTTTTGATAAGCGGTTCTCGAGATTTCGAGGAATTTAGGCGACGCTCAGGGTGCTCTACTATTAGAGAGAATACGGTATATGATTTCTATTTAACTTTCTCTAATAGTAGTGCACTTTGGCGAGCCGAGTTGATGACTATTTACGGCTTCCAAAGCTTTCGCAGAAGCTTAACAATCAAATCCCCCACTAGATCTCATCATCAGCTACATTTTCCGACCCCACATCAATAGATTCTGATAAGCGGTTCTCAAGATTTCGAGGAATTTAGGCGACGCTCAGGGTGCTCTACTATTAGAGAGAATACGGTAACTATTAACTATATTAACTTTTTTTAAAAAATAGCTTAAGTAAGAAGCATCGAATAGCTAAATACTCTAACTTTTTGTACACCCACCGTGCTATGAAAAAGATTGAATGATGGCAATAGATAGCACGTATTATTTTCCGCTTCCCCTTTTGTCCCATTTAGTAGACTGATCTCCGGACTGCGATCACTCCATTCAACATTTGAATCATTCGAAATTAATGTCAATTGCTCTGCCATTTTTGAGATTCTGTTTAGGTCACCGACTTTGTGAAAAGCTCATCGAAATATCTAGAAATAAAAAGAATTAAAATATCGAGTAAAAATTATTTGAAAAAGTGAAGAGGTGAAGATTGATTGAAGGGAAAAGAAGCGCAACTCGGGGAATGTTTTTCAAATAAAAAGTCAACAGAACGCATCACATTTCGCAAATAATGAAGCGACATCGTGGCGACAAGCTTTTTCTCTTTTGACATTCACAAAATCAAATGAAATAGTAACTTGTTAGTTTACTAATTTCTAAATAAAAAAAAACAGACAAAGAACAAAGAAAAACAAAAGAATAAACTCACCAACTATAGTTAAATCTTTACAAAACTCTTTTAAACTCAAATTTTTGACTTTAGATTTTGGTTAGCTTGTTTAAAACAAAGTGACAGACAGACAGATAGATAGATAGACAGACAGACAGACAGACAGACAGATAGACAGACAGATAGATAGACAGATGGACAGACAGACAGACAGACAGACAATGTATTTGGCTTGGTTTGATAAAAAAGCTGAATTTCCAGGCCAATGTTTTAACCCAAATCCCAAATTCAACGGAAAGATTGTAATTCTAAGCCAAATCCAACTGAAAACTATTGACTAGCCTTGGCTTTTAGCTTTTTTTTTGCTAACCTCTGATTTGTTTCATGAATTTGGCAATGACTTTTGGGAACAACTAGGCAAACACTCAAGTCAGAAATTGTAGTATATTTTGCCAAGAAGAAAAGGCTATAAAGACTATGGACTAGACTATTGTTTATGATTGAGTTGGCTTGTTGGAAAGAATCAATATGTCCAAACAAATAGTTTATCAACAAAAGTGCCTCGTTTTCACCCACGCAGACATCATGTTCTAGTCGTTTGTGATAGGATTTGGTGCAATGGATGACGAGTTCGGGCCCCACGCTTTGTGCAAACAAAGTCTTCAAAGCGATTATCATTTAAGCAAATGAGAAAAACGAAGTACAGAGCAAAATGCGCTTTTTTTGACGTTTAGAAAAATGAGGAAGTGGAAGTGATGTAGTAGTTAACAAATCAAATTTGAACTGAAAAGTGAACTTGAAATGCTTAGGGAAAAAGTACACGAACTGATTTGGCTAACTTCTCGCAAGACTCACTCTAACTCGTCATTGTTAAATTTTACTTAAAACTTCTAAGATCTAGACCTATCCTCTTAATTGCAACTTCACAAAAATCTATATAAAAAGTCATAGAAAAGGGTTGAGCTTAGTGTCAAGTCAAAAAAAAAAGTGTCCCTGCAAATCACGAGCTCGTGTCCATTTTTATTTCAGTGATTAGACTGTTTGGAGCCAAAGAGAAAGCCATAAATAGAGCCGGAAATGGGCGAGTTTTTGAGTGTAAAATGGGTAATTTTCATTATGGAAATAGTGATAATCAGAGGATGCAAAGAGGCAGAAATGGGAAAGAAAAACAAGAATGGAGTTCAGAATCAAACATTGAAATGTTCAAAAATGAGAATCTTGTGAAGTTTGATGGTTAGGAATGCTGAAAAGGGGAATTCTTTTTGTATCGGAAGTATAAGGGTAGATAGGGAAGAGGTCAAGAAGAGAGAATATCGAACAATGGAGATCTGTACTTAAACAAGCGATGAATCACTGAATATTGAAGAGAGTCTCCTAAATGAAATGAGATTGAATGTGTAAAAAGCAAACCAAAATTTTCGAGTTCTCAATATGAACCCGAAAAAACAATGATCGAGGATAAGCGCTTTAAAAAGAGGAAAGTTATGAGTAAAAAAAAATGATGAGTCACAAATAAAAGTTGGTTTATTTGTAGGAAAATTTGCAAAATTTATTGGGTTGAAAAAAAACTGCCGGCTTTGCTTTATGTATGAATGAAGATGCTGTAAATTTGTACTCTAGGGTTTTCGGGACCGGGGAATCGATTGGAGCTATTCATTTTATTGTGTCTACAAAGTGGAAATCGAGTTTAATTGTTAATATATTGAGTTGGTGAATTGAAAACTGCCGGCTATTGTCATATGGGACAGTTTGAGCACTTTCTTCAAAAGAAACCCATTTTGGTGTCAATGGAAAAGTTGTAGAGAATCAAAAATCAAGCTTATATCCAAATTTTCAGAACGATTCAAAAACTCGTTTTCAAGAAATGCAAAATTTAGGAAACTTTCACAAAACTTGCATTTTAAGCGAAACTACTAAGTGTATCTTTTTGGAAATTTGGCTATAAGCCTAATTTTTGATTCTCTACAACTTTTCTATTGACACCAAAATGGGTTTCTTTTGAAGAAAGTGCTCAAACTGGGACATTGGAACATCTCCAGTCCTCCATTTTTGAGTTTCACACTTGTCTCACACACAAACCAAAATCCTACCACGAAAGAGGAATCCACAAATTGCCTGTATCGATTCCCCGGTCCCGAAAACCCTAGAGTACAAATTTACAGCATCTTCATTCATATATAAAGCAAAGCCGGCAGTTTTCAATTCACCAACCCAATAGATATAGTACTGGACAATGAAATATGATATTTGAAAAAAGATCGTCACTTTCGCGCGTCTGTAACTTCCTTGTCTTTGAGTTTAAACTATTAGTGTTATACATTTTCTAAAAGCTCTTTTCAAGGGCTACACAATGGTAATATTAATATTTAGAAATATGGTAAAGACAAGGGAGTTATAGACGCGCGAAAGTGACGGTCTTTTTTCAAATATCATATTTCATTGTCCAGTAGTGTACGTTGTGAATTTAGACAAAGAAATTTCTTGAGAAAACGATTGTATTTGGAGGAAAATGGGAAATGATTGTTGAGGAGATTGGTTGAAATCATCAAACGACAGGCAATCAGAAAGACAAATAAGAGAAAAAAGAGGAAAAGGAGCAATCGAAATGTGATCCGAATTGAGGGGGGAAAGGAGTGAAATTGGCCCTTTTTCTAGTGACCAATGAGAGCGGAATTTGGAACGATAAATCGTAACATTTGAAAAGATAAAAAGTGAAATGAGGAATGGGATGTTTAAGTTGACTGAAACTGAAACGCAAATCGTTCTATCCTCTAGTTAGAACAATCAGATGCTGAATTGAAACGCATAGAAATTACACGTAGCAATTGTTAACGCAAATTCATGAAGTGAATATCTCGATTCAGCTTTTCCAACTGTACTTTAAATCTCAAAAAAAAATCACAACTACAAAAACTTGAAGATTTTATGAAAAAAATGGGGTGAAAGTATGAAGAAATGTCTTGAATTCAAGGCAACAATGTGAGATAAAGGGATAAACGAGATATGAGATAATGGGATAAACTTTAGACCAGACGAATGAACGCTGAATTTCACGCTGACTCCAAATCTGCTTTCCGTTTTTGCAAAACGGCTTTCTATAAAAAGTTATAGTTAAGTTTTAAGTTGAAAATGCGAAAATTTGAAGCCGAACAGAGCCCTTTACAACGGTTCTCCCACCAACCACAATTATGGCTGGATGGCCTAGTGGATAAAGCGCTTGCATACAAAACGATCGCCGAGTCTTTTGCTCGAGTTCGATTCCTTTTCTTGCTTTTGTTTCACGTTTTGATATTTTAGCACCAAAATTTATCTGGCCTTAAAATTGTGGATATCAGGATGGGAAAATTATCGATTTACTTCAAGGGGATCAATCTTGTTTGCATGAACTTAAAAACATGAATCTCAAAGAAGATTTATTCAAAAAAATCAACACCCAATAAGATTTATCATTTAAGAATTGTCCAAAATTCTGCAATGATAAATTTGTAGCATTCAAGGACGGACGCTACAAATTCTGGTAAATTCTTCAATGATAAATCTTATTAGATCTTCTAAAAATATAAATCTCAAGAAGATTTATTCAAAAAATCAACACCCAATAAGATTTATCATTGAAGAATTGACCAGAATTTGTAGCGTTCATCCTTGAATGCTACAAATTTATCATTGAAGAGTTTTGGTCAATTCTTCAATGATAAATTTAGAAAAATTAGAACTACTCAATCGAATCGTTTAGGAATTTTAAAAATCAAGCTCTGGTCAATTCTTAAATGATAAATCTTATTGGGTGTTGATTTTTTGAATAAATCTTCTTGAGATTTATGTTTTTAAGTTCATGCAAACAAGATTGATCCTCTTGAAGTAAATCGATAATTTTCCCATCCTGATATCGACAATTTTAAGGCCAGATAAATTTTGGTGTTAACATATCAAAATGTGAAACAAAAGCAAGAGAAATCGGAATCGAACTCGAGCAAAAGACTCGGTGATCGTTTTGTATGCAAGCGCTTCAACCACTAGGCCATCAATTGCAAAAGTTTCTTTGTGAAATTCAAATGATTTGTGTATCATTTTCATTGTGAGTATTCAAGTTTTCATTTTCACAAAAAAAGAGCTGAGATAAGACGCAACAAATATGGATTTCATTTAGAATGAATTAGAACTACTCAATCGAATTGTTTAGGAATTTAAAAAATCAAGCTCCACCCTGCTGTAGGAAGACAAAAATCATCGCAAATTTTGCAGGAAAAAAAATCGCTTTAGCTAAAGGCAAGCTGCGAATGTTTCTCCCCCCATTTTTTGGTTTCACCGAAATTGCAGAAAAGAAAGAGGGAACACAGCCGGGAGAATTTCCGGTAAAAACGGCAAAGCGATACACGATACACAAAAAAGAAGCGATTTCCGGAGCCTTAATGTGATTTTTGACAGCTCAACCATTTTGCTAGCCAAGAGACAATTCCGGTCAGTCAACAATCGAGAGTGCACAATGAGAGAGCAATTCAGACATTCCCACGAGAAATTCTTCGACAATTTCGAAATATTTGAAAAGGTTTATCAAAGTGGGTATTGAATTGGTTAGTCTGTCCATTCAATTGTAGCTTCAATAGCTATTCAATTCATATTATAGCTTCAATGTCTTTATTTTTATACTAGAACTAAAGAATCGAGAGTAATTGATTAGCTAAAGATTCGACATCTATTCTAGACACTATTCATTGTCCAAGTAAGGACAGTTGTTTGGGAATAAATATCTAATAACCTTTGATAAATAAAAAGAAAAAGAATTAATCTAAACTCAGCCGATTTTGCTGTAAACTAGTAGTTTGATTACGGTAGTTTTCTAAACTATTCTTTCAAGTATAGTGAATCTAGTGATCATTAGAATCTAATGTTCATTAGAATCTAGTGATCATTAGGAATCTAATGATCATTAGGAATCTAATGATCATTAGGAATCTAATGATCATTAGATTCTAGTGATCACTAGATTCTAATGATCATTAGAATCTAGTGATCATTAGGAATCTAATGGTCATTAGAATCTAATGATCATTAGAATCTAGTGATCATTAGAAATCTAGTGATCATTAGAAATCTAGTGATCATTAGGAATCTAATGATCATTAGGAATCTAATGGTCATTAGAAACTAATGATCATTAGAATCTAACAATTTAAACCTTCTACAAGCCTGTCTTCTATTATACAAAAGATATTCACCTCTAAATTTCTCTCCAATTATTGGTTTGTTTTGCAACTACAACTTTTACTATTCTATAGGATGATATTTACTATCATCCTATAGAATAGTAAAAGTTGTAGTTAGATTTAGATAATCTAGTGATCTTTAGGAGCGTTTGTTGCTAAACTGCAAGTCAAGCTTCTACAATCAACAATTGAAATGTTCAAGAAAAGAAGAAAAGTTGTTGCAAAGCCTCGTGACAAGAAGATGATATGTAGAATTGAGAAAAAAGGGGAAAGGTGATGATTTGATGAAGGAAAAGAGAAGGGAGAGAGAAGGAAGAGAGAAGGAAAAGAGAAGGAAGAGAGAGGGAGAAGGAGTGCGCGCGTGCCACCACTTCCGGTGCATCTTGCTCATTCCCTTCTCGAAAAAAATAGAGACAGAGACAAATTGTAAACTAATGATTGTGAATTGTGGTTGGAGAGCAATCAGTGATTCGATTAGTGATCCGCTGGGTTCCCTAGATCCAATTTCCTTTCCACCGTAACCAAGAGATCACCGGAAACTTTAAAAGAACTATTTTTGAGTTTTTTTGTAGGGAACTTTAGTTGAAGATTGTCACTTCCTTGTTTTTTTATTTAAGATTTGTTCTTTACTGGCTACAATTATATTAAAAGAATCACTAATTCCTTTAATTCTTTATTTACTACAAGCCAATTGAAACTTCTCCAATTCGAAACGAATTTCATCTCCAAAAAAAAAGATATTGATCTCTAATTATCTCTAAATTTGTCTCTAATTATTCGTTTGTTCTCCGCTTTTTCGATTTTATTCTTATAAACCGTTTATCCGCAATTTAAAGTTTAAAAAAAAAGAAATACAAAGATGTTTTCTGTTCCTCCTCTTCACCAATCATCTCCTGCTTCTGCTTGTACTCATCCTTTGTGTATCCCTTGTCATCGATTCTCCTCTTGTCTGTCCTCTTGATGTATCTCTTGTCCTCGATCCATCTCTTGTCAATCCATTTCCTCTTGTCTCTTGTCCATCTCTTGTCTTTGATCTCGTTTCCCCTCTCGTGTACTGTCCATCTCTTGTCTTTAGACCATCTCTGGTTCGACTTCGGTCTCTAGTTTTGCCGTCTCGTGTCTCCCAACCTTCTCGAGTCTAAAAGGATTTAGAGAATACTATTTAGAGAATAGAAAGTCAAAAATCCAAATCTTTCTTATCTTCTAGCTTCTTCATCAGCTCTTTGTCAATATTGAGCAGTTTTTTCTCATGCAAAGCGAAATCTAGCCAACTTTGTCTGATCTGGCTAGACTGGCTACTCTGGCTAGTCTAAAGTCTAGACTTTAGACTGGCTAGAGTCTAAAGCTCTGTTGGAATCTATTTCTCACTGAAAATAAGCTAACAAGGCCAGTAAATCAACTACAAACAATTTCAATACACTTAATCCTTTCCATTTCATTTCCAGCAACTAAACTAAACTGAATCTTTTGCTATTAAAATAATCTCAGATCTAAGGCAATCATCAAAACTTTCCATAAATATTAAGCAGTTTTTTCTCGAAATCTAGCCAACCTTGCCTGATCTGGCTAGACTGAATAGAGTCTAGAAAATCTCTGGCACTGAGAATGAGTACTTAGCTTGGCTTGGCTAACAAGTTCAGTAAGCCAATTACAAACAATGTTAAGTCAGTACACTTAATCCTTTTCATTTCATTTCCAGCAACTAAACTAAAGAAACTAAATAAACTAAAATAAACTTTCCTTACTTTTGGGGCTTCTCTCATCAATCCATTCGATGTTTTCGGTGTTTTCGGTGGTCGTTCTCTCGATGTTCGTGGCGGGGAATATTTGTGGTTTGATTTTCTTCCACCAGGCCTACAGAGAATTTTTTAAAAAAATAATTTTATTCACTTCAAACAAATAATAAGAAAATATACAAAAAAGGATAAATATCAAATAAAATATTATTAAGGGGAAATGAATGGCTGTTCTTTTGTACTTGTGTGCTTACTGGTTCACTTTAAAATGGTTTAAGTGCACCAGGAGGGGTGTTTTTTTGAGCACAAAGTATTAAAAATGGCTGTGATTTGATGTGGTGAGAGAGTTATCGTTTTTGATGGACGATCGGTGTGCTAAAAGACGACAAGAGGGTAAAATCACTTCATAAGCTTAAGTTGAACTGTTTAAATGTTAAATTTGTTTATTCTTACGATAGATAAACTCAAATACATCTAAGAAATTGAACTTTATTGTCTTGAGTGGATTTTAGTCGACTAGATCTTACAAAATGCTTTATAACCATTACTCTATACGGCAATTCAGTGCTATAACACAACAATACAACATTATTTACTCTAGAGTTAGACTGATAGGTTTAAAAAGTCGATTTACTAAAGCAAGTCTTACTCTTAGTCTTACTCTTAGTCTTCTCTTTACTCTAGAGTTAAACTGATAGGTTTAATAAGTCGATTTACTAAAGCAAGTCTTACTCTTATTCTTACTCTTAGTCTTACTCTTTACTCTAGAGTTAAACTGATAGTTTTTAAAAGTCGAAATTTACTAAAGCAAATCTTGACTATACGATTTAACAGTTTAAAACTTGAAATGATCAGCTTATTCTTAAATTCTATCGTCATTTAAACAGTTCACTTTAAAAACAGAAATAAAAACTAAAAATAAACGAAACTCACGGTGCTTTCAAGCGAGATGGTTGTGCTGGTGTTCGCGGTGCTGAGTTGCTTCTTCTAAACAAAAAACAAAACTCAATGAAAGCAAAATAAATCTCAAAGCTTTAGCCCAAAAGCAATACCATAGATAAACAACACTCGCAGAGTCTGATGTTATTCAAAAATCAATGATTAGTTCATTATTATGAGAGTGAGTTGGTCTAAAATTAGATACCGATTCGGTGTCACTGGTGGAATCTCCCTTACACCGGCTGAGCCAGCAACCGGCCGATTGCTCGATGTCTTCGGTGGTCTTGAATCAATGCTTTTTCGTCTTGGTTCATCCCTGGAATTATTAGAAATATAGTTCATTTGTTTGTTTGTTTGTTTGTTTGTTGTTTTGTTGTTATTGTTCATTTCTAAATTTAAACATTAACAATGAAGAATGAATGAATGAATTTCCTTACCTAGTTCTCGAATCACTTCTTGTTCTCGTATCTCGTCGTCCGTCTCGTGTTTTAGCCTGTAATTCAATTCAATATTGAATATAACTGAAATCTCAATCTCAATTCTAAGTTGCTTATCTTTAACTGCAATTGTGCAAAAGCAAAATGAAAACCTGATCAGCAGTGGGTAAGGGACGATGTGCGGATAGGGGTTTGATCATTGTCTGCAAGAGAAAACTTGGGTAAATCAACCAAAAAGGAGCATTGGGTAAAGTAAAAGTAGTAAACAAACAAATCCAAAAAAACTAACTACCTTCGTCATTGGCTTTTTCGCGTGTTGCTCCCGGCAGAAAGGGACGTGTCTCTCGGCGGCTCTCTCATTAAAATTTCGACCACAGTACTCGCATTGGACATAATCTATATTTTGACACTTTAGTAATAAAGATAAAGATGATAAAGATTAAGATAAACACTGATAAAGATTCTTCCTTTATCTTTATTTTAATTTAAACCATGTTTCAGTATTATTTCAGTTTAAAAAAAGGATTTTAACGAAGGCACTCGTTGTCACAACGCCAGAGTTCAAACTTAGTCACTTGAATGCCTTGAAGTCAAGTCACTTGAATCTAATGCCTATTAGAATGAATATTTCGCGCAAACTGATTATTTTACTAACATTATTTCTTTTCTTGTAGCTTTAATACAAAATTTTTCGTAAATATTCTAATAGAAGAGCTCATATAGGAGTTTAACGAGTGAACAATAACTGAATGAGCAAAAAGAATGACAAGTCTTGAGTACATTAGGTAAATGACCAACATGAGCCAACAAACGAGAAAAACATCTGCACATTCAAGCATTTCAGAATGTCTAACGAGTGACCAATAACCACTTAACATCTCAGATCGACTCCAAAATTACAGGAGGGAAAGAACATCACAAAATAAGAATTCTCTGAAGTTTTTAGCTGCTAAATGCTAGAAATAACTGAAATAGCTTACACGACACTCTTTAAAGGGAACTCTCACACGCAGCTTGTAGCTTTAATACTAAACTTTTCGTAAATATTCTAATAAAAGAGCTCCTATAGGAGTCTAACGAGTGAACTATAACTACTTAACATCTCAGATCGACTCCAAAATTACAGGAAGGAAAGAACATCACAAAATAAGAATTCTCTGCATTTTTAGCTGCTAAATGCTAGAAATAACTGAAATATAAGGCCTCAAAGTTTTAGCTTAAAATTAGATTTTTGGGAATACACGACACTCTTTAAAGGGAACTCTCACCCGCATCTTAACAGCAGCTGAGTGACCGAGTGGTTAGGAGCCCGACCTGGTACCCCAAGGGTCCCTGGTTCGGCTCCATCCCGGTTATTGGCGCTTTTATAACCGCATCAACTGACACAACTTTTTGGCAGTGGGCATCTTTCAACGCTTTAGATGCTCGTCGGTGAATTTGGACTCAACTCTGATAGCTCTTTTCTCCGACTCGACAAGAAGTGAAGCTGAAGGATGTCTTCTCCACGAAGCCGAGTCAAAAAAAAGTGAACAATAGCGAACAGAGATTCTCCGGTTTTGCACTAGGGACCCTTGGGGTACCAGCTCGGGCTCCTAACCACTCGCCCACTCAGCTACCCTTAAGATGCGTGTGAGAGTTCCCTTTAAAGAGTGTCGTGTATTCCCAAAAATGTTTAATTTTAAGCTGAAACTTTGAAACCTTATATTTCAGTTATTTCTAGCATTTAGCAGCTAAAAACTTCAGAGAATTCTTCTTTTGTGATGTTCTTTCCCTCCTGTAATTTTGGAGTCGATCTGAGATGTTAAGTAGTTATAGTTCACTCGTAAGTAGTCTAAGTTTACACTCAAAGAACCGCTCGGTAGATTTGGTGACACTTACCCGATGGTACACTCGTTTTTGGAGGTGGAGGCAGTGGAGCACCAGTCTTCAACGCATAATCAACCTATAAACATTTGAAATTTAATATTAGTATACAGGAATAATGAAGTTCAAACATCATCAGTTTAAAGTTTAACTTTTTATTCAAACCTTTTTGCTTGCTGAAATCGCCTCAATGAAATCGGTGTGCCGTTGTCGCCACTGGGTTTTTGGGCGATTGAATTGACCACCGTTCTGTTATTTTGTAAATGAAAATTTCAAAAAGAAATCATCCGACTTGTTCCCTCTCTTTTTGTGCTCTTCTCACATCTCCAATGTTGATATCACTTCCCGTTGCTCGTTGCTTTCCCGAGTCGAAAATCTTGCGATTCATATTCGTCAGTTTTTTGCATACTGGTTCGTGTTTGTCCTGAAAATTGTTTAAGTTTTGCAATAATTCAAACTAATAAATAGACAGTATGCTTTACTGCAATATAAGCTTATTCAAGGATCATTAAAAAAGAGCTAAGCTAGGCTAGGCTAGACTAGGTCAGGCTAGACTAGGTCAGGCTAGACTAGGCTAGGCTAGACTAGGCTAGGCTAGACTAGGCTAGGCTAGGCTAGGCCAGGCTAGACTAGGCCAGGCTAGACTAGGCTAGGCTAGACTAGGCCAGGCTAGGCTAGACGAGGCCAGGCTAGACTAGGCCAGGCTAGGCTAGGCTAGGCTAGGCTAGGCTAGGCTAGACTAGGTCAGGCTGTGATAATAAAATTTTAAGGCTGGCTGCTTTGCGGCATTTTTTATGCAACTCACCATAACTTTCTTCTAAGTAAGTCAATCTTTATGATTTTGCTGTCATTTTGTAGATCTCAACAAGTGTAAAAAAATGATACAAAAATCATAAAGATTAGCCCATTTAGAAGGAGAGTTAAGGCAAAGAGTTTAGCGCAAAGTAGCCCAAAATTTGATCAAACTTGATCTGACTGGATTTTTAGCTACTAATTCGGAAAATTCATGATCTCTAGACTTACCAGACTCGATCGAACGAATTGCCTTCCGCAAACTTTACATGCATAAGTCGGCTCATCCGATTCGGGCATTGCTTAATAAAAAATCATAGAAATCATATCATTCGAATCAATGAAAGTGATTGAAAACCAAAAAGCACAATAACAATGGGATAAATGGACAACGAACAAAAGGAAACGAAATTCCCTGACACTTACCAGTTTCAGGTCTTCGAGAACCCATGTTAAATCTTTGAAAACAGAAGAAAGTTTTTGAAAATTAAAATTCAGTTCTTTGTAGGGCTGAAAAAATGGTTTCAAAATGGAATTTTGGCTTTTGCAATAAAGCTTTCCCTTTGTTTTCTCGGTTCTCCACAATTTGAATGATCTTCTTTTGGAGAAAAGAGTTCTTCGATACGTTGAGAGTCCCCACCCCGCGTGTCTCCATGGAGTCACCAAGGACTCTTCTTTAGCCTAAAAGAAGGGGGAAAGTCTTGAAGCGAAAAGAGTTGAAAGAATCACACAACAACTCTCTCCAGTATTCTCAACCAAAGCTCACCTAAAAAAAAATGCTTTTAGAGAAAAGTCTTGAGGAATTTTGTGAAGAATATGATTAGGTTGTGTACTGTAAATGATTGATAGATGAAGGCTATTAGAGTTAGGCTTATTTCTAGGCTAAGTCAAGACTGATGTAGGGTTAAACTTTCTTTTTTTTCCTTTTCTTGTATGGAACATAGAATTTTTCTAAAACGTTCTTGAAAACAAAGCAAAGCTAAGTAAATGGATGAGACTTTCGAATGATTCGAGTGAATCTATTTTAATGTAAAATCGTACACGAATTTGATATTCTCAAATCTTTGAAAGAGATCTCCAAGGAAAAGTCTCCCACCATGACCAAACCAAAGAGTAATACTATCCAGGGTGTGATCAGGGGTCCAGAAAACCTCAAAGAAGATATGTATAGGTACATGGAATTATTTAAAACGTTCTTGAAAACAAAAAAAAGCTAAGTAAATGGATGAAACTTTAGAATGACTCGAGTGGCTCTATTTTAATGTAATCATTAAAATAGATTCTTTAAATCTAGAGAAATAAGAAATTTTTCACTAGGTTGAGTATTGTAAATGATTGATAGATGAAGGCTATATAGTTAAGCCAAAATTTCTAGGATAAGTCAAGACTGATGCAGGGCTAAACTTTCTTTTTTTTCCTTTTCTTGTATAGGAACATAGAATTTTTTTAAAACGTTCTTGAAAACAAAAAAAAAGCTAAGTAAATGGATGAAACTTTCGAATGACTCGAGTGGCTCTATTTTAATATAATCATTCAAATAAATTCTTATTTTTTCTTATTCTTTTATTCTTATTCTTATTTTAATTCGTAAATTCCATAAATAAATTCTTTAAATCTAGAGAAATAAGAAATTTTTGATTATTCTGTAGTTGTTGTAAAGATTCTGTAAAGAAATCTTTCCTCGGAAACCATAAATTCATTTTTCATTTCAAAATCCGTTAGACAGATCTCTTCTTTTTGTTTATCTTTTATGGTTACGGCGTTGAAGTGTTGAAATGTTAGAAAATTCGATGACACAGAGACAATTTAATCTATCCAAAGCAATTTTACATCCGAATTTTACAAATTAATCGTTTTAAAGTGAATGCTCATTGTTTTTTTGTTCAGCTTTTTGGAGTTGAGTGCGAGCGTCGACAAGCTTCTGAAATTGTTAGCTTTCATAAAGACTTTCGTTCTTTGTGAGGCTGAAAAAATGGTTCCAAAATGGAATGTTGACAAACAGCAGACATTTTCCTTACATTATTTCAAACAAAAAGTATTCATTGTCAGTAATGCTTGCCATTCTGCATTACTTCAGCGCAGTGATCTAGTGGTCAGAGATTTTGGCATAACGCCAAGAGCTGGAAAAGCTCAGTCGCTAACCGCTCCTTTCCCTTTCCCTTTCCAAAAGGAAAACACTTTATACCAGAGTCGTTTGCCAGATGGAGAGCGATTACGCAACCACACAGAAAACATCTCTTTCTTAGGGAATTTTCTTTGCTTTGTGTATGAATGGAGATGAATGTAAATTTGTACTCTAGGGTTTTCGGGACCGGGGAATCGATTGGAGCTATTCATTTCATTGCGGCTACAAATTGGGTAGATAGTGAAGAGGTCAAGAAGAGAGAATATCGAACAATGGAGATCTGTACTTAAACAAGCGATGAATCACTGAATATTGAAGAGAGTCTGCTAAATGAAATGAGATTGAATGTGAATGGGCGAGTTTGAATGGGCGAGTTTTTGAGTGTAAAATGGGTCATTTTCATTATGGAAATAGTGATAGTCAGAGGATGCAAAGAGGCAGAAATGGGAAAGAAAAACAAGAATGGAGTTGGAATCAAGAATGGAATCAAACATTGAAATGTTCAAAAATGGTAGAGTCATAAGGATCTTGTGAAGTTTGATGGCTAGGAATGCTGAAAGGGGAATTCTTTTTGTATCGGAAGTATAAGGGTAGATAGGGAAGAGGTCAAGAAGAGAGAATATCGAACAATGGAGATCTGTACTTAAACAAGCGATGAATCACTGAATATTGAAGAGAGTCTGCTAAATGAAATGAGATTGAATGTGTAAAAAGCAAAACAAAATTTTCGAGTTCTCAATATGAACCCGAAAAAACAATAACCGAGGATAAGCGCTTTAAAAAGAGGAGAGTTATGAGTAAAAAAAATGATGAGTCACAAATAAAAGTTGGTTTATTTGTAGGAAAATTTGCAAAATTTATTGGGTTGAAAAAACTGCCGGCTTTGCTTTATGTATGAATGAAGATGCTGTAAATTTGTACTCTAGGGTTTTCGGGACCGGGGAATCGATTGGAGCTATTCATTTTATTGTGTCTACAAAGTGGAAATCAGGTTTAATTGTTTAATTGCTAATATACTGGGCTGAGATAAGGTTGCAGCTGATCTGAAAGACGTTTTAAAGTAAACCTGAAAAATCTCTCTCGACAAAACGACTTTCATTGATTTGTCTCTGGACTCAAAGCGCCATCCTTCTTCATCATCAATTCTAGACAGTTTTTACTGTATAAGATCAGCTTTTTAATATTATATTTAGTATTTTAGTAAGCTTTAATTGTATAGCAACCTCAAAGCTGTTCCCGGATGTGTGCCGGCTAAAATCGACAAGAAAAATCGGTGAAATTGTTTGAATGTTGGCCAGCAAGCTCCGTCGGATTCTGAGCGACAAGAGCTGTATCTGAGCTGAAATAAAATTGATAAATGGACTTAAGGCATTGAATGAAATTCTAGTTTTAAATAAGAGTATAATGCTTTGCACTGAACGAGCCCTGAGAACGACGCATCGAGCCCTTGAAAGAGAACCTCCTCGGGTACAATAGGAGCTCGACCAAGACCTAAGAAGTACGGATATGCGCCAGCTCTCAGGACTCAGAGATCCAGTGGAAGTGATTGAGAGAAAAAGACTCAGATGGGCCGGTCACTTAGCCAGAAGAACAGACGACAGATGGATGATACGGATCACAGAGTGACTACCACGAGACCAGCAACGAGGTGGAGCACAAGAGTGGCAGAGACGGTCAGAGAAAGGATCGCTAGAGTACAACCACCACCAGCACAAGCAAGTCGAAGACTTCGAACCAGGAACAATCAAGATAGGAAACACTGGATGACAATAGCAAGGGATAGAGAAATGTGGAAGCAGGTTGTGATCTGCGCAAATAGGAACACCTAAGTGCGAAGACAGATCAAAAAAAAATAATGCTTTGTTTTCTCTACAAACCTCTCTCGGTCGTTGACTTTTAATAAGTTGAAGAACTTTTCTCAGCGATGATTCCACTTGTTTCACATTGCAGTGTTCGTATCTGAGAATTTATACAAAAAAAAGATAGCAATGGTTTAAAATCGTACACGAATTTGATATCCTCAAATCTTTGAAAGAGATCTCCAAGGAAAAGTCTCCCACCATGATCATACCAAAGAGTAATACTATCCGGAGTGTGACCAGGGGTCCAGAAAACCTGAAAGAGAAGATATGGATCTTTAAAGTCATTTCTAGAATTATAAAACCGCTGTAAAGAGTTAGCTTTCGTAACTAACTTGAACCCGATTCTCTGGCAAGCGCTCATCACCCAAAAGAATCTCCTCTTCATCAGCAAGCCATCGTGTCACTTTGTATGTTTTTGTCTAAACTTTATAGAAAATCTAGATCACATTCTGATTATAAGTTTAGTTTTAATCGTAGAGGAGTAGGGTTTAAACGAGTTTATAAAGCATTCTAAAACATATCAAGGATAAAAAGCAAAAAAAGAACCGAACCAGCAATTAGCCGAGCTCGACGAGCTCGGCAGATCGGAATAGATCGCCCTTAAGCCTTTTGCTTGAGACCACCTTAGCGAGGTTGTAATGTGGTTATTTAAAGATAAACTAAGGAATTTCGATAAGCTACAACTGAAAATAAAACCTTTGCAAATCCTTCTTCAATTAATTCACCTCCCATTGATGAGTGGAATCCAACAATCTCGTGTAATTCTTGTTCCTTGCCGATGCGGCTAAAGCCTCAACTCTTTGCGCTAAACCATACTTTCCCGTTGTAGAAAATCTCCAATTCCCTCCAGTCTGGAAATCTTTAATTTAACAAAAAAGAACCTATTTCCCACTTGTTCAGGATGATTATGGGTATTGACGACAATGATTGGTCGTTGGCCAACCATTCCCAAGCGTTTTGCATAAAGATAGATGTTACTGAAGCCAATTCCAGTATCAATTAATAGTGCTAAAGTATAGAAATATAGTTCTTATTTTATTTTAGTTCTTATTAGCTTTTTATTCAAATTTTTATCTTTTACACTTGCCTTTCTCAGTGCCAACGATGAGATAATTTATCGGAAATAAATTTCGATCATCGAGTTCCGTAATAGCCCAAACATTTTTAGAAAGTGGATCCAATTTAAAATCAGCAGCCATCAAATATAAAGTTAAAGAATCGATTTCTAAGAATTTGATAGTGTTAAATGAAAAGAAGAGACATTGAAATGGCTTTCTAAAGGCTTTCTAAAGACTTTCGGCTTTCTAAAGACTTTCTCTATGCATTTCTAATGATCACATTCATGAGAAGGATTTTCAAGAAAGACTTCAACAAGAACAAGAAATTCACATTCACATTCAAAAAGAAAAGACTAAAGACGATTAATTCTTTGTGTACTTTGTGTTTGAATTGTTTGAATTTTATTTTTCTTGTGATTTCAAAAGTTGATCATGTTATTTTTGAACTTTAATAGACTTTTATTATCATTAGCTTATCGTGGCAATGAGGAGAGATCATTGTGTTGAGTGTCTCTCTCAGAAACGATGATCTAAATTACATTTCAATCCTTCAAATTACAACAGAATACAAAAGAATTTGAAAGTAAAGATAGATAGATTTCTTTAAAAGCAAAACAATCTAATGGAATTTTCATAAATTTTTACCTTATCTTGATCAGTGATCGGCCATTGGACATCAATCTCTTTGTCGAATGGGTTAATGCCTAGAAAGTTGATGTATTAGAAGAAATGTATAAGTGTAAATGCATAAGAAATGCGGATTTCAACATTTTTGATAACTTTCCAACGATAGAAAACTGATATCGATGATATAATCGATGAATGGGCACTTTTCCAATATCGGGGGGAGCGGTCCGATTATCGGGGGAGCGAAATGAAAATCAGGGGAGCAAATTTTGCCAGCGCTACATATGTCCTATATTATACAAATTACCACCACAAAATCCGCGAATTACCTGTTATTCTTATAACCTTTATATTAGATCACAAAAGTGACTTAAAATACCCAGCGAAATAGGTATTTTCCCTTTGAGCGGACTTTCATCAATTCCCCACAGTTGCAAATCCACGACTGAATGACTCCTTTGGTGACGACGACATAAATTTCCAACGATAGAAACCTGATATCGATGAATGTTATCGATGAATGTTATAAACTATTTGAAAGTTGTAAATCTCCTCTACAAAACAGGCTAAAACGTGTTTCAATTGATCGAAGCATTGAAGAAATTTCGAGGCCGAAATGCGAGTGACCAAAAAAAGGAATCAAGTCACTTTAGGGACAAGTTTAGTGTGGTCAAAATAGAGATAGCTTCCCAAAATTGAAGATTTAAAAAAAGAATAACTATATATTAATTTGTTAAAAAGTCTAACGGAAATGCATTTACAGCATTTCAATTCCTCGGTATGAACCTTTGTGTGAAATGACTGATCTACAGTACTGGACAATGAAATATCATATTTAAAAAACGATCGTCACTTTCGCGCGTCTGTAACTCCATTGTCTTTGAGTTTAAACAATTAGTGTTATACATTTTCTGAAAGCTCTTTTCAAGGGCTACACAATGGAAATATTAATATTTAGAAATATTGTATTTTTTGACACATTTCAGCGTGCGCGAAAGTGACGATCGTTTTGCAAATATCATATTTCATTGTCCAGTGCTCTATCTAAATTTCTGTAAATGCATTTCCGTTAGACTTTTTAACAAATTAATATATAGTTATTCTTTTTTAAAATCTTCAATTTTGGGAAGCTATCTCTATTTTGACCACACTAAACTTGTCCCTAAAGTGACTTGATTCCTTTTTTTGGTCACTCGCATTTCGGCCTCGAAATTTCTTCAATGCTTCGATCAATTGAAACACGTTTTAGCCTGTTTTGTAGAGGAGATTTACAACTTTCAAATAGTTTATAACATTCATCGATAACATTCATCGATATCAGGTTTCTATCGTTGGAAAGTTATCAAAAATGTTGAAATTCGCATTTCTTATGCATTTACTTAATATAAAGAGCTTTAAAGAGCTTAAAAAGATATTTAAACAATTAGATATTTATTTTTCTATATAAATATTGAAAAAAAAATTACCGAATTCAGTTTTTGGATCGTAAACAGCCGTGCATTTATAGGTAACATGAGCGCCCTCGGGAGATAGACACTGAAAAGCTCATAGATTTTCACTTAAAATACTTTGTTTTACTGTAATTATAGTATAAATCTCATAAATATTGTAAGTAAATTGTCAAAAAATTACTTGAAATCCGTGAAGAAAACCAGAAGGGATCCAAAAAGGCGTGTTTATTCTCTCCCGACAGCATCACACCATGCCATTGCCCGAAAGTCGGCGATCCCTCACGCACATCAACGGCAACGTCAAAGATTTTCCCTGTAAATCGATCAATTTGATTATTATTGTAAAAGTTTAGTCTTTTTGGTCTTTCAGTCTTTAAATTCCCTACCCGTGGCTACAGAGACAAGTTTCCCCATTCCAGGTTGAGTGTGAAGTCCACGAAGAACACCGTATTTTGAATAAGAATGATTATCCTACAAAAAGGCTCTAATAACATTAAAGTTTTTGATTATCCTACAAAAAAGGCTCTAATAAAATTAAAATTTCATTCTTTCACCTGCATAAACACTTCTTTATAATCGAGTTTCTCAGCCCATTCAGTGATATTGTAAGTTTCTGAGAAGAAACCACGATCATCTGGAAAAACCTAGAAAATTTAGATTTAGACATTCGATTTAAAAAGTCTAGATCTTTTCTATACCTTTGGCTTAATCACTTTCAAAGCGGGAATCTTCTCGATTGTCTCAATCTCGACATTCACTCGTTTCTCGACGTTTGGCACGGACATTGTTGACTAAAATCTAGTTAATGTCTTTAAAAAATAATATAAGATTAAGCTAAAGCTTAAATAAAATGTAGAAACGGAAAAGAATATCTGAAAATTGACGAAAAAAAAGAGAAAGTGATCGGCTACGTGGTTGAGGTCAATCGAGATTGAGAGAAAGGGGGACAGTCCTTGACATCGAATCTCCTTTCTCATAGCTGACTCTTTGGATCCCTAGAAAGATATCGTTTTTTGCGTTAGCTGACTCTTCTAGAAAGATATCGTTTTTTTTCCTTTAGGCTAGCCAAAAGTGTAGCAGAAAGGAATTTTCAAAGCTAACTGTGTAGTCATTCGATTGTAGATTCGAAAATGATTTCAAATACTTAAAAAAAGTGCAGCGTTAGGAATGAAATAGTTATCAATTCATCAGAATAGCCAAAAATCAAGATTAGCCAAATCAAGCCAAAGCCAATGACTTTTATGACTTTCATGACAGCCAATGACTTTCGTTGATTGATCTAATTTGAACTAAAACCTTGGCTTTAGTCTAGCTTGATCTAATTGAGTACAAATAATTGGCTTGGCTTTAACTTGACTTGTCGTGGCTTGTCGTGCTTAAAAAAAGTGCAACGTTAGGAATGAAATAGTTACCAATTCATCCGAATAACCAAAAATCAAGATTAGCCAAGTCGTGGCCTAGAAATTTGGCTTTTTTTGTCAACCCTGTTACTACAGAACACTTAAATAACTTGCTAGATTTGAAGTAATGAATCCTCTGATTTATTTGTTATCATTTCTGATTGAATAAAGTGTTCACAACACATCTCAACCCAATCTATTTATTGTGTTCGATTTTTGAGACAGATTATAACAGCTGGTAATGAGCTATAGAAGAGAAGGATTGAGTGTCAAATATGGATCCCAAAATGGATTCGTGAAGGAGAAAAGGAGTGATATTTGATCTATTCTCTTCTTCGAATGAAATGAAGAGATGCTTGCTTGTCTAATTATCCACAGAACTCTTTGACAAATCTAATAGTGTCTATTAGATTCATTTTATTTCTCCCTTTATTGATGGCTTTCATTGGAAAACAATGAATGAACCTAAATCAGAATCAATAAACCTGCTCTGCTTTTGGTCCAATCCTATCTTTAACTGTGTTTTTGAAAAACTCCAGCCCAAGAATTGTTTCAATCTTTCTTTAAAATGATTTAATAACTTATCTAAAAGAAAATTTAAACCAAAATTTCAGAATTAAACTGATCTGTGATGGATTTAAGCTCGTTTTCTGTTTGAACTTAAAGGATCTCTTCTTTTAAAGAACTTAAAGGATCTCTTCTTTTAAAGAACTTAAAGGAAACTGAAAGGATCTCTTCTCTTTACATGAATTTTTAAAAGAATAAGATCCAAGGATTCTTTTGATTTTTTTGTTTTAAAAGGTTGATTGATTTGTTAAGTCAAAGTTCGAAAAAGAATCTCGAACGATAAACCGATCTGTGATAAACTTGAGTAAGTTTTTTGAAGGCTTGTGTCAGACTCTAGTGGAGGTATTAGATTCCTCTACTCTATCTGTGTTTTTGAGAAACTCTAGCCCAAGAAATGTTTTAATTCTTGTTTAAAAAGCTTTAATAACTTCTTTAAAATAAAATTTCTGAGCTAAACTGATCTGCGTTTAAGAATGTTTTATGAAAACATGTGTTTATAGATCTGCTGTAACTTTAACTTGTATTTTTGGCAAAAATTCGACTCAGTGATCATGATTTCTTTATAAAAAGCTTCAAAATAAACTCTAAAAGGAATCTTAGACGTTAAATTGATTTTTGATGAGCTGTAGAGACTTTAATTCTCAAGTACTCAAGTACTTTACCATCAATAATCTCTAGTTGTAGGAAAAACTCTAAAGAAAACCTTTATAGTAATATTTTAGCAATTTAATAAAATTCATTTACAATCTTGTTGTTTGAAATTTTAAACTAAAACAAATTGAATTGTTGAATTGAATTCTTTTATTGTCAATTGAATTCTTCTATTGCCAATTGAATTCTTTTATTATATATATATATACTTTATCCGACAAGGAAAAAGTGACAATGCAAACAGATTGAACAGCGTAGACGAAGAAAGATAATTGATATACAAACACAACTACAATTCGACACGTGTATATATGACATTAAAAACTAATTTAAAATTGACAGAGCTACAAGATCGAGCTTATATATTGAGGATTTAAAATAGTTATCAGATCATTTTGAATGTTGTCCATTTTTTTTGAAAATTACTCAATCTAATTTGAAAGAAAAATGGATTAAAAACTCAATTTTCTTTATATTTTTAGTTATTTATTAAAGCTAAATCTTTTTATTTATAAAAATCTATTCATCTAACAATTGTTTACTTTAAAGTCATTGAACTGTAACGTTCTGATCATAAAAACATTTTTACAAGAAATCTTGTTTCGTCACAAAAAATCTATAGTTTTTTTGTTTTTGAAAGCTTTAGATGTTAGATAATCCGGGAGATATTTGATGAGAAGAATGTTTTTGAATCAATGCTAAAAACACATAATCCCCTTCTTGAAATTGGGATTAACGGATTAAAGAAAAATAGAGAATTTTCCTCTTTTTCACCATATAAACACTTGAATTGAAAAGGGGAGAAATTGGATGAATTTTGGTAATCCGCGTACTCTGTATTTCCTTCATTTCTCATCCTCATCGTCACTTGTCATTTTTTCTTGTCTTTCAATTTATCTATGATTCATTAAAGTTTCAAATTTCCTAAATTTCTAAAATTTTTCTTTCCTTGAAACTCCTTTGAATAAAACTGAAAGCTTAAAGTTTAAATAAATTTTAAATTCTTTAAATTCTTTGAATAAAGAAGAAGAGAAGTTTAAGCGAAACTTTTCTGCGTCACATTGCACAGAAAACTAACTCAAATCTGTTTTCACTATAGTTTTCTTAAATAAACATTCCAAAAGTTTATTTAGAACACTACTGGACAATGAAATATGATATTTGAAAAAAGATCGTCACTTTCGCGCGTCTATAACTCCCTTGTCTTTACCGTATTTCTAAATATTAATATTAACATTGTGTAGCCCTTGAAAAGAGCTTTCAGAAAATGTATAACACTAATTGTTTAAACTCAAAGACAAGGGAGTTACAGACGCGCGAAAGTGACGATCGTTTTTCGAATATCATATTTCATTGTCCAGTACTGTAGGTTGTAGATAAAATGTAGATACGAGAACAAGAAATGTTGAGAAAAGAAAGATAGGATTCGATTTGTGTTGAAATTTTCAGTATTAGAAAGTTAGAAAGAAGAAAATAGTAAAGCCAAATACTGATCTAATGTAAATTGGCTTCTTTAGAGCTTGGCTTGTATTTCTGAAAGCTATCCATGCCATTAAGAAGTAAAAAGAGTTGGCTATAACTGAATTCAATGTTTGGACATGTTGCTGTCACTAAGCTCAGATCCTGTCTGAGCTGGACTAGTTTAAAGTCTAGCTACATCTCAGGGTTATCTCATCCCTGGCTATCTCTCTTGTTTATCTATTTTATAGCTCTTCTTATAGTTATCTTTCTATCTTTCTTTTACGACACTGTATCAATGAAAGTTTTCGATTTTTTTCCAAAACTACCGTATTTCTTCGAATAGAAGACCGGGTAAAGAGTATGATCGCGTACTCCTGCGTAGCAGCCCTTTTTAAAATTTCTTTTCTGCATAAAAGCTTTCAATGAAGTGGTATAGAGCTGAAAAATGGCTCAAAAATACCACATGAGCCCTTTTTCAGCCCTATACCACTTCATTGAAAGCTTTTATGCAGAAAAGAAATTTTAAAAAGGGCTTCTACGCAGGAGTACGCGATGATACTCTTTACCCGGCCTTCTATTCGAAGAAATACGGTACATAGATCATAAAATCAACTAATAATGTTTCCTCAAAGATCAAGCCGACAAATCAAATTGCTCAATCGACATTCATTTGGGAGAACATCAATAAGGGATTTGCGGGGTGTAAAAAAAATCTCTCTACAGTGTCAATGAAAAGAATGGGGACCCAGGTGGCAGCTGGCCGAGCGACTCATTCGATTACCGTTGCGCAAGCTGCCACCTCCATTCACCCCGCATTTCCTCATTTTCCCCTCACTCTCTCTCCACATTTTTTATTCGTTAGCTGTTCCATTTCTGATTGTTACTTTTAATGTTTTTAGATTTATAGAGAATTGTTAGACTTCTTTGAGACTCAAAGCTAAGAGTGATAGACTCTTAGCTTTGAGGGACTAAAAAAACGCTTAATCTTACAATCATCAACTTTTATTTGACGCAAATTTCGGCACATTTAAAATTTTGAGATAATTTAGTGACTTGAAAGAACACTTTATTAGCAAAAGTTTTTGTTAAAAAGTGATTTTATTGTATCATAGCTTTGGTACAAGTTAACACGTTGACAATGACGTTTTTGCACAAACAATCGCATGGGACAACGTTGTTTTTTTTCGACAAAAAATCTCACCTGAAATTGTCACCTAAAAAATTAAAATTTTAATAATCAACGATTAATAATCGACATTTTCCGGAACCAAGTCGAATATAGATACTACCCTACTTGCTTATTTAATATCCATCATCAGCAAACATAAATATGCACACAAAAAAATCAATTTTGGTACTGTCACCTGACATTAGGTGACAATGTCCCAGGCGAACGAATATGTGTCAGAAAGCATCAGGTGACAATGTCGTCAACGTGTTAATAAACTTAAACCTTTCTTTTAGCTTGACTGAGTTGATTTGAAAAATTCTCTTCAAGAACTTTATTTATAGTATATTAAAAGTTGACTGGGTATTTTGGATTTAAAACTTTCCTTTAAGATAGCAGAAAAATAAACGAATATGTGAATTGATTAAAAACTACCATAAATACTGTAATAGTACCCCATCCCCATAACGACGGTGCGGAGCGTTGCGTAGTCTAGCTTTGAACGAGTTTTTCTCGACACTGGTTTATGCTACAATGC